ACTGGAGTTCGCATAACTGTATATTTTTGATGACTTTGAAGTCGCGTGTCGCTCCTCTGTAATCTTCAAAAGGAACGTATTAGCCATTGATTGATCAGTTTTTAAGCATCCAGTTCAAAAGATTGGGAGCATATTGTTTTGTGCTCCATGTTTGTCTGTTGTCAATTTCAACCTTGTCTATAACTATTAAACCGTACAAGGTAGGGCTTTCATATTTGGCAAGTATGCTGTTCCTTTTGGCAAGACCTTTCTGGTGGTATCGAAAATTTTCATCATGTGACCTTGACCGTGACCTCTGACCAACACTTGAAGGGAAAACATCAGCACCATGATAAAGACATTAATGTTTCACAAAGCGAACCTGCAATTAGCACATGCCTTACACAGTACAATTTTAATGCCCTACTTCAGAATTTTGTTGTAACCGGTGGCACAGTGTTTCATACACACATCTTGTTTTTCTTCTCCCAGAACCAATCAAATTACTTCGCTTGTGCCTTCAATTTTCCCATAACATGTTCCAGGGGTGCAGAGAGCGAATGTGATCGGAACCCCTGGCTTATTGAGGATGAGATTTCAATGGCATTAGAGTGCATATTTAACGCGTTTATAAAAAGTTTATATTTGAGAAGCCGAATTACTAAAGTAACACATTTACATTCATAATTAAGATAGAACTGGCCAGAAAGTCTGGGTTTTGCCAAAAATAAAAACTAATCATATTTACTATGAAAAAAAACCCTTTTAATCAAGTGACAATAATATGCAAAACATCAGAGTCCTGATGTTGATTCTATATAACTTTGGCCATGCTATATTTTACAATCAGGTAATTTATGACACAGCAGTTGTTACTGAGAATCTATATCACTAGTCAGGAAAATAATAATCAACTCCGCGTAAATACGCACGAGCGATTCTTTTAAAGCAATTAACTTGATGTACTAATCCTTGTTATTACTGAGCATACCAAATTTGACTGCAAACAGTTCCCTGCGTGGGAAGCAGTTACTTTAAAGAAATTTAAAAAACGTGTACGTTTCCTTGAAAACACAAAAGCTGAAAACATGTTTATTGCATTCTACTTAGTAACCAATAATCGACAATATATGTTATTTAATAAAATGTGAAATATGAATAGAAATATCCAGACACATTGATCAATAAAACTCAATATCGCAATATCGCTATAAACTCACTATTTTGCTTTTGACTAATGGAATATTCTTCCTTTCAGCAAACATTGATTACCGAATGATGTAGTTCTGTATGATCAGACGCATTCTAATAATCACTATTTCTTTTTACTGGAATGTTTATTGTTCAGTTTTCCTTTTGTACCTCTACCTCTTGTATTTAGTCCAACCTTTAAAGACACTCTTTGTTTTTTCGTTTGTTTACTCTTTATGGAATTTAAAATTTCGACTTCAGCATTCACGCTTTCAACTAACTTAGAATTGCTGATATTTTCTGAGCCAGAATTGGTACCCTTCTCTGTTGCTATATGAGGATTTTCCGATGCGGCATTATCATCTGTGTCATTTTTCAGAACAACATGAATAGACCGAGGTGTCAGGAAATCACTAGAGGAACTCCGTTTCTCCCCTGTGTCCATGTCTAGTAGCGTACCTTCTGCACCTAACCTTCCCAGTCGAGACGTATCTAAAAGAGAGATTCTTGTTTTCAAGCGCTGTAACTTTTCCACAAAAATACTTGCGTTTTTCTGCCTGTTTTCCTTTTGTTGGATTACGGACGCACAAACAGCCTCCAACCTTGGAGCGAGGGCATCATTCTCACTTTCCCCGCTCTCTGTAATTGAATCGTTTGTAATTACTGTACCCACCGAATCATCATCACTTTTCCTTGTTTGCTCGTCAGAATATATGTTTTTATCGAATATCTCTTCCTCCAGTGTGGTGAACGGGCCTTCCAGTCCTACACCGCCAGACTTGGAGGATGACTTTACATCGCTTGGTAATCCTGATGACATATTGGTGACAACACCTCCGTAAATCGTCGGCGCTACGCTGTACCGTGTCCACCACTGCTAAAATGTAATTAAACTTACTCTTCTCCTTTGCAACATATTACACAATACTTTTTTTCATTATCTGAAGTTTTTCCAGAAGCATTCCCAATCTCCGAGATGGTTTCATCAATTCAGTAATGCAGATAGATGATTCTGTGTCTTAAATTCAGTAATGTTGATAGCGGTGCTGTGTCTTCAATTCAGTAGTGTTGATAGCGGTGCTGTGTCTTCAATTCAGTAATGTTGATAGCGGTGCTGTGTCTTCAATTCAGTAGTGTTGATAGCGGTGCTGTGTCTTCAATTCAGTAGTGTTGATAGCGGTGCTGTGTCTTCAATTCAGTCATGTTGATAGCTGTGTCTTCAATTCAGTAATGTTGATAGCGGTGCTGTGTCTTCAATTCAGTAATGTTGATAGCGGTGCTGTGTCTTCAATTCAGTCATGTTGATAGCGGTGCTGTGTCTTCAATTCAGTAGTGTTGATAGCGGTGCTGTGTCTTCAATTCAGTAAATTTAATAGAGACTATTTCAATGTGTTGGTATCCTATATAACTGATCACATACTAGAATCAGTAGCTGATTATTCAAGCGGTTGATCATCCGCAGAAAGTTTGAAACGTTGTTTTGTTCACACATACAAAATGTATTTAAATTTCAAGTCATTGTATTTATAATACCAGTCTTGTACTTTAATGTCTGGTTTTGTAAAAGAATAATTAATCAGCAACACTAATCTGGGATTAGTGCAAACGTTTAAAGCTAAATTGTTTGTGAAAATCGGATCAAGACATAATTTTTAAAAGGACAAATCAGTATTCATATATATTAAACCGAATACATATGTTGCAAGGGCGCAATGTCCCTTGTACTTTAAAAAGTATATTGAGACTGAAATTGTCTCATTTGACAATCGGCCGAATTTAATAATACATAATTTCTTCAAAATAACATTATAATGTCCAGATCATAATGAATAGCGTTTTTGATGTACATGTAGTAACCGATACCCTTCATTCCGGAACATCTAGCTCAAAGAAGTTATGGACTTTTTTTCGCGAAAATTCCTTAATTGCGAGGTTTTCATTGGTAAACATTAAAAGATGTAACAGTCACAACTTCGTGACACTACCGAGAAAGAAGACACGAAACATATTATCTTGCGGTAACATTAAAGAAAAGGCTAATGTGAGAACAGAGTTCTCACATTAATATTTATGCAAGTAACCCTTTGGATATACACCCAGTCGTGTGAAAACATGACATGCGTAAACGGCGTGTTAGTTATAAGTGATGTACGTAACTCCGTTGTTTGCTTTCCTTATTAACACATGTTAATTTGCCTGCGTTTTTTCTTTTTTTTTTCCTGCGTCTTAATGTTGTTGAACTTTTAGAGTTGTGCCTTTTTAGGCTTTACAATATAGCTATCGATGTTCAAAAGCCGGTCAACATATTTTTGTGGTATGAATAAGTTTTATCTCAAAATCACGTCGGAGTGTCTGGAAACAGAAAAGAATACGAAGTTAATTTGTTTGAAAAAAAAATTCAAAAAGGAAAGCATGACAAACGCTGCATGCAAGATGCTTCAAACTGCTCTTGTTCCATCACATAGAGCATGTCCTGAAGAAAATCAAAACCAACAGGGTATATGATACATGTACAAAACACGTTAGTTATACATATATTGGTAATGTTTTCAGATTGGAGGGAAGAAAGTAATTTTTTCCGAATTTTATTTCATCCACGATACAAAGTTGTTTTTATCAATAAATATGCATCATGTAGTGTACTTACTGGTATTTCTATTGATTGGTTACCCTTTGTCACCAACTCTCCGTTTTTCCTGTACACTTTCATATTTTAGTCGTTTGAAAATATAAACCAATCACTGCCCAGGAACGTTGGACACGTGTGAGTCAACGCTCGTAATTTTCGATTTGTGTGTGACAATGGAATTAATGATACGATTGCAAATAAATGAAGGAATATGGTCTTGATTCAAGTTAATTGTGAAGATTTTTTAACGTCTAGGGACGTAGAGAACTCCTTGTGATATGCTAGAGCCACGACCTCAACCAGTCTGTTTAAACAAATGGATTAAGCATTTAAACTTACCTCATTACCTACAGTTTCTTGATATTTGCGTTTCTAAGATCAAATAAGTTTTGATTCCAGGGGCGTTTTGTAGAGTAGGAGAAACATATTGATAAAGTATATATCTTGATTTATTCATTTCCTTATCTGCATGCTGTTTCATATGTCCTTGTACAAGAGCCCCACAGAGAATATATGTATAACCAACATAAACTATCTGATATTTCTTCTTTGATGGAAGACTAATTATTTACTGTCTAGGTTTTTTATCACCATTATATTTAATACCCCGATAAGTTTTATACACTGGTGATACTGACAGGAAAACAATCTTCATGTTCTAACACTGACTTTGACAGGTCAATCAAACCACGGCTGAATGATCAGAACCAGATATAATGAAAGTTACGCCATCAATCTGATGGAGAAATAACACAAGACGATGGAGAGTAGAAAATGAAAACTAGATAATGAAAGATGTGAATGCCAAACCTCCAATGTATGCAACTAGTTGGCAACTAGGTTCTTTGACCCTCTAACTTTGACCATGACCACCTATAAATGGATAAGGTGTAGAACTTGACGTTATCCTAAGACATAAATATGAATCAAATATGTTGAGAGATTTCCAACTCAATACAAGTTATGAGATTGATTCAAAATGGGACACTAAGTGATAGAATGGGACAGACACAGGTAAAACAATGTAATATATGCCTCCTCTTACTCCATCCCTATAAAATGGTAGGGGCATATAAAACAAGAATCGTAGATGGTGTTGAACATAATGTTTGGTTATCAAATTAACATTTACACACAAATAACAAGTTTAAGTTTTTTCAATCTCTTTTTATGCAGATATATTGACATATATAGTGTTCATAAACAGCCAAATGAGTATCACTTGATCGATTACTTCAAGGTGACAACAGCATAGTCATTCTTTAAAAGTCTGTTAAAAGATAAAGGCACACAATAAAAAAAATGTATGTAACATGACAACACCTAATGACTATCTAGAAATATTCCTTAAAACCAAGTTATAATTTCTCCTAAAGTGGGACCTAAAATTATTGGCTAAGTACCAAGACAACCATACTTTCATGGACTGGATTAATAATCTCATCTTTAAACAGCTGTAAAGGAATGACATATAATATACATTGGTCATCAAGAAAAGATCATCTTAAATTTGTTTTTCTATTCCGTTTTTATTAAACTTCAAATGGCTGTTTAGTAAAATTACACGCAGAATATTTCATCTGATGTGTCAAGTGAGGCAACAGAGTGAAGATTACTGTATGCTTGCAACGAAAATCACAAACTGAGTGTGTAAAAATTGCTTGTATTCATAGGTTTGTAAATAAATCATTATTAAAGACTTAATTTTGTGTTTATGCAGAAATAACATTAACTTACATGGTAATAATAGAAATTTGCAGACTCATTCATAAATTCTTTTTGCAGAGTACAATTCATTTGACTGCACAAACATTACTTGGTAAACACTTCATTGGCTTGTATATTATAGTATTTTTCAGTAAGCAGTCTATCATTGAATAACATTTTCTGTGATGCCTGTTGCAGCCTCAGATGTTATAATCATTTCTTCTGTAACAATGCTTGATATACTACCATCAACAATACTTTGTATTGCAGTTTCTGTGGTTTCAACCTGTTCCTCTACATTTGCTACCATCATTGCCTGCTCCACAATAGAATCTGATAAGTCCAATGTTGAACCAGGGGCCATAGCAACAGCTTCAATTTCATTTTCAGAAGTCATAGTTATGAGCTGACTGTCTCCATCAGTAAGTGATGACAGTGGCATCATGGCAATTGTCTCCCCTGTTTTTGAATCGAGGATTTTCATTCCCTGGTCACTATCAGTAACAACAATGTAATCGTCTGTGACTTGCATTCCTTCCAGCATGGTAGTGTCCACTTCACCTTCTGTGACAATTTCCACATTGTGTAGATTTTCATCCCTCAGATCTGTCTGTAAAACTACATACTCAGTCTGATTCTCAAACTCTGTCTGACTCTCCACCTGCTAAACAACAAACAAGGTAAATTTCACTTGTATGACAAAAATATATATCAAACCAGAAACCAGAAACTATCAAAATTCAGAAATATTTTCTTTAATAATATTTTTTTGATAAATTCCAACATTTCACTGACAAAAATGTAATCAATATCTGCAAATGAGCAACAAACAACAGTGCCTAAAATATATAGCACCTAAAACATTTATTAAGTGTTGACAGTATCATCAAAACATATCCATCATAACTGCTCTAACAGGATAAAAAAAATCTTCCTGTGTTATGCATTATGTAACAGCCTTGCCACTTACCTGTTGCTCTTCCTCTCCCTCATCCTGAGTGGAGATGTATTGCTGTGTGTCTGCTACTGATGAGAACTCTGCAAGCACTGTGGGGTACGTGGTCTTAGATCCATCCTGATCATCAATGTTTACCTGGCGAGAACATGGCACTGCAACAAACATACAAAATTGTAGACTATTTAGGTCATCATTAGTGAAGAAAATTGTAAAAAGGCATAAATATTGGAAAATATACCACAGATTACTTTATTTCCTAACTTCAATTAACAGAGAACTTAGGATATGAACAAGACTATCAATTTTTAGACAACAAAGTCAGCATGATGAAAACTGTAATATGTTTCTTCAAGTAAAACAAAAAATGGCAACAAATTTGATACATTTAGCATTCATTGTAAAGCCATCACTGAAATGTCCTCAGTACTCTCATGGGACAAAATATTCTGTTCTTTATGTTAAGAAAACTGTGAAATTTGCAGATATTTTGAGCTGAAGAAAAGCTTGATTTGTAACTACAAAGTGTGTATACTAACCTTTAGCCCTGAGATGTCTGTTGAGTGTACCATGCTCTGAGAATGATTTTCCACAGTGTTTACATACATATGGTTTCTCTCCAGTATGCATTCGAACATGACGATTGAGAGAGCCTTTTTCTCTGAAGTGTCGACGACAATATGGACACACATATGGCATTACATTGGTATGTGTTCTCATGTGTACTTTCATTGCATTCTGTGAAATTTTAAAAAACAATAACAAATATCAGCAAGGCTGTCATAACCAGGCAACATCTGCAGAAACAGCCCTTTGCGCTGTGCTTTGTGCAAACTGGACAATATTATTTGCAGAGTAGCAACTTACACCAATATACGGTTTTTATGACACATAAATTATAAGCTTTTCAATGGTATAGCAGTTATATTCAGCAGCAAAGTGTCAATTTTTTTCTTTTAACTTATGTAGACTGTAAGGGATTATCAAAGTTTGTTCTATCATGATATATGATCCATACAATGTTAAATTCAAATTAAAAAGAAATCTAAAACATTCCATCCATTATAATCACAACAACTAGCTCTAAAACATTTTCTCCTATTAGGCATCATGAATATATCTGAATGCTTTTGTATAATGAGTCTTGACATGACAATATATTTTGTAGTGTTGTAATGCATATGTCATCAAAACGGAACCAAGGTCTTTTAAGAATATGATAGAAATATACCACTCTGCCAAGTAGCCACATTCGATGATCTCGTGAGATACAAAATCCAACTAAGACACCATCTGAGGTCAGATAAAGGTCAGGTAAACAGACAAAAAAATCCTATGCCTTCTTTTATTCTGACACCTGTGTTTTCGCTGCTTTTTTCTAATAAATTAATCTTGAGAAACAATAACAACAAGAACTATTCCAAGGTCATACATTATGGTTGTCAGTGTATGAAAATTATTGTCCATGCTAATTATCTGATATGGCACACTAAAAGCTAAGAGAATGGGAAGGATCAATCATGATGCTTCTATGTACTTTGTAATACATGTGAAAATATTACTGAATTATTACTTACACCTGTTTTAAAGGACTTGTCACACAGGGCACAGGGAAAGGGTCGGTCAGAGCTGTGAATTTTAAGGTGCTCTCGTACATGGGAGATACGTTTGAAGAGTTTGCCACACTCCCCACACTTGTACTGTCTCTCCTCACTGTGGACACTAAGATGTTTACACAATGTGTCTTTGGTCACAAAACACTTGTCACAATGTGGACATTTATGGGGGCGGTCACCTAAAACACAGAAAAAGGGAGTCAAATATTTATAAATTGTCTGGACATGATATGTGTAATACTGGTAAACATTTGCTCACTGAAACACTCCGTGATACAAACTGATAAGCTCTACACAAACAAGGATTCAAAAAACTGTATATTTGTGAGTTTTTGAAACATCTGTTTCTTTTATCAAGCACTGAGTTAATGTTCTTAGATACAGTTATACCAAACTGATGAATCTCATTCCGAAAATTACCTCAGTCTAATATCTTTAAGAATGAATTGCTTTCATTTTCAGCATAATTCACCTTTTTATAGTACTAGAGAGATAGAATATTTCATAATCTGCTAACCACTTAGTTAACCACAAGTGTTTCGAAAAAGATGTTGATTTTAGACCTTTACATTTATGTCAAGTATTTTATCTAGCAGTAGTGTTTCAAAGTGAAAACTCAACAATATATAGTGATCATTATGCGTCTGGCAAATCAACATCAAACATGGATACATGTGACAATGAAAACCTTTTGTCATAAAACATCTTTTCCATGTAAGCATAAGTAACATACCTTACTTGCACATTTCAAAAATCTTGGAAGTGATTTTGCAGAATGTTAACAAAGAAAGTTCAAATTTAAGTTTATTATCACAAGTAACATTTCACATAATTCAAACAGGTTCAGTAATATTAGTTTCCTTTTTCCCCGAACATTTTTGAGGTTCACCATTGGAAAAGGAACTATTGTCTTGCACTAAAAAAAATATTGCATCGTAGCATCATTTGCAGTCATTACTAACCTACATGTGACTTCATGTGTAATTTGAGGTTGGAGTTAGCTCTGAATGCCTTGTTACAGACAGCACACTTGTACACAGACTTAATAATGTCAGTTGTCTCTATTTCAGTGGTCGTTGCATCGCCACCACCACCAACCAGGCTTTCATCTGCTGGCAGTTGTAACATCTGTCGGATTGCTGTTTTTGCATTTCTATATATAAACAGAAAATACATGAATAAATAGATATAATCTGAATTCATTGATTTGCTTTAACGATAAATATTTTGTATTTACATATTTGTCATCAATACAGAATACATTATTTGTTATAACAAGAGGCCCATAGGCTTTAACAGTCACCTGAGCTGAATTTTTGTCTTTAACAAATGACAAGCACAAACTTAGAAAAACAGCCTTATCCAATATCTAGCGTACATATTAAAACCTGCAAAGTATTGCTTGTAGTAAGTGTTGATTTAAAGGAAATTGCAGAAATGTGACCATATTCAACTCTTAAGACTCTGCAGTAAAGTTTCCAAAATACCGAACCTCCTTGACAATGAAAATCCAACCTGATGTGTAATTCCAACAGAAAATTAATACTAATACTAAAACATTTGACCCTTGCAACCTTGAAAATGGGTCAAGTTCATTCACTGGAACAAATTTGTAAGCTCTTCATCCAAGCATGCTACAGTCCCAATATCAGAAATTTGGGCCTTTCAGTTAGTGAGAAGGAGTCAAAAATGTAAATTGCTTCTGGCGGGAGATGTACAGCGCATGATGCATGATGACGGACAAACGGCAGTCGCCACAAGTCACTTGAGACTTTGTCTTAGGTGACTTAAAAACAGTATTTAAACAGGAAGATGGGGGAGATGATTATGGAGAGCTAAAGATATGAAACATTTTCCATCCATCAACAATAGTATCAGAGAAACTGATGAATACTCTACAAAAACGACTTTATTGGACAAAAATTTTAACCAAGGGCAATAATTCTGTAATCAAATGGTTGCAGGCCATAAATTTGGTACACTACATATTATCTTAGTATGACCAATGTATACACCAAGTTTCAAGATTCTAGTTATAGTGCAAACAAAGCTATGTTCATGGCACAAAATTTTAACAAAGAAAATGACTGTAATTTAGGGGTCAAGGGCCCTGCATTTGGTAGACAGCACATTGCCTTAGTATAACCAATGTATACATAAACTTTCATGATCCTTGTTTAACTGAAACAGAAAAATTATGTTCTGGACACGAAAGGAGAGTCAGACAAGGCTATGACTGCATAATCCACAGAAAATTGTCAGGCACATACATAATAAACCAATGCCTCCAAACTACCCATTTTTGTTTCAGACACCTTAAAACCAATTTGGTTTCAAAATGATTTCAATTTCTTAAAAGTTCCTATAATTTTGTTTACTTTACAAAAGTCCCTTCGTCTTACCGTGACTGTTTTTCCTTGTCCAATCTGCTTTCTGGCCAACTGCTAATAGGAAATACAGACTCTGGTGGTTTGGTGCGCTGGCAAATATAACATGAAAGCATTTTTGACACAAACTTGGAATTAGAGGAAATAGCAATATTCATGAAATCCTGAAAATTTAATCACATCATGAATAAACTGAACTTCCACAAATAGACATATTCAGCATTGAAATATATATACCATGATTGTAACTTGATACCTGGTACCTGAACACTATGCAAAGTGAATTGTTACAAATAAATACAAGCTAAATTGCAAATGCATTTTCCCCTACGATTACCCATGAAACAAGTAATATTTCCTACAAGGGACACAAAAATGAGGCACAACGTATAAAGTGATTCATTGGAGCAGTCCACGTTAATGTGAGCAACTTACCTTGACCTGACTTTTGTGCATACTCCACATGTGATTTGTTAGATCTGTTCGTTTCTCTGTGACATAGTGACACAATGCACAGCGGAGAGACATGTCTGCCAGATGGGTCCTCAGATGTATCCTCAGACCATTAACACTTGTCAAATCTACATTGCACACCTGTTAAACATAGAGATGTCAATATTTCCTTTAAACTACAAACAAAAACCATGAATGGATATCCATGATATCTTGTTATCTGAGGAAGTCAAATCAGCTTTAAATGCCACTGTTATTAGTAATTTTATAGGATTTTTAAGGTAAGTTAAGAACACCAATTCCACAATTTTGATGTGTCCCAATACATGTACTAAGAGACTTGACAGAATCCAGGACTCTGAGTCACTAAAATCACTACATTATACATATGTGTATAACAATTTTATCTAGACTACTTGATTGTGTTTTATACAGAGCATTTTTCATTGTGACTGACCACAATATAATGGCTAACTGCCTATAAAGGCCAGGCTGCTTCCTCTATGAAAGTATGTTTTATGAATAATGTTTTTTATCATATTGTCAATAAGAACTTATATCTACCAGTCAAATATCTATGTCTGGACCTTTGGGTCATTGGGAAGAAGCCATATGAAGGTTTTAACAAATCTGACCTCTAACACCTTTTCTGCAAATAATTTAGGGCTTCGAACTAGGAACCTACATCAAAAAAAATATCATTATACAGTGTTCTAAACTTTCTGGTTATTTTATAAAAAGAAGTAAATTAAAAGGTTTCAACAAATTTGACCTGCGTGATCTTGTAGACATGGGTCAAGGGGGTTTTGCAAATTTTGCAATTTTTTTTGTATGCATTCCTGGAATCTACCAGCCAAATATCAAGAATCCAGGCTTTTTGGTTGTTAAGAAGAAGTCATTTGAAGGTTTTAACAACTTTAACCCCTCTGACTATGGATTTTGGTCAAGATCTTTATTTCTTCATGCTCTTTGTTAGGATTCATTTAAGAAATCTACCATCTTATATTCAGATTCTAGCCTTTTGTATTATCAGAAAAAGTCACCTTTAAAAAGAGTAAGAGCATTGTATGTTTTACAATGCTCTAATTCTTCATTAAATATAGAGAAGCTACCTGTTGGCATTATATCATGACGTAGTTCCTTCCCATGCATCTAAATATTCATAATGAATTATCCACTTAGCAAGAGTTAAGGTAACATATGTATTGTACATGTACTTTAGGTCTCAGTAAACAATATCAAGGTGATTGTTTTGTTTATTAGATTACTCCATTATAAGGGCTTTTATTAAAATTAAAAATATAAGTCTTCACTGATATTGATCTAGTCAGGTTTAACTAAATAATGTGGGGCCTTCATATTCATCAGAACAAGATCTTTGTAGGTACTATACTGGAGGATACTAAATGGAAAGTCTCAAATCTGTGTCTACACATCAAGAAGTGAAATTTCCTGTAAGGTGTTCATGACAAGAAGCAGTTCCTAGCTAAAATTTATTGAAATTTATAACTTCAGAAAAAGGCTCATTAACTGCTTCCTGTTACTTTATGTGACAGCTTTCTGACAGCAGTCATTGTAGTAGTCTTGTAATACAAGACTCATCAGAGATTGGTTATGAATAGGACAAAATTTATGTATGAAAAATAACAAAGGGTAATAATAATAATAATAATATACAACATTTATATAGCGCACTATCTATTTCGAAAAAAATACTCTAATGCGCTTCACAATTACATAATAATCTGACTACAAAATTTATAGAACATGTATAACACAGTAATCAGCATAAGTAATAACTCCTAAATTGTACAAAAGAGAGTTACAGTGCACTGCCCTTCTTCTTGTGAACATCTATCCACCTATTAATTTTCAAGTTGATATCTTGTATAGTTTTGATGTAATGCTCCACAAAAGGGACAAAATTTACATATGAAAAATAACAAAGGTAATAACTCCTAAATCATACAAAAGTGAGTTGCGGTTCTTGTTCTCTCTACCTATAAAGTTTCATGCTAATTCCTGACTTAGCTTTAGAATAATACTTCTGACAATTTATGTATGAAAAATTAAAGTCAATAGCTCTGAAATTATGCAAAAGGGAGTGATTGTTCTTGTGCACTGCACTTCTCCTTGCTGAGATCTATCTACCTATGAAATGTGCTTCAGACAAAATCAGGACAGAAGGACAAAAAGATAGATGAACGAACGAACAAAGCCGTGATTACATGTTCTCCCTTTGGGAAGTATAAAAAATAAACAGACTTTACCTTACACTGCGTCAAGGGAACATTTTCTTCTGTCTCTGTAACTGTTGTATCCTTTTCAGGGAGGTCAACTTCTTCAAAACAGGAGACATCCTGTGTATTTGCCATAATTTCACCTGTCCCTACATCCATATTAGCAATATCAGCTGGCAATATCTCTCCCTCCTCTAGTTCACATGCCTCTCTCCCATCCACTGTAGTAATGACCTCTTCTGATGAGGTCTGAGAAGCCACAAACGACCATCGCTTCCCATACCGAGGTAGATCCTGGTCAGTTTTACTAGTACAAGGTATCCTGCAAAAGTACATGGAAAATCACCTAGGATTTCACTTGAAAACAACTTGCATTTTTCTGATTTCTGACACCTTCACATATCATTTAAAGAACAATATGAAACAAGAGTATCAGTGAAACACACAATTTTCTCTTGAAAATGACTTTATTGAACATGATTTTACCAAAAGGCAATAATTCTGTAATTAAGGGATCTAAGGCCCTTAATTTGATATACAGTGCATTTTTGTAGTATGATCAATGTATACACCAAGTGTCATGATCTTAGTTTTAATTCAAGCAAAGTTATGTTCATGATACAAAATTTTAACAAAGGTTTTAACTCTGTACTGAAGGTTCATGGGCTCTGACTTTGCTACACTGCACTTTGATTTTGTATGACTGATGTATACATCACCTTTCAATATCCTAGTATATTTGCAGGCAAAAGTAATGCTACAGACACAAAACTTCAACAAAGGGCAATAACTGTAACTAAGGGGTTGCTGCCCCTAACATTGGTACACTGCACATTGTCTTCATATGATGTGTACACCAAGTTTCATTATTCTACCTTAAATGCAAGCAAAATTATGCTCTGCACAAGAACATTTTTACAAAGGGCAATAACTCTCTTATTGAGGGAGTCAATGTCCCTGAATATGGTACAATGCACATCTCCTTTGTATGACTTTTGTATACACCAAGTTTCATGATCCTTGCTTAACTCTGGGCAGTTAAGCTCAGGACACAAAAGGACAGATAGATGGATGTACAATGTGGTGACTGTATGCTTCCCTCTGAAAATTTTCCCGTCTTCTTAAAATAACAGAGAATTCTTATTCAGTGTAACAATTTAAAAGAGAGGTGCCAAAAAGGACTGTAATGTTGGGACTGCACATGGAGACTCTACTATTCAAACTCTTCGTGTTTCTATATTCAACTATTTGTATCCATATATCAAAACAAAATCCTTAGTGTACACAACACTTGTAACACATCATTCAAGCACTTCTTAGTTTGCATTTCCAAGATGAACAGTCACAATCAAAATTTAGCCTGGCACAAAAATATGTAACTATTATTAGGGTAGTACCTGTACATGTAATGAAATATTGACATAAAAACCAATAATTACCTTGATTTCATGTGTCGAGTCAGAGCCCCAGATTCAGTAAATGATCTTCCACATGCTGAACAAGAAAATGGTCGCTCTCCTTTGGGAAAATAAACACATTGCTTTAATATCATACGAAGTATTAGAGAATATACAAGAATGTAAAATTGTAATGACTTGTAATGTATACACTAACTATATCATCTCTTTCATATGACCCAATTTCTTGCCAGCTTTTACAACATATCTTCAGGATAATATTGCAACAAATGCCAATGCAATAAAGTTGGTTTTCCCTTTAATATTGGAATTCATTACTCAGTCTGTATGATAATAACGAAGGTCCACACCATTATCGGCTCCATTAACATGTCTTGGCTAAAGGTGTTTCTTATAAACTACCATTGATGATGTTTTAAACCATTCTAAAATTATGCAACTGTTACAACCATTACCTGTATGCCTCCTCATATGGCGCTTCAGGGACCCCTTTGTCTTGAAGGCAAAAACACAACCCTCAACACCACAAGGAAAATCTCTCTTATTACTGTGTGTCAAAAGATGACTTTTCAAAATATTTATCTGAAATATTATGAAAAATAAACATGTTATATCTCTTCAATCAAATAAGGAATGTATTGAAATTGAACTCAATAGCAACATTTGAAATAAGTTTTGATAATCAGCTTCTGTTATCACATATATAACTGTGTAAGCAGGCAACAGTTTAACATGCAATAACATTCTCTTCCAACTCAGAAAAAAACTGCATCGATTGTTTCCTACAGGATACACATCATTAATTCTTTACTTCAATACAGTAAAATACACTATTGGACTTTTCAAAATATTTGCTCAATTTGTTTTCTTATAAACATTGTTGGTCACTTTTTCTAACTTCCTATGCTCACTGACATTTGTATGTGAATACTTTCAAAAAATCCTTCTCAGATACACAAAACCAAGCATTCCAAAATCATATTTCTAAATGTTCATAATAACTTTTCAGAAAAGTAAAAACTGTACACTCAATGAAGGTGTAAGCATACCTCCTTAAATCTATTCTGACAGATGTGACATTCAAATCGCCGTTCAATATTGTCTGCTACCAGTAGACTGGTTTTCACTTGTTTGTAGTCTGGGTCCTCACAGCTTTCTTCCTCAAGCTCTGGTTCATCCCGTTTGACAACACGTCCTATATTGGCTTCCACTTCCTCCCCCTCCCCATCTTCCTCCCCTACATTAGTTGTGTAGTCTCCAGTGGAGTCATGCACATACTCTACATGTCTCCTTAATGTTGCCTCTCTGATTTACAACAAAGCAGAGATCAGTTAAATCAAAAGGACTCATTGTTACTCACTTTATTTAACATTTAGCATTAAAATAGCATTTGTTGGTACAGTCATAGCAACAACTAGCAATAGATAATGTGAGGACTAAGAAGCAAACATGATTTTAAGCTTATTGCTGATCATGAATAAACATCATGGGTTACACTGTATGCTCTTCAATCAAAAACTATTTTTAACTGTACCTGTTAAATTTGATGTCACATTTAGGACAGTAGTAAGCTGGCTTGTCTGTAATGACTAATTCCTGGTTTACTTCTTCCACATCTTCCTTTTTCTTTCTTTTCCGACCTATAAATTGATTAATCATAGGAAATAATTATCTGTATATTTTATGTTTTTTTTTATTTGAAATCAAATGCATTTAAACATCATGTTTTTTCCTAAAGTTCTTACCTCATTATGCATGAATAAACTTAGGCTCAAAAAAAATGACCTAAATCATCATCTGTTCCAACCAGTCATTGATCAAATTCAACAGATCAGAAAATATTAAAAGTAAAAGAGATAAGGTCTTTTTTTAAATATATACTAGTAAATTATTTATAATTGACATGTAGTTCATAATGTTTTTTAATGTTTGTATTATGCTATAGCTTTATCTGCTGGTCACTCACACCTGAAGTGATCAACTAAGACAACATTTGCTTTGTACATGTAATACTACCTGTAAGATTATAATTAAAAATTTATACCTCTTTTCTGTTTTCTTGTACCACTGTTTTCTTTCTCTGCCCCTTCTCTTCCAGCCTGATTGCCATCAGTCTCTGTGGATGTATCTGTCTGTTTTTGAATCAGCTTGGGGACAACCATTCGTCTATCATGACCGGAACGCGAGAATGTAACTTTGAAGTTATCATGTTTGACTTTGTGCTGTAGGTATTCCTCCAGACTTGTGAACATGATACGACATTTTTTACAGAAGTGGATATCTTCATCTCCCTCATTATCTGTTTCAAAACCTGTACAAAGATCAACAAGTAGCATTATTACAGAACTATGTAGTAGGAATACTAACTTCTTTGATTTGGAATTTTCAGAGAAAAAACTCAAGTCTAATGGTATTGTGACTTAACAATATCAACTTTAAATGCTAGGTTTCAATTAATGTGTAATGACATTGTGCTATCCTTGATAATTAGAGATTTTTCTCAACCCCCAACCCCCCTCCCACCCCCATGCTTGAGGCATAACACCAGGCATCTTTCTGTCAAAATGTCTCAGATCTCATGATGAGGCCAGAGGAAACTTTGGTAAGTATACCAAAAAGTAAATGACAATGTTGTTTTATTGTTGTTACTAATGTTGTACCTTGATTGTACAATGTATATCACATACACATAAGAAACATATAACCAACAATGCTTTACATGAATTACCAGACTGGGAATTTTATAGAGAGTACAGTATTTTTTGTATTTTTTCTGATGAGTCCAGAACACCAATTCAAAAATTTTGATAGTCCCAATACTAAGAGATATAGTGATTTTTCAAAACTTGAGTGAGACCTACAAGCAGAGCATGAGCCCATAACTCAAATATCCAAGTCCCAAAAATCACTTCTAAAAAAGCATTAATTTTTCAGTTTGAAGGGGTAAGTCTATTTCACATATATTTTGACCCTTCAGATTTGTGATTTGTTACATATAATTATTTCTGAGAATGCCCTAGGCCTGCTAGGTAAAAGTTACACTGATTATTAACAGGGTATACAGGTTCATGTTCCCTGTCACAATTGCATGCACACTGGACCATATTCTAACAGGGAATATGCAATATGTGACTGATGAATTATACAGCATACCTTTCCAAAGATCATGTAGTGCAACATTTTTCTCATACTGCAGGGCTCTCGATCTGCCAGATTTGGGGCCGAATGCAAAAAAGTATCCCAATTAAGACCCCAAGTTTTCTCAATTCTAAGGAAAACACCATTATTTTTCCCAATTCAAAGGGCCCTGGGCCCCAGTCCCAAAATGGGGTGTGAGAGCCCTGTACTGCAAAGCTTTAGTGACTAAAAATAATATATTCACAACATGATGAGTTTCTGGATGAATGCCTGACAAACGGAGTCAATCTGCTTTTTTAAATTAAAATAACTTTTTTATGGATTTTTCCTCCCTGATTTATAATTAGTGTTCACTTTTCTAAAAAGTATAGAAGCATTGGCATTCATTCACATACCATGACAGATTTGTGATATCTTAACATCACCAGACCTGGATCCAACAAGGCTGATGTATGTATGGTGCTCTGTTTCAGAGAGTTGTCAGGAAATGTAAACATATTGAATTGGAATGCAAGTCTCACTCAGGGAGTGGGTACATTACCAGTAACCCATATCCCCTTTGTCCTATATATGTCAACTGGTACCGAAAAAAGAACAGGTACATTGCACATGACCGCTTGGCCTTGGAAGTGGTCATATGATATAACACATTTCAGGAAATTATTTAACCAAAAACACAAAACAAGCTAAAAGCTTATGTTAACCTTTCTTTGCCCTGGCTGGAAGTACCATGGGAGGAAATGCGTACATGGAAAAAAAACTTATTTGTTTGTGAGGTGACCCAATATACCTAACTTTTCTCCTCGAAATTTAAATGGGGAATCGAAGAAGATAAGAAGGCACATGCACCTGTATATGGAATGTAAACAACTTAAGTAAAATCCAGTCCTCCATTCATGAGTCCACCATGCATCATATATGGGGCATATATAGTGGACTGGGTTTTACTTGATTTGTTTACATCTCCGACACGTGCATGTGGATTAACAACTTGACATGAAGGATATAGTTTGAAACTGTCAATGATATTGTCCGTGGATAAAAACGCTCATTTTCTGTCTTTAGCTTCTCAAAGCGGTACTTGATAAGAAGATGGATTAGCAAGCCTTGTGAAACCCTTGATGCATACATGGTAAGTCATCTGTAGTGCCATATACCATTTTATGTGTTGTTTACGGTTAATTTGCAATGTTCACAATAACGGACCATTAGGTAGTATCTTCAAATTCATGGTGCGATTTACAAACAATCAAAGAAATTGAATAGGTTATTGATAAGGAAAAGTTGCAGATTTTCACTTACGACGGTTTTTCGTCTGCTTACCTTCTATTGTAGACGTATTTACGACAGATGTGGTGTCGTTAGATTTTTCAGACATGGCGGATTGCGACTATCGACAAAAGGCCTACATTTACATCCGGTAAAAGAATGGGGGGCGTCTCAAAGAGTATTTATTACGATCAAAATGAATAAAGAAAATTGAAAGTTACAATCTACTTATATCCTGAGTCTCAAGATTTCTTCATGTATCTCTCTAAGGATGCAAAATGATGCCCTTACACAAAACATCAAGCGATTATTTTATTGAAAACCCATGAACAATAATTACGTCACCATTTCTTGTGCATGTACCAAAAACGTGACGTTTCACGCAAGTGCTCCTTCGATATGACTTCCACACAGGAGTTAAAAGACGGTAAATAGCAAATCTACAAGCCATCAACAGTTCTAGTGTTAATTCAGTTAACGGCATATGCTACAATTCGATTTCTTTGTGTTTTGAACTATGTAAGATGTGATAAGTTTTCCACAAAACTACTTTTTGACGAAATATGTGACCGATGTGCATGTTCCCACCTGTCTGTGTGAGTTACATGTATTGGGGAATTTAAGGCCCTTTCAATTTATACTCGCTTGTATTCTATGTGCCACCAACACTATTAAACGATCATAACCAAGAAGTAATTCATGATCAGTGCATTAATATTTTATTATAGAAAGATCGTAAAACTTTCTAAAGATTATACGTTGTAGATGAGATGAACTTGTGCAGTTTAGCTGTACAGTATACTGAAAATGTATACGTAAGAAATTAACCACGTTCAAGAATACGTGAAAAGATAAGCGCACGAAAGTATAAATAAATCCTTTACCATAAGAAAGCTTTGCATATTTTGGTTGAAAAGCAGTGTTTGTTTAATGTTTATTTTATTTTCAGTGATCAAAGAAACCTTAGAAAGTCATGGAACTCTGGGACAGATTAAGGCTAGGATAAGAGCTGAAGTTTTCAATTCCCTGGATGACCACGGGGAAACAAAACCTCAACTGAGCAGTGAAAACATGATCATAAATGAACTTATTCGAGAATATCTTGAGTTTAACAAATACAAATATTCATCATCGGTATTAACAGCAGGTATGTATGGTTTTTTTTAATGAACATGAACATGTATTAAAAAATTCTGATATTAAAACTATATAATGAAATCTTTTTTTATTCAAGTTCATTTTTCGTACATTTACTCAAATTTGTCTAATATGTAGATGCGTGCAAATTTTTCTTCTTAAAAAGTTAACCAAAAAGTGCTTTCAGATAAAAAAAAAAACAATAGCAGCGGAGATGCAATCTTGATGTCTCACTTTTGTAACTTCTAGCACTTTCGATGTACCTTGGTCTACATCATAGCTTTTTTCACAAGGGATTGCCGCAAGTATCCATATGCAGTATTCCTGAACTTAACTACTGCATAAAATATTATAATTTGGATGTAAAGTAAGTCATGTATTACAAGCTTAACTTACAATTTTTATGTAATTCTAAACCATATCCAACCAAATTCTATTTTCAGAATCAGGTCAGCCCAAAGAACCATTAAACAGAGAGTTTCTAGCCAGAGAGTTAAACATACGTGAAGACCACACATCTAGTTCAATGTAAGTGTATGTTCTAATGAAAAATTTGAGAGGCAATTCAGGACCTTATGAACTCCCTAGTGCCACAAAGGATATTTTTGCCTCAGTTTCTTTACATTACAAAAATGTGAATCCCAAACTGGAGTTTTCTAACAGTTATATTCACAGTCATTACCTTTTCAGCTTACTGTTTGATAATGGTAGGCTTTTCAAATCACTTTTCATTCATAGTTACTTGTGCTTATTTGGCAGTCTATCTCATAAGTGTTTTTGTGTGATCATACCTTCTCCAGTACTATTTAAAGGATTTCTTTGAAACTCTAATCAATGTAATTAGTATGGGTCCTAGTTCTGCACCTGCATTTTGAGTATATTATACAACTGCCAGCAGCTATTTTAGATCTGGCATTTGATTTTTAAATTTGTGATTGCTATATCTCAAGAAAGCATGCATATTGGGATTCTGTTGAAATTTTATCAACATAAACAGAGTATAGGTCTTAGATGTACATGTGGTATTTCGAGCATGATTGGATTTTTATGCACCCTGAAAATGTTCAGGGGAGGATATAATCACCGGTTAGTCTATTTCTTCGTCTGTCGGTCCTTTCATGTCTGAAGCATAAATTTGCCCACAAATAAGCAAGGATCATGAAACCTGGTGTATACATTTGTCATACTAAGACAATGTGCAGTATACCAAATGCAGGGGCTGCAACCCATTAGTTACAGAATTATTGTCCATATTTAAGATATGTGTCATGAGTATGACTTTGCTTGCATTAAAACTAGGATAATTAAATTTGGTGTATATATTGGTCATAAAAAGACAATGTGCAGTATACCAAATGCAGAGGCTATAACCCATTACTTAAAGAATTATTGTCCATTGTTTAAAATATGTGTCCAATAAAATCATTTTCAGGGAGCAGTTATCAGTTTCACTGATACCCTTGTTACATTTGTTACTATTTCTCTAGGACCAGGAAAGGGATATTTCTTGAAACTCCATCAGAAGTATCAGTCTGGGTTCTAGTTATGCATACCATATTTTCAGTACATGTATATTGATCAAATATCAAAGATGGCTATCCACTTTGGATTAATTAGACTGGAAAATTCTTTTTGCTTTTGAAACAGTATATACTGTAATATATAAATAAATCATCCTTATACCTTGTAGACAATTTTGAAGTATGTATGATTTACAATGGCTGATGTTGATTATTACCATGCAGATTGACTACAAAGAAGACAGATTCTATATGTGTTCATGTATAACTGAATTCATATGTCTGTTTCAATCTGCAGTCATAATCTGAAAATCTTATAACATATCCTCATTTGAAATGTAATGGTACATGTGGCCTGAATGCATTATGGAGAGCTTATAAAAGTAATTTCTATAATTGATCCTTATTGTTTTTTCAAGCCCAATGCTGTACAGTATTGTGTCACATTATATAAAAGACAATAGATCTGTATTAGCCAGATCAACTGTGAGGGACAGATCATCGGCACCTCAGATAGGATCAGCTTTCAGAGACCAAGGTATTCAAAGTTACACATATTTTACTATATTTTTATAAAGTGTATATTCAAATATCATACCATAACTAAAAGAAGCACTTTCATGATCCATTGTTTTGACTTTGTATGCCCAAATAGAAAGGAACCAATTGATACTCTTCATATATAAGTCAAATTTAGACCCATGTCGGTTTGGTGAAAAAGACATGAAAAAAAACATGGTTTTATGTGCTGTTATGAAAATCAATCTTTAATTCCTATTGAATGCTTTTGGCTCTTCTCTTTTCATTTTATCTTGTCTTTTCAGTCAACAGTGTGATTAGATCGAGGGAGGACTGGTATATACCTGATTTGTTTGTTTCATCAAATGACCCATTACATCTAGATATAGTTCTAATGAGACAAAGATGTGAAGCAAAAAATGTATCAACACATTTAAACATTTTTTGTTGTTCCAGATGAGGAAACCGAGAAGGGTATTTTGGTGAGAGGTGGCGCACGATGATATTGGTATAGGATTATAGGGATGCTGACTATATCGCCAGAAACATCATGATAGATAAACTGTGCTAATAATGTGTGATGTATGTGTGATATTATTGTATATTTCTCAATAAGATTTATAGTTGAATGCATCCTCAACACCAAGCACATGTAGTAAATTTAATATCACTGCATGGCAAATCTTTAGTTACAAAAACTTTAGAAGGTAAACCCTAGTGGTGATCTGTATTGAATCTGTTAAATGTAAAACAATATCAAATCCGTCCTTTTGATATGGTGTCAGACCTTTACATGATATTTGTTGTACAATTTCATAATCATATTTTATTATGATTATTGCTGTATAGAACATATTGTTTCCACAAGTAGATTTGTAGGCATTCATGCTTTAGAAATTGCCAGAGATTTGTGTAATACTTTATATTTATACAAAAATGAGGAGTGATGAATGATTGTACGAGAGTGTTTGTACAAAATAATTAGCTTTACTAGATTTCTGGTTCCTTTGAAAATGTGAAAAATACACCTATACAATCTATCATAATATTTGTCAAGCCACAAGTGTGAATTATTTTTATCTTTGTCTTCTAAATACTTCACATATCATCTGTGTATTGAAAAGTTGAAAATGTCATCCAGATATACAATTCACTACATTATTAAGAATTGTACATTTCTGTAAGCATCGATATCAATATTTCAAACACAACATGTACATGTTTATGATATCTATATAATGAAGTAATACAAGAATGTATATGTAAATGCAATACATGTTATTGGATCTTATCATAAGGGTAGACACATTAGAATCCTTCCCAGAAAAACAAGCTACACAAGACTCATATTTTGTTTAAATGCTTTATGTTCTACTACACATTATTTTAAGAGTAGTTTAGGAAAACTAGATATAAATTAGGAACTCACATTCCATGCAAAATGTATCATTATGTTGGTGTACATTCTATGTGTATTTACATCAAGACAAGTATGAAAGGTAAAGGTAAACTGTATGTGAGAGGTAGCTTAAAAAATTAAAATTAAAATGTTAAAAGTATTAGATTGTTGCTATTATTTCATTAGATTCAAATTACATTCACTATGCACAGTAAGACAAATGAACAGCACCTTTCAATACGAATTTAGATTTAGATAGAGTGAAACTAAAATAAAAGTTTAACTGCATCACATGACTAATGCTAAGGGCCTTAATCGTAAAACTATGCAAGGTAAGTTACTGAGGAAAATTCAAAGTGGTCAAAAGAAATGGCAAAGCTTGATGGGAAGATACAAAATCTCTATAATTCAGTAACAAATTGGTGTCATACAACAGGTATGTACTGTACCAAATTCAGGGCCCACACCCCCTTAAATACAGAGTTAGTGACCTTTATATAAAAATTCATGTCCGTAGTATCACTTTGCTTTGGTTATACTAAAAGGGTGTACAGTATACAAAATTCAGTGCATGAAACCCTTTAATTACAGAATTATTGCCCTTCATTGAATTTTTGGTGCAACAAAGACGTTTTGGAGAATATTCGTCAGTAGTTCACTGATACTCTTGTTTCATACCTCTTTTACGTTGGCGTATATATACAATATGGCGAATCGCTATCACTTGTCTTAAATATAATGACATAATGACGTCAATGAAATGGACACATTTACATATAAAATCTACACAGACACAAGCAAATCAATACACAAACATTTCTCAAAATCTATTGCTGGATTTTTTAAAATTTTGCACATGTCTGAACACATGGGAGTTTAGGTCCACAGAAAAATCTGAACTACCAAACAAAAGAAGTTCTAAATACAAGTCTATACCTACATCGTTCAAATTGTGAAGAATAAGACACCTTTCAGATATGACATGCATTCTCATAAGGATGTCCAAAGTTGTAAACTGGATCTACGACAAGATGCAGTCTTTAAGATTACCATATTTGTGCTTCAGTTTAGTGTGTATGCACAATCTTAAACTGGAAAAATGAATAATTTAAAAATTTTGGAAAAACTATTTCGACAGAGCAAATATTTCCATCTTCGTATGACGTGAATTTTCTCTATAATATAGCAGAATATAATATATTAATTAATATGACCCCCACCCCACCCTTGTGATTATGGAATTAATATGACCCCCACCCCACCCTTGTGATAAAAACTTTTCCATCAACGTTCAACTATATACCTTCATCTATTTCGATAGAATTAGAAATAAATATTGCCTCTGTTTTGTCTAGATTAAATGTTAATAATCAAGTTTAAAACCAGAAGTATACAGACTCAGCATTCCTATTCAAGATTGTTCGAATTTTAAGATATGAAGAAGAAGACTTTATTAAAGAAGTGTCATCTAGGAAAGGTCTAGCAGCTGATAATGTATATTTAAAACAAGAGGGCAAGAATGGAACCTCAAAAAGTTAAGTTCAAACCTAACTGAGAGTAAGAATTATTTATATCTGTTATCTACGAAATGATTAATTTTCTGACCAGATATAAAGTTTACCGCAAAGTCCTTACAATTTTCACTTCATCAAATATTTATACTCAATTTAATCAAAAGCCTTTGAAATATCACAAATCACTGCTTGAAACCTTGCTGATGCTTACAAAACATAGCTCTCTACGAATTAATTATGTAGGTGCTTGAAAATAACTAGTAAAATGACTAAATATAGGTAAAAAATGTTATATTGAAATGTAAGTTTGAAGTTAAGACGTGTCAATAATAAAACTCTTCATGATGTTATTTCAAAGGTATATATATATATATAGAGAGAGAGAGAGAGGCATGACTTATTTATTCTGTAGCCAGATGGGTTATAGGGAAATGGTGTTCCATCAAATTATAAAATAAAAAATATTGCAGAAACAAAACTATTGGTTTCATTTGAAGTATATCTTAATAAGATTTATGCTGATGTGACAGGACAGTAAACACTAAATATAGGGGAAGCAGGATTACAAACTGACCAGGATGATTTCCTTTCATTAAAGTACGCAGTATACAATTGTATGTGTATCTATTTCTATATACGTGTTATCTATGTACATATTCCTATGTAAAGTCAATATCTATTGATTTAAGGATTGTATTGGTCAGCAATAATTTAGCTAACATCAGCGTAGACACATGGGTTAAGTGGGGGTGACAACGGTCATTTTGGCAGGGTGTTAAATAGACGAGAGATTTTGGGGTTTAGGAGAGAAGGCCGGGGAGCGCTGGAGAATGAAACACCATCTCTCACAATTATGGCAGACTCTGCTTTTACATAATAAAGCTACCTGAAAGAAGAAACAACGCCTTCACTTATACTCAATCGGGCCAAAATTTGATTACAGCTGAAGTGAATCATATCTTGCGACACCCAAACTTAACAACTTTATCCAACCTTCATTGTCTGTGTTTCAACCCTAATCCACAGCCTGTCTTTCTAATTCCATGACCTGAACATCAACCCTGACATAGTATTTAACACTAACAATTTAACACATGCATTGTAAAACACGGCTCCTACCTCTAAAAGGCTGACCATTGATCCCTGATAACCTTAACTTCACTTTCTCCTCCAGACTAAATTTCCACTACCAGACCTACAATCCTACAGCGTGTTAAATTAACGACAGACCAACTGGCCTTCATTCTCGAAATCCTTACCTTCAGGTACATTTGAAACTTGCTAAGTAATAAAAAAAATGTCAACATAATCATAATCTAAACTCAAATTCAATAAAACTAGGGAAATTAACAAAAGAAATATTTAAACGGTGTCTCCTGAACAGCAAAAGAGGGATAAGACCATATTTTCCGGAAGAGCAAGCATCTGCTTCATCGACGATACTCGCCAGGATAATGTCTGGTTGAACATGAGAATGAGGTATACAACCTAACGGGACCAACAGGCAAACTAGCGTGAACGAAACACCAGCTTCATATCGCACATTGAAATAGAGTATTTCTCAATGAGATCAGTATGACGCCCATAAAACTTCACCATGGTTTTAATCATTCTGGATCTTTTGAAACCCTGTCTTATGAGTTTGTCCGTTAGCTTACGACTTCTTGCACGAATATCGTGATAATGAAAAACGGGCCCTTGAATATCGAATCAACTGCGACAAGTAAATACCGTAGGTTGGGGATGCAGTAATATTGCTTTCCATAATGATGTATGGAGGTGTACGGAGTAGAAAATCAAATGTCCTTAGAGAAGAAATGTTTCTAGAAAAGAGGTGTTAAAAATTGGTCAAGCACTTTTTGAGTTCTTTAAAATCCACATACTATCAATTTCACTTCTTGAGTAAACAGTATTTAGAATGGCGGTTAGTAGTTTTGACAAAGGCTTGGTTGAACAGCTAGACAAGTCAGCAATAAAACGTTGTTTGCATAGATTCTTGTGAAGTTTATAGGAGTCCAATATAAACGAGAGAGGTCCGCATCCCATCATTATTAAGCAATCTAAGTTATTGCAATACTGCAGCATGATTAGCCAGTATTTTGTCCTTAGAAATATAACATTATGTATAGGTGTGGTTTCCTTCGTTATCAAGAAAGCCCGGTTTGAGGAAATGTAATAATGTTTGGAGACAAGGATCGAGTTATTTGATGCCTTACCTGCAAGCACAATAACATACCTGTCGTGTAAATCTTGCAGTGTGGATTTAATATCAGGATCAGGGAATGCTGATCTTTGCTTTGTTTTCATTTTACTTATTTTAAGAATAATGAACTGAATAGACTTAACTCAGAAAGTGAACCATTGCAGCATATGTTCTCGTTTCAACCATTCTCTGGCATACTTTTCAACGGCATCCATAAGTATCTTGATATTCATATTCAAATAATGGACAGGGTTTCACGATTTAGTTCAGCCTACGAAGCCTGGTCCCGTCGAAAAAAAAACTATTTAATTAGCATGCATCCTGACTAGTCTGAACACTGAATGAACTTTTTCAATGCCCGACTTTTAATATCCACAGTGCGCTTCGACACAGCCGGACTTTCAACCCATTAGTATTCGACCTTCAGCGATGAAAGCACATACATAAACAACCTCCCCCCTCCTCCCCCCTTACCCTCGCACACAAACAAAACAAAAGACCAACAACCGCAGTCTGATATTTTAGTTGACCTCCCTTCTGACTCTCAATAGCATACATCCAACAATTTCAAGACCCACAACATTTTTGACATCTGTAAACAACCATCTGTTCCAATATACTCATCCACACTCAGTCTCGTACGTAAATGTAAATCGACGAATCCAGTGTGTGTATCTTTGATAGTAGGGAGAGAAACATTTTAGGCAGAAAGACAAATGGAGTACCCAGTAGTTTAAATTCATTGGTCGGCTGTGAGGTGGGTGTTAATTGTTTTAAGATTAGTAGAAAGATCAGTAAGAAAATGATATGGCTTGATCCGATTGAGGTTGGCAGTTGATTATAAGGAAATTGAAAAGGAAAATGTTTTTTGAAATTAAAAAGTTTTGTGGTAACAGAATGTGGTGTGTGCATGTTTTATACACAGTGATAACTGTGTATATTTTGAACTGTAAATAAAATCTAAATAGAAAAAAAACATCATCGTACAATAGTTATATAAGTGGTAAAGTCGTGCTCTATCACACAAATAGATGATAATTATCACACATTTATTACAAAACATTACATACCACGTTGTGATTTTACATGCTTATTGTACATTTTACAAAATTATAGACAATCAGGTGTTAAAATCAATGACATAAACTTGTATTGAATCATTGAAAATTTCCCGTTAAGTAGCTTAGCCGCAGTCGAGTTTCGCGTTTGACCACAGCGATCTGAAAATTGTCCAAAATTCACATTAAAAGTGGATTAAACTAACGCGTTAGCATTAACGCGTTAACCATGCTTTTAACGATTTGTTCATTTTCTTCAGTAGGTCATTTTAACAAGTTTCAAGTACAAACTTCCAAAGCTGTTGGTCTGTTTTATTGCGTTAGGATTCAACGCCTTAAACGTATCGGTTTAACGGTTTTTAGATCGGGTAACGCATTAATTATCCAGTTTCTGGCATGGAATGTATGCATATATGATTCGCCTGTGGATAACTCAGAAAATTATAGAATTTCAATCACGAATATTTACTTAAGGTATGCATACAGGCTATTGTTATTTAAATGATTAAAGGTTTGGTAAAACGGATAACGCTCAGTGTTGGTCTTCCAATATAGTTCCGTTTCAATTTCCTGCAGACAACTACCCGTAAGGAATTATTGATTCGTTTTTCATTAAGTTATCTGTTTATTTTTAATTTCAGTGTGTTTTTGACTAAAACTGTTATTAGATTGTGGAATTTGAGTGAAGGTTTTTTTTTATCTTATTTATCTGTCTTAAATTATTATATATAGTAAAAGTTTAGAAGATTATCAATAAGCATACCATCTATTAAGTGTTTGTCAGTGTATAGACTTTGATGTATAAGTTTCCAACATTTTGAATTTAGATACTGTATGTGTAAAAACCTATCAGTTAATGGTAGTCTTTTTATGTCAACTGTTCTGTGGGAAAACCCATTACATGACCTGGAAGCTTTTTCTGTCTTGGCAGATTATACAAATCACAAACTATAACAGATATCTTGGCTGTTAAGTTCGAGAAGTACGTTTATCTGTTTTGTAAGTCCCTGGTTTGAGGTATGACTCGCAAAGAATCCTCACTATCTAACGACGAATTACTTCATATTTTGGCCACCTTGGCAGCAAAGATGTCCCCTGAGTGTAACATGTGTATCTGAGCATGGTGCTCATCCTCAGCTAGTTACAATGTGCCTGGATTGACATTCCACAATCATATGGCTCTTCATTATCATTGGCTGCGGTTTTTTTATTGTTTAGTTTGTGATTTAATAGCATTGATTACTACAAACTGTAGTTTAGATTGAGATGAATGACTTATACTTTAAAATAAAATAGAATCTTAAATAAAATTCAAACATTTTTGTATCAAACTGCACTAAGTGTGATGTCGGAGTCATGTATATGTTTCTGATGAGTTTTCCTTTACTGGTAAGGTCAACTGGCTTAGAAGCATCCCAATGTATATCAGAAATAGGAACCTTCATTAAATCTTGTTATATTGAATTAAGTCATGTAGAGGTATATCTTAAATATACACGTATGTAAATTATTCCAATGAAATACTCATTTAAAAATAAAACACATAAAAACTTCACATAAGAATAAACAAAGTTTCAACAGAATATAAAGTAATGCTAAATCTTAATCATTTGTTTATCTGGTATTCGATGGTGCATATAAAATTCTTGTTTGTTTTAAAAGGCTTTAACTCTACTGTACATTAAAAAAAGCTTCTGACCAGAGACTGCCTAGATGTAGGTCCCTGGATCTATTTGAAAGGTTAGTTTTCGGGTTAAATTGTATTATCATTCGACGAGTGAGCCATGCGCAGAGCAGTGTAAACAAGATGGCGGAGATGACAACAGTCGTGACTCGTCGATACAAAATCGAACCACTGAATAAATACTTAGATATTTACCGCACAAATGCGATAATTTTGGATTTTTTTTTATTTTATCACATAGTAACAGATTCATTGGTTATGTTTAAAATACCCAAAAGGGTTATCAAAATACCCGTCGCACGACCGTATGATTTGTGATGGGAACTTTTCTGACAGTTTTGCACATTTCGCAAGGGTCTTGCAGAGAAATGTAGATGCTTTGTACAATAAATTAGCGTTAAACAAATACTTAGATATTGTTATTTTTACATGATCAGTGCAGAGACGTATATATCACACGTGATAATTCATCAGTGTGAATTCCTGTATAATTCATGCGCAATGCTCGACGGACACTTCCGTAAAAGGTCTAAATTCGGGAACGGTATCGATTTGGGTAGTATCACGTTACGTGTATTGTATTTAACATGAAACCTACATTCCCTTGCGTATATATTGTTTATGATATTAAGATAGGTGACAACATATTTTTGAATCATTGAATATACGTCAGAATCTCAGGACCTGTGAGATACTTCGTATTGGAAAATCTGTAATAAACGTATCCGGATTTGAAGATCCGACCAAATTCACATTCTACTATTGGTTTATACATGACCTACCTCCAGGAAGCGCTGTATATGAATTTCAATACAACTTTACTACTTCTGTAACGTAAGTGACGAACATCTTGAAAGATAAGACAATTGTCGCCATCATAAACATATAAGCGGTGAACGGTTCTTTTTATAGATTACTCTTTTCGAGAGGACCACAGCACACTATTTTGTCATAAGTAAATAATAATCTACGCCAAGTTGATAGAGAAACAGACTTAGTTAGGAGTAAACCATTGCCAATGGCATTGACTGCAACCTATCGTTTGAACATCACATACAGGAGAAAATTAATAAAGCTAACATGGTATGGAGCTCACACGAATATAAACTAGCAGTCCATAGAGCTAAGAAAGGCATTGGCAAATATCTCGATATATCAACACCTGGAATAGTCTGTCTGAAAATGTTGCAAATGCTCCAAATCTCAAAATATTTGAGTCTAGACTCGACAGGTTCTGGCGGGGGAAAGGATTTATTTATGACTATAGAGCTGCTCCACCCAAAACAATAAGAAAGAAGAAGCTGAATAGAGAGGTCTCCTAGACCTATGTTCGGTATAATATCCTGAGGTAATAAGTAAACAATGGACGCAGGCAAAAGAAATACCTCTATATCCATATCTAAAGTTATATGATGACCAGGAGGTGTTTCCTATAAAAATTCTTAAGATTCTCACTTATTACTTATGTATAGCCAATTAAGTGTTAAAATAGTAAAAACATTTCACCATTTTCAAGTTGAAATGACATTTAAAGTTTCCTCTTTATATATTGTTCCTGGGAAGGCACACAATTTTTCTACTCAATTGCGGTCCACGGACACAGTATACATAATCCTCCGTTTCATTGTTTTCTTTCTGTTTTGCTTCCTTGTATAATGCTTTCTCTGCTTCTCTTTCACAATGTGTTAAGTCATTTCTTATTCACTTTGAGGAAAGTTGACTATGATTTCTTATTTTTCTAATACTTTTAAAGATTCCTTTCTTTGGTTGTTGTGACTCAAAACGAACTAGAATAGGCTGTCTGTTATTGGTTATGTCACTGGACTCTGGTCTCTTTCCCAATCATATAATTTTTCTAGGCCTATCTTTGTTTGACACTCTACAGACTTCTAATAAATTTCCTACAACTTTAGCATCTTCTTCCATACATTTCTTTCTGTCGTGATGGGACTGTTCTAGAACTCCAAATAGAATTATGTTGTTTTCCCTCTCTGCTCGCTTTTTAATTTCAGCAACTATTTCGTCTTTACTTGGTGCAGATTTCTCAGATTTCAAGTTCATTTCAAGTTTAGCAATTAACCCTTTTACCTCTCTTTCAAGTTCTGCAATTTTATCTTCAAATTCTTGCCTGATTCCCTCTCTTCTATTTTTCTGTCCGTGAGAATATTCTTTTTGACTGTCATTCTACATGGTGGACAAAACCACTTTGTATATGATTTTGATAGGTTGTCATATTTCTTTGAATAAAAATCCAGACATCTGATGCAGTAAAGGCATTGATCACACTTCATGTACTTCTTAGCTTTCTTCGAGCCTATCTTGCAGTTATACTATACCTCCATCAATGCGTCATTGAAGGACTCTTCCAAGTTGGATCCCAGTGGAGAAGCCGATTTCTTGCTACTTCATGCACTTCCGGTTTTGCCTAGTGGCTTCTCTTTACCATTTAGGGGTTCATTTCACCATAATGGTGAAATGAACTGAGGTTCACTTAACCATGGGTTTCACTTTATCATGCTCAACTGATTCATATTAATTTAAACCAAGGTAAGTGGACAAAAACTAACAGTAGTTTTGCATCCCTCTTTTTAAGTATGAAAGTAAGTTTCCAATGATTATTTACAAAGTTTGAAAAGGATAACATTTTTTTGTATACAATGTGCATATATAAGTAATCTCTTCACAGATGAACAAATTGGGAACAGTCTGCAATTTTTGCAGACAAGGTGATGAAGAAGCATCACAATTATGTGGCAAACTACATGTTGAAAAGATTGGTGATGGTCAAATAGTTGCAGCTCATCATAAGTGTATGGTAAGTAGAAATATTTTCACTCCTTATGCTGGGTTATATAAGGATTTTTCAACTGATCATCATAAGACTGTAGGCTGTTCAAATTTACATATGTATTCTCCCATGGTCTGTCCTTCCATACACAAATCTTATTGCATATTCTGATAAAAAATGCTGTATAAACCTATTATATCATGATCTGTAGATCTGATGATGGTGGACTTTTCAAATCGCCCTGTGTCTGTGGTCTGTCTGTAAAATAATTTTTGTTATTGCTGTTTCTTGAGAAGTATTGGATGGACCTTTCTTAAATTTCGTATGTAGCTTCACTTTTGTCCATAGTTATGCCCATTTGATTTTGGTACTGATCAAAAAAAGCAAAACGCCCAACAGACGTCCTTCTTGGATTTTTACTTAGACAGTTTGTTATCGCTATTTCTTAAGAAATGCTGTGTAGATTAAATTTCATGGATATGTTCCACTTTGACCCTAGTTGTGCCCATTTAATTGTTTGACTGATAAGAAAAACGATTGGCTGACATGTGGTCATCTTGGATTTTGACTTTGCAAGTTTGCTATCGCTGTTTCTTGTAAGGTACAGGATGGATCTTTCTCAAATTTCCTATGTAAGTTTCCCTTGGTCCCTATTTGTGCCAATTTGATTTTGGGATCGATCAGAAAAAGCAGAATGGCCCACAAGTAGCCATTTTGGATATAGCCTTCAAAAGTTTGTTATCACTTTTTCTTAAGAAGCACCCAGTGGATATCTCAAATTTCATATGTGTGCTCTCTTTGGTCTCTCCTTATGCTCATTTGATTTTCAGACTGATCTGAAGAAACAAAATGGCTTCCAGACAGCCACTTTTGATTTGGCTGGTAAAGATTATCATCAGTATTTCTGCAAAGGAATGTTCAAATGTCTTATCATTAAGAAAAAAAACAGAGAAGAGCAAAGAAAGGAAAAGATCCAAATTTAAAAGAGCAAATAAGGATCAAACAACGGTGGTCGCCTAGATCCCTCTGGGCTCTCGTTATAACATTAATTGAATTCATCAGTCTAGAAATTTGAATTTCAGTTCTGTAGCCAGTTTACAGATTGATTAAGAAAAAGAAAAAGCCATTTTGGTTTTTGACATTTCAAGTTTAATTCTCTAATCTATGTTTAAAATTTAAGACTTCCCTTTGTAGCAGGCCATCTGATAATTAATTAATGGATATATATATTTGTTTATTATTTAACCTGAAATAAGTCCATAAGCTCGTCCATTTTGGTCCATTAAATGTTTGATTTAACTTTCCTATTTTAAGATTGTGTATCAGGTGGCATCATTTTAACTCTTTAAAAACTGATCTTTTATTGTAATGGAAATTTAAATAAGAACTTTGTTTCAAATCTGCTTTATGTTTATTGCTATCTTATTCATCTGAATGTGTCTTATAAATGATATTACAAACTGAAACTTTTCTATGACTTCAACTGTTCTAATTGTAAATATTTTTGATTTAAAGTTTTACACCCCGAGCATCTCTTCACCCAACAGAATAAGTAATATCTTGCTCTATGATATGAGCCCAGTACTCCCCTTCTGATGAGAGTATTTTCTATTTAGAAGTGAGAAAACAAGTTCATTTTTAGCTCATGAAAGTAACTGCAGCAAGAAATCCATCTGCATATTGCTAGAATAATGATACCACATACTTTACTGTTAATTTGCATTGTTCCCATTGAATTTTCAGCAATACTCAGCTGGCCTGGTCCAATATAAATTTGACCATTTTGGTGGATTCAAGATTGATAAAGTTCAGGGTGAACTCAAAAGAGGGGGTTTCATTGTAAGTATACATATATTTGTAGCCCTCCGAGCTTCAGACGATTTTGCATTTACATGGGTCATTGGGCCCATCTAGCCCAAAAAGTAGGGGTAATTTTTCAAAACCATGGGCCAGCAATTCTGAATGATAAATAAAAACATAATTTTAACCTTTGTCTATATTTTTTTCATTTATTCATTTTACAAACAGAGAAAATAGTTCTTCGTTTTTTAATCCTCCACAGCTGGACTGCCCATCCAAAATCAAACTTCCCCAGCTCTGACCCACTCACACAAACATGCATCAATTTGTCACATGTCTCTGGGGAGATGCTTGCCCTTTTAGCTGTGGGGATGTAGTTCTGAACACTAAAAGATCTTTCACAATCAGCTGTATATGTGGGACTGGTGAGTGCAAGGGCAGCTAATTTTATCAAATTTGGAAATTTTTCTTTGTGGTATTGATGGATGGGGGCCCAGAGATCCACCATCATGTCTTTTGGAAAAATTTCTGCTAGTACTACTTGCTTGCATACCTGCCATTCCTGTTTCGTTGCCTCTCCTTCTATATAGGGTCCTACTACCTTTCTCTCATTCATATCATTCACTGTCCACTCATGCACCTTCTCTGTTCCAAACTGGTCAATCAGCACTTGCAATTTTTCATTTCCTCACTCACCTAACTGTTTCCCTTGGCCTAAACTTGAAATTGGGCACATGCTCAACAAACCATACGCAGCTAGAATGTCTGTTTGTGGGAATCTATCTGACAGATTTTCATTTAGTTTTTCAACAAATTTTGACACAAGTGTTGAAGACAAGTTGGTCATGGAAATCTTACAGTTTTTGTAAGTTTTGTCATTTTTGTCGACATCACTGTCCAACAGTTTTACAAAAGAATTGTCCTGCTTACCTTCAGGGATTTTCCTGAGCTTTACATTTTTCCAGGTAAACACCTACCATTGCAGGATCAAGATTATTTTTCTGGAATGATTGTGATAATATCATAATTGGTGCTAGAACATCCAACATCAGATGGTTGAGGTACTCAAATTTGTAAGTACAACTTTTCCTAGCCATGCCCTCACCTTTCGGATCTTTCCTTTTATCAATTCCTTTGAAGTATGTGATCAGGGCAGGGAGACTTCTTTGAACAGAGGAAAGTGCTTAAAAAAATGATAACCATCAAACCTGGTGAACTTCCATGAGTTTCAGTGTTGGAAGTTCTAGCACCTTTTGGATATTTTCAAGAGTTTGAACTTTTGCAGATGCATGTTTGAAATAATAAAACAAGTCAGTAAGTGTCTGTTAAAACTCTTTCAAAGTTGGAAACTTTTCTGTACATTGGCTGCTCACAAGAGCAAGCCTGTGCACAAGACAATGTACATTTACAGTCATGTGATTCTGTTTTGATTACAGACTGTTTTTATTCAACACTCATTGTAATTAACCGTTTAACACTTCAATTTTTACACCAGACCCACTGACCTATTTCTCTATTGTTGTGACCGGGTTGACGAGCCAAAAAAATTGATGTAATGTAAATGTCATTCTATTTTACAATTACGTGACCGACAGTAACACTACCTTTCTTATATTCGAAGTATTTACTAACTGATTCTTTTTTTTTGAGTTTGTCCATGACAACTCACAATTCCATCTGACATATTCCCCACAAAATGTGTTGTTCTGTTGTATGATCTTACAGTTTCGCAGAAAACTTGCAGAACGCAAACTACTTTCGTTTTAGCATATATTTGCCATGCGCCAGCAGGCTCTTGTGGAAACAAAGTGGTGAATCATTTTCAAAATTTATGCGGGATTGCCCCGGGTGCGCCGTCAATCTGAAGCTCTGAGCCCTGGAAATATTTTTGATAATTCATCACTTAATTGAAATATAATTAGAATTATAAAATATAAAATAGAATTAAAACACATATCAAGCAACACTGTATCACTAATAACAAATTGGTGTCTACACTGTATCACCAACAACAAACTGGGGTATACACTATATAACAAACAACAAACTGGTGTATACACTATATAACAAACAACAAACTGGGGTATACACTGTATAACAAACAACAAACTGGTGTGTACACTGTATAACAAACAACAAACTGGTGTATACACTCTATAACAAACAACAAACTGGTGTATACACTGTATCACCAACAACAAACTGGGGTATACACTGTATCACCAACAACAAACTGGTGTATACACTGTATCACTAATAACAAACTGGGGTATACACTGTATCACTAATAACAAACTGGGGTATACACTATATAACAAACAACAAACTGGTGTATACACTGTATAACAACAAACTGGGGTATACACTATATAACAAACAACAAACTGGGGTATACACTGTATAACAAACAACAAACTGGTGTATACACTATATAACAAACAACAAACTGGTGTATACACTGTATAACAAACAACAAACTGGGGTATACACTGTATCACCAACAACAAACTGGTGTATACACTGTATAACAAACAACAAACTGGGGTATACACTGTATCACTAATAACAAACTGGTGTATACACTGTATAACAAACAACAAACTGGGGTATACACTGTATCACCAACAACAAACTGGTGTATACACTGTATAACAAACAACAAACTGGGGTATACACTGTATCACTAATAACAAACTGGTGTATATACTGTATAACAAACAACAAACTGGTGTATACACTGTATCACCAACAACAAACTGGTGTATACACTGTATAACAAACAACAAACTGGGGTATACACTGTATCACTAATAACAAACTGGTGTATATACTGTATAACAAACAACAAACTGGTGTATACACTGTATCACCAACAACAAACTGGTGTATACACTGTATCACCAACAACAAACTGGTGTATACACTGTATCACCAACAACAAACTGGTGTATACACTGTATCACCAACAACAAACTGGTGTATACACTGTATAACAAACAACAAACTGGTGTATACACTGTATCACAAACAACAAACTGGTGTATACACTGTATAACAAACAACAAACTGGTGTATACACTGTATCACAAACAACAAACTGGTGTATACACTGTATCACAAACAACAAACTGGTGTATACACTGTATAACAAACAACAAACTGGTGTATACACTGTATCACAAACAACAAACTGGTGTATACACTGTATCACCAACAACAAACTGGTGTATACACTGTATCACCAACAACAAACTGGTGTATACACTGTATCACCAACAACAAACTGGTGTATACACTGTATAACAAACAACAAACTGGTGTATACACTGTATAACAAACAACAAACTGGGGTATACACTGTATCACCAACAACAAACTGGTGTATACACTGTATAACAAACAACAAACTGGGGTATACACTGTATAACAAACAACAAACTGGGGTATACACTGTATAACAAACAACAAACTGGTGTATACACTGTATAACAAACAACAAACTGGGGTATACACTGTATCACCAACAACAAACTGGTGTATACACTGTATCACCAAAAACAAACTGGGGTATACACTATATAACAAACAACAAACTGGTGTATACACTGTATCACCAACAACAAACTGGGGTATACACTGTATCACCAACAACAAACTGGTGTATACACTGTATAACAAACAACAAACTGGTGTATACACTGTATCACCAACAACAAACTGGGGTATACTGTATAACAAACAACAAACAGGGGTATACACTGTATAACAAACAACAAACTGGTGTATACACTGTATAACAAACAACAAACTGGTGTATACACTGTATCACCAAAAACAAACTGGGGTATACACTATATAACAAACAACAAACTGGTGTATACACTGTATCACCAAAAACAAACTGGTGTATACACTGTATAACAAACAACAAACTGGTGTATACACTGTATCACCAAAAACAAACTGGGGTATACACTATATAACAAACAACAAACTGGTGTATACACTGTATCACCAACAACAAACTGGGGTATACACTGTATCACCAACAACAAACTGGTGTATACACTGTATAACAAACAACAAACTGGTGTATACACTGTATCACCAACAACAAACTGGTGTATACACTGTATAACAAACAACAAACAGGGGTATACACTGTATAACAAACAACAAACTGGTGTATACACTGTATAACAAACAACAAACTGGTGTATACACTGTATAACAAACAACAAACAGGTGTATACACTGTATAACAAACAACAAACTGGTGTATACACTGTATCACCAACAACAAACTGGTGTATACACTGTATAACAAACAACAAAATGGTGTATACACTGTATCACCAACAACAAACTGGGGTATACACTGTATCACCAACAACAAACTGGGGTATACTGTATAACAAACAACAAACTGGGGTATACACTGTATAACAAACAACAAACTGGGGTATACACTGTATCACTAACAACAAACTGGGGTATACTGTATAACAAACAACAAACTGGGGTATACACTATATAACAAACAACAAACTGGTGTATACACTGTATCACCAACAACAAACTGGGGTATACTGTATAACAAACAACAAACTGGTGTATACACTGTATCACTTATAACAAACTGGGGTATACACTATATAACAAACAACAAACTGGTGTATACACTGTATCACCAACAACAAACTGGGGTATACACTATATAACAAACAACAAACTGGGGTATACAATATATAACAAACAACAAACTGGGGTATACACTGTATCACCAACAACAAACTGGTGTATACACTATATAACAAACAACAAACTGGTGTATACACTGTATCACCAACAACAAACTGGGGTATACACTGTATAACCAACAACAAACTGGTGTATACACTATATAACAAACAACAAACTGGTGTATACACTGTATCACTAATAACAAACTGGTGTGTACACTATATAACAAACAACAAACTGGTGTATACACTGTATCACCAACAACAATCTGGGGTATACACTGTATAACAAACAACAAACTGGGGTATACACTGTATAACAAACAACAAACTGGTGTATACACTGTATAACAACAAACTGGGGTATACACTATGTAACAAACAACAAACTGGGGTATACACTATATAACAAACAACAAACTGGTGTATACACTGTATAACAACAAACTGGGGTATACACTGTATAACAAACAACAAACTGGTGTATACACTGTATAACAAACAACAAACTGGGGTATACACTGTATAACAAACAACAAACTGGTGTATACACTGTATAACAAACAACAAACTGGGGTATACACTGTATCACCAACAACAAACTGGTGTATACACTGTATCACCAAAAACAAACTGGGGTATACACTATATAACAAACAACAAACTGGTGTATACACTGTATCACCAACAACAAACTGGGGTATACACTGTATCACCAACAACAAACTGGTGTATACACTGTATAACAAACAACAAACTGGGGTATACACTGTATCACCAACAACAAACTGGGGTATACTGTATAACAAACAACAAACAGGGGTATACACTGTATAACAAACAACAAACTGGTGTATACACTGTATAACAAACAACAAACTGGTGTATACACTGTATAACAAACAACAAACTGGTGTATACACTGTATAACAAACAACAAACTGGGGTATACACTGTATAACAAACAACAAACTGGTGTATACACTGTATAACAAACAACAAACTGGTGTATACACTGTATCACCAACAACAAACTGGTGTATACACTGTATCACCAACAACAAACTGGGGTATACACTGTATCACCAACAACAAACTGGGGTATACTGTATAACAAACAACAAACTGGGTTATACACTGTATAACAAACAACAAACTGGGGTATACACTGTATCACTAACAACAAACTGGGGTATACTGTATAGCAAACAACAAACTGGGGTATACACTATATAACAAACAACAAACTGGGGTATACACTATATAACAAACAACAAACTGGTGTATACTGTATAACAAACAACAAACTGGTGTATACACTGTATCACCACCAACAAACTGGTGTATACACTATATAACAAACAACAAACTGGGGTATACACTATATAACAAACAACAAACTGGTGTATACACTGTATCACCAACAACAAACTGGGGTATACTGTATAACAAACAACAAACTGGGGTATACACTATATAACAAACAACAAACTGGTGTATACACTGTATCACTAATAACAAACTGGGGTATACACTGTCTAACAAACAACAAACTGGGGTATACACTGTATCACCAACAACAAACTGGGGTATACTGTATAACAAACAACAAACTGGTGTATACACTGTATCACCAACAACAAACTGGTGTATACACTGTATCACTAATAACAAACTGGTGTATACACTATATAACAAACAACAAACTGGGGTATACACTATATAACAAACTACAAACTGGGGTATACACTGTATAACAAACAACAAACTGGTGTATACACTGTATCACTAATAACAAACTGGTGTATACACTGTATCACTAATAACAAACTGGTGTATACACTATATAACACAACAAACTGGTGTATACACTGTATAACAAACAACAAACTGGGGTATACACTGTATCACCAACAACAAACAGGGGTATACACTGTATAACAAACAACAAACTGGTGTATACACTGTATCACTAAAAGAATAGATATATGCTAATTTAGAAGTAAATCTACTCTTTTTTTATTCTGATACTAGAAGAGAAGTTTTCTGCTTTATTTTTGTGTCGCCTGCAGAGCTGGCAGACACTTAGGGATCACTTTGTCCGACGTCATGCATCATGCCTCTTCGAAAATTCTTCGAGAAATGATTTTATGTACTTTTCTTGATTATGCTTGGAGTTTTTTAAATGTTATATGAGAAATGGCTTCAAGGTCAAACATTACAGATAAGGGTCGATTCACTGCTCTCTTGATAGAGAAGCAGACTTGTCACCTTTGCACCTTTATATTCCATCTTAAGTGAAGAACTTTAATGTCACAAACAACAAGCATACACTATACTTACAGTCAGATAAACACAACAGGACCGCTATAAAGGTTAAAATTGGACAAACACATTTGAGAGAAGAGATAAACATAAGGGGACCCACATCCCCTACCCCCACCCCTTTCAAAATATTGGAAGGACCTATATCCCATAACCATACCCACAGTCTTCCTTCCTTATCTTTCAACCCCCTTATTGCAAAGAATTCAAGTTATCCCCTAGAACTCATTTGATCACAAATCATAAACATATAAATGTTGGAAAGTTAACAGTTTTGTGAAGCCAGGAACAGTGTGGAATACAGAAAGTGTGGTAATTGATCAAGTGAGCTGTTTACAGAGTGGCAGAAAAGAAAGGGAATGAAGATTTATGTATTGATACCAAAATTATATCAGCATCAGCACCTTACTTACAATTAAATACTAACACAGACTGTTGGATGAGACTTATAATGGCTGCCCTAATTCGGTCCTATTGATGCAACAAGCTTGTTGAACATGCCAGGTGATATAGACTGCCCATATCTACCTCATCTCTTTATCCCACTCTCTCCCATCACTTCATACTTTTCCATCTCTACTATTTTCCTATTGTTTTGTTGTCCACTGAAAGGTCAAAAGGTCATAATAAATGACATAAATAAATAAAGAAATCAACAAATACTGCAACAAAGCAATGCAGACCAAAATATGTTATAAAAATCAACCAATTAATACTAAGTTAGCTTTTGATAAGTCAAGCATTTTTGTCAGCACAGGATGATTCCCACTTTTTATTTTCTATATTCCCAACTGATATTTCATTAAGTAGAGTATAAAGTATTTAGTCCAAGGTATATGAATACAGTATTTTGCCTCATTTCAGTTTGACTCCTCTGTTTTGGTATTCATAAAGCTATGCTGTTTTTAGGTTTTGTCTTTTTCATATTATATGATTTATCTGGTATAAAATACAGTGTAGCAAATGAATTCTGTGATTCCATCAAGAGCTTGCTGAAATAACCCCTACTTATTCAGATATTAAAGGAGATACCATGTGATAAAAAAAATAAGTATAAATGAATATTTCATAACTGACATTTTGTGAGATATTTTCTTTGTTTAATCTTTATTTCAGAAATGTCACATTTGTAAAAATGACAAAACTAGGAAAAGAAAATGCAACCGTGCAACATCAGGATGTGCTGTCAAGACTTGCCGAAAATCTTTCCATTATTACTGTGCCAAAAAAAGTGACAAATGCATTACAAAGAGAATGCTGGTTCGCTATAAACTGTCAGATGAAGAGAGAGTTTTATACAGGTATAGTTTAATGATTTGTTTGGTTATCTCCAATACTTAGCCAAGCAATAAGTAATTGCTAAATTTTCTTTCGATCACTTGGTAATAACAGTTTAGTTAGTCCTGTTTGGCTCAAAACTGAAAATCCAAGTAAAAAATTCTTGGGAGAAACAGGATTTGTTTATATTATTAAATTAAGTAATTACAAAGGGTGATCATTATAAACTATTTATTAGAAATCCAGGTAAGTACAGGTGAATATGTCAAGGCATGACAAGTATAAAAGTTAAATTAGATAATATTAAATTTTAAATTCTCAATACTAATAACCTATACCTACACTGCATACAAGCGTATTGTACATAAACAGAGATATTCAAGTAATAACTACAATTATTAATCTTCATTTAAATATATTTTAAATTTGAAAAATTTTCAATCATTCTTTCAACACATTTTTGATATATTTCTTGACCTACACCACATTTTCATTACATAGAAAATATTTCAAACCTATCATTCATAAGCACTATAGTGAATCTATAGTGAAATAATTGCATACATACCTAAATATTTCAAACGTTATGCTTCCAGAAATACAAATCATAACATGTCAAAAAATTTAAGAATACTCCTCGTATATTTTAAACCATTTTAATGCCTTTTTTCTATCGGCATTTATCTATTCCATATGGAGTAAATAGGTTGGCTAGTTGATGTAGTCAATCTTCTTGTTTCCGAACCGAGTTTTCAGTTGGATCAAGCAGTTATTTATTAGTACGATCTTCTCATGGGCACATGCAATCCTCTGGCATCAAGCTGAATCTGTGTGATGTCATTCGCAGTTTGGATTTCCTTCAGTACTTGAATGAAGATGTTAGAGTGAGTGTGGGGATTCTCTTCTGGAGTTTGCTATCCATTGTTTTGTTACATAGTTGGTGAGCACTGTGGTGTCGATGGGTAGGTCAACATCATCCAGTGTGTTGAACCAGTCTTCTACATGATGTGGAGGAAGGAGAGGGAGTACAGCAGCATGGTGAATTAGTCTTTGTTCTCTCTGTAGTAGATCTGGAGTCCTTGTTGTTTTCTCCAAATGCACTTTGTGAAGGTGGCACTCTGGACAGCAGACTCAAAAGTCTGATAAAACTGTAGTAGTTGTTGCTTTCCACAGATTTCAGATTCTCCAGGAGTCTCGTGTAGATGACTTCTGACTTCCTTGGTAGAAGAGCGAATACAAGCAGGTACATCTGGTTGTTGTTCATGGCATAAATCGTGTACAGTTGATTGAAAAGTTTACGGCATGTGTAGTACACCCCATCACAGTCTAGTGTGCTTCTAAGGCTCTGAGGTTAATGTTGGTGACAAAGGCCAGGATGAGGAAGTCGTCTCTGTTGTCATCAAATAGGAGAAACTTGTTGCTGTTGTTGGTTAGGGTCCATTCATCTTCCAAGACGAGATCTGTTCAGAGTGTTGGTAGCTTTTGTACAAGCTTGCTTCTGGAGTGGTAGAGGAATGTCTTGCAGAATGTGTAGGTTGGATACTGTTCCACCAGCTGTCTCTCAGCTGCCTGGCATGTGTATATAGTTTGGCGAGCTCGTAGATGGCAGGTTTGAGCTTGAGTTCTTCTTTATGCTGTTCATGATCTTCTGAATGTCTCGCTTGGAATAATCGGGTAGATGATTGTGTTGGTGACCAGCTTTCACAGGAACTATGTCGGTAGTGTTGATCTTTGCAAGACAGTTTCAGAACACAGCATCTTCAATAGGTAGTGTCTCTAGTTGTTCTTCACCATGTACCAGCAGTCAAACCACCATGTCTATTAGCAGTAAACTGGACTTGCACTTGATAGTTCTCCATTATGAAAATGATGATGTTACCTTGAAAATGACTATATATATACAGTATTCTCCATGCTATAAGCCATTTTTTATTTGATCTACTTATAAGCTGCACCCTTTCTTTGATATGACTACTGTTAACTGTTAACAGATAATGGGAAGCAGTTTATGAAGACCGTCATTGTAACATTTTGCCGATGAATTTTACAAATAATCCTTTATTTTATGGTTGTATTTTAAAATCATGCTGGTCATTTAATATTTATAAGATGTCACACTTGTTTTGGGACTACAGTGATTGTCAACCACAGGTAAGGTCTGACTGATAGTATTACAACCTCTTCACCAGTGTCTGTACTGTTAAATATTAACGAAGGCTTTCGTATGTTGATCAAGTTCCTATAACCCTGTAATAAATTTTTGTAAGCTGCATCAAAGCCATTGTAAACAAAAATGGCGCCCATTCTAGAATTTGATATCATCACCCCATGACCTAGGAATGAATTTTTTGTTGTATAATGTTGTGATATGTTAGAAACATGTCCTTATCTCTCATGTAAGTTTAACAATGAAATAAAGGAATCTGTTCACATATTTACACATTCATTGATGGTGTATGTGTCTGTTATTGTGGAAATAGACATTGCAAAGTGCATCAGTGTGTAAGCGGGCCTGGTGATGCCCAGTTATTTCATTATTTCATAAATAGCAAGTGCTGTGTTTGGCTTTAAAAAAAAATAAATTATGAACGAAGTATTGAGCTATAAATACCGGTAAATTGATACTTTGAATTTCTCGTAAAATAATTGAGAACAGAGATTTCATGAATCAACATCAATATTTACAATACTGAAAATATTTCATTAAATCGCATCAAATTCCTAAAATAGAGATATAATTCAATAGAGATCTTCTCTCTTTACTTTGGATTTTCACACAAGCTTCACTCCTAATTCATTAGTCAGCAATGGTATACTTAAAATTCTTGTGATGTACCAAAGCAGCTGTAATAACTATACTGCTAGGCATGATTTAACAAACATCAACAGGTTGTCAATGACTTGGGTTTGATCTATCCAGACAAAAATTTCATAATCCCTCATAGTTAGTTTTCTAAACATATATTGGTAACTGGATAGTGTGACCTATCAGACTGCTCGTTACAAATTTATCAACCAATGAAAACTTGTGTTGAGATAGACTAAAAATTCGATCGGCTTGTTGCTAAAGTGCTATAAGTATACTTCGTTTACTCAAATGGACATTATCCTTTTCAAAAGCACATTTCGAATGTACACAAATCATCACTTCGAAACATAATGCGAACACGGAAGAGTTACTCTGCCGCTTTTAAAATCGAGGTCCTGACATATTCAAAGGAGAACGGCTGTCGGGCTGCTGCACGTCACTATTCAATAAATGACAAGCAGGTTCGAGAATGGAGAAAACAAGAGGAATCTTTATTATTGACCAAAAAGACGAAAAAGGCCAACCGAGGATGTCGTGCTCGCTGGGGGGAACTGGAAGACAAACTTGAAGAGTGGGTACTGGAGCAGAGAGCAGCCTGTCGAAGTGTCAGCACCATCCAAATTCGGTTGAAAGCTCGGGCCATCGCCAAAGAGAATGAGATCGACGAATTCGTGGGTGGACCCTCCTGGTGTGCCCGGTTCATGAGACGGAAGAACATCTCCATCAGAAGCAGGACGACAGTCTCGCAGCAACTGCCGACAGACTTTCAACGGTTTTAGTAAAATTATACACACGTCTATTTTTGTAGCCCCCGTTGGGGGCCCCTCAACCAATCGATCCCAGGATGCAATAGTCGACTGTAAACATCCGCTACGCTTTGTTTGCATACACTGCTGTATAGAAACCACGAAAGTCAAGAATATAATATTGTGCTTCATATTGACATATATGACTAATTAAATCAGCGGGAATTTAATTCGATTGGAATCTGAAAATCATTAAGTATACGATTGCAATGGGTTGTTCGCGATATGTGTCAATCACAAACATGTGGTACTCGGAAAAAAAAGGTTTATGACGTATCGAACTGATACGTTAGGCCTACATTCCCCCACCCCCATTCTGCCGATTTTTGTCCACATATAAGCCGCATCGGTATATAGGCCCGGCAGCTGTGGAAAAAGCCGCGGCTTATAATCCGGAAAATACGTTACGTATTCCATAGCTTTTTTTCCTCTCACAAACTTTTGATTACTCGGTGCCTAGATTTTACATCTGGAGTGATTATATTAGCTTTGGTATTCACAAACTGATAATTTCTTGATGTAAAGATTTTTCACCTCTGGAGAAAATTACCTTAATTGCCGATACTTTTAGTAATTTGATTTTTATTATTTTTATTGATATCATTCATATGACATACATCTAATTACTGTGATGAGAATTTCCTTTCAAACTTTTGCATAAATCAATTGTTTAATATTATAATACAAACTGTGTACACCAATTTTGTTCAAATAAGTATCACTGAGAAGAGATAAATATTGATATTTTTCACAATCACAGTCTAGTACCAACCAGCACCCACTTTTCCCTTTTTTTTTTGGGGGGGGGGGGGTAGAAGGACGACATGATAACAAAACCATTGTGCTGCCGCTAACTATGACCTTTGTGCTTTAGCTTTTGGTTATAAGTTAAAGCCAGTTACATGTTAAACATGTTAAGTTAGTTGATATAAGAATTTATCTTTCGACTGATAAACTGTGATCAGGTTTAAATTACTGGTCAAAATAATTTAAGCATTGTGCACCTACTTCCAAATCAAAGCCTTTGGGAGAAATAGGTCATTTGTCTAATTTTTCTTTGTTGTTGTTGTTGTTGGTCAAATTAATCATTCACATGTCACATCAGTTAACAACATTGTCCATTGTGTTGGATGAATGGAGGCTATTTGAAGGTTTTGTTAACTTGTGCACAAAGTTTTTCACCATTGATCTAAAATATACTGTCATAACCTGTTTAAAAACCTTGTAAGTATGTTATTTTTAAAAAAATGTTTCTTTCAATCTGCTTGGATTATTTTCAATATTACACAAGTATAGCAATGTTTCTAATTTTATTGCAGAGTCTTTTGCTGTCAGGATCATGAAAAGTATTTCAAAGAACATAAAGGTATGTCGTAAAGCGCTAAAATATGAACTAAAGACACAAACACACTCAAACATATTAATATCCAATCCACATTAAACATAACCTGAACACTTAACTATAATATAGCTGGTCAATTAATGTCAAATGTATATCTCCCAATTCTGTATCTCATTACAGAACACTGATTATATTTTCCCAATCTGTATTTCATAATAGAATTCATTACTATATATTTCCTTTCTGTATCCCTTTACAGAACTCATTACTATACCTTCCCTATTCTGTGTACCTAACTAATATAGAACTCATTACTATATCTTTCCGTTCTGTATCTTATTGTAAAACTCACCACTGTATCTTCTCAGCATGTGTCTCATTATGGAACTCATTACTATATCTCCCCATTCTGTTTTTTCTCTTAATATAACTTATCACTATCAGTGATCAGTTTACAATTCATTTTCATGAGTCTTTTTCAATTTTCTTGCTACGACGAGTTGGTCATGCTATGTGAAATCTAAGTATTTCCAGAAATTCTCTTAGTCCCATCAAAATTCTATGAGTACAGAACTCTTGATTTGCGTGTAGATTGATCAGTGCACAATATTTTCCCACTCTGTATCCCACTATAGAACACATTTCTATAGAATTCATCACTGTATCCCCCTTATTCTGTATCTCACTCTAAAAGTCTTTATTATATCTCCCCATTCTGTATCTCACTGTAGAATTCATCACTATGATGTCTCCCAATTCTTTATCTCACTATATCTCCCCATTCTGTATCTCACTGTAGAATTCATCACTATAATGTCTCCCAATTCTTTATCTCACTATTGACTCCTCACTATATCTCCCCTCTCTGTATCTCACTGTAGATCTTTATACTTTTGACAAATGACGACCCTAGCCTACAGTTCAAGAGGAATGTTGAAAATTAAATCTTGCGTCCAGGACATCTCATAAAAACCTCATCAAAATAAGTAAAAAATAACAAGATCGGGGAGTGGGAGTATGTATATGTGAGGTCCTGCTCAATTTGGATTTTTTTATTTGTTCATTTAATAAGAAGTGGGTGAGAATTTCTAAACAAAGCTACATACATGTTGCAAGCCCCAAACATGAAGAGTGCAAGTTTTATCTCACTTACTCACAGATATTATGAGATTTTTTATTATGAATTTATTTAAAAAGAGAGAATGCCTTATTTAAAAACGTTTTTGAATTATTAATTAATCAAGGCTTTGATTGGTACATGTGGCCAGTAAACAGTTTACCTGTAATTTATGCACAATTGTGTGAATGACCATGTTAGAACAGTAACATTCTACTATGGTGTTGGTAGAGAAAAATTTAAGAAGCTTCTGTTTGATTCATTTACAATAAGTTATGCATAGATTACCAAGGTGTCTTAAAGTTTGTAGCTTATTTTGGTTAGATGTATGGTAAACCAAAATGTGAATACAACATGCCCTACAAAAAGTAACTCTTGATATAATCTTACTGGGAACAACATGAATAATTCAACCAAAAATGCCATAAACATTTCTGAAGTTTCAATAAATGTATTGAAAGATTTTGACATGATATAAAAAAAACCCACAAAATATCACCGAAATGTTCCTTTTTGCACAAGGATCGTGGTTCATTCTTTACTATATGTAGCTTGCAATTTTTTCTTGCTTGTTTAGATTTTAAAAATTGAATTAGTTTTTAGATCTTGCATCAGACTATTTGTATCCACTTCTATATGAAACCATTAAAGCTAAAATATTTCCTGACTCTCTAAATGTCTGATTTTCATCTATGTTTATAGAAGACCTGGTCAAATCTCAGTCAGGTCCTGGAAGTAGTGATAGTGATGACCTATCTGATGAGGACGATGATAGTAAAGAGAATGAAAGTGAATCTGATCAAACAACAGACCTGGATCAAACAAATATACTGATGACAACACTGCATAGTCCATTTCTTAGCAAGGACAAAGCACATGAACAGGACAGCAATGAAAATTACAGCGGAAGTACTATTGACTGTAAAAGTGAAATAGAGGATCCTGAACATCTTGTTCAGATGAACTCAGCTGAATGGCAGCCAGAAATTGTGTCCATAGAAAGCTTGACCAATGGTGAAAAATTAGAGAATAAGTTTCAATTTTCTAGCCCAGCCAAATTACTCTCTGATACAACTGCTGATACTAACGATAATCATAATGCCCTCACATGTTTGGATACACAAAGTGATAACAACAACAGTGGTAGCAATTCCAACTTTACAGAATGCAAGGTATCCCTGATCAAAGGTATAAAAAGTGTTGAACAGGCAATGATCAGTCAGAAAAATGGATGGAAGGATAAAGGGAAATCTGTTAACACAGAACAAGGCACTGAAAGAGAAGACAAAGGCAGAACAAAGAAACAACCCAAGAAAAGGGATTGTAATGAGCCTGGATTGATTTCTTTTAGTCCCAAGGATAGTCCTACAACTGGCAAACATTATGCAGGTAAGAAGAAAACATTAATTTATTTGTAATGAAACAATTTACATGTACTTAAATCAACATTAATCACTCTCACTGGCTTTTTAATGCACTTTCCTGACATAATCAATATCTATTATGTGAACTGTTTTGCATTTAGGTGTTGTATTTCATGGTAATAAAGTCATTAATGCCTCCTTAGAAGCTTGGAAAATTGTTGAACATGTTTTAAAATTTATGGTAAAGATCAGGTTAGTGTGGCCCGATATAGATGATCTAGTATTTGGGTATGTAAAGGCATTCATCTGCTATAAACGAAAATGTTGATACATTCCATCACTGTGCCAATTCAAAGAAAGAAAAAGATGTTTTCTCCAACTGGGGAAGCGAAGGACAGTGTCCATTAGGGAAAACAAGAGGCAGGGCCCAATAGGGAGAGCATGGGATGGGCACAATAAGGAAAGAAAGGGGCAATTAAGTAATGTAATTAAGTAATGAAGCTATTTAAAGTTGCATAAAACATTTTGCTGCATGTCATTTTCTTTGACTTAACTTGATTTATATGACAGATTGTGTACTTGTTATCACCAACTCCTTACCATGTGGAGACAAAACTAAACATGACATAGTAAAACAACTTGGAGCTACATGTCGGGTGGCATTTTGGCCCAAAGAGGAAGTCTGCTCAGACCTGAACAAGGAGCACTTGCCATATCTAATGAATGACATTGTCACTTTTCTAAGGTATTTTATGTTTTCTGTGATAAAACAAATCTTCTATTTATAGGTTACACCTAAAGTGAGGATCAGTTCAATCTTCTAAGGTGTTACTGCCGCAGTACACATGTAGACACAGTATCACTTGAGCAGTAGCCTTCTCAGTATGATAGTTACACTACACTAAGCCCATATCTGTTGTATGTCCTGCTAATGTTATTGTTCTTCAGTGTGATCTCCCTCCCCCTTATGTGTCGATACCCTGAACTAGTTAAAGCATTATACCGTGCATAGTATGTGATCAATTGTACTTTCATTGGTATCTAATGAAATGCATTGTCAGCTTTCTAAGGTAAAGTATATCTAATGAAGCACAATTCATTCTTTCTAATTGTATCTGATATAACATACTATAGTCACAGCAGATGATAAGGCTTTTCATTTGATGGTTTAACTATTTTATTGAAAATATGATCTGTAATAAAACAGTTTTTGTTACACATGCATCATTAGACCAATGATGGAATTGAAATTTGCAAGTTTTGTGTCTGGGTTCAGTAAATTTCATGTAGGTGTTAGTAGAAATTGCACATAATATACTAGCACTTTGATATTATATATTCCTTCTAATCAATTACAGGTCCATGATTAACAAATAACTTCTATTTACTTGCAGTGATAATGGTGTTTCAGACCTAATTGGGTTGCTGACAGATAAAAACAACCTTACCTCACGTCTTTTGATACACAACTATGCCTTGAATCTTCACAAGAAATTGGAGAAGAACATGGCTGAAATCTTGATGGGATCTCTCATGAAATCAATAGCTGACACAGTAAAAAAAATTGACAACAAACAGATTTGCCAGCTTCTTACAACAAATGATGACATAGAAGCTATAGCAGTTTGCATTGACAATAACATAGATCCACATTACAAACTGCGATCAGCATTAGGTATTGAAGAAATGTCCAATATTTGCCTCCATAGGTTGACGGGTAAAGTACCTCAACTCAGTGCTGTATCTGTTCACCTGCATGAGGAGGCCTCAAAACTCATAGGCTGGATAGACAATACTTTAAAAGAGCAGCCTCAGGTGCTGCTCTACCCAAAGGAGACATTTCTGCTGGATGGTAGTGTGCAATCTGTTGCTGATTTGGTAAATTTTCAGATGTGTATAACAAACAGTGCCCAATCATCTACAGAGGAAGAGGAAACTAATAACAAAACATGCATTGTTTGTATTTGCAGGATGGACACTGAAATAGTTAACTACAAACAATTCTGTCACAAATGTATTCTGAATCATCTACCTCTCAACAGTCCTGTCATATTTGTCATAGACATGGTAAATGGAGTGTTTGAGGATGTTGATGACTTTGTGCCGGAGGAAGTAAAAGACAGCTATACAGTTGATATATACACAGCAAATCCGCCAGCTAGGAAAACCATGTCTTCTGTACTTCTTCACTTCTACAAAAACTGCTTCCAACAAAGAAGGATGAATAGAATGTCAAAAGGTAAAAACAACTACATTTAATACTTGTCAGATTTTGATTTTTTCATTTCAATTTCATGAAAAAAACAATTTCAAAGTAAAAATTATACCCTGACTATCCAGGCCTAGATATGCTAATTTGAGTTCATCCATAAGTAAATACAAATCTCATTCATAAGTAAATACCAATCTGTTTCAATTCAAATCATGTCCATATAATAACAGCTCTCTCAATTTCTACCTGGCACAGCCGAAGATTATTCCTTGGTACGTTACACCAGTGACATAAGGAAAAATATTACATGAGTGAATTCACTGGATAACAGGTTGGTTAAATAATCAAAGTTGATATGTGTTTCAGCTTTGAAATCACCAGCATCAAGCAGTTCTGAAAAAGAAACAGGAAAAAGAGAAACATCAAAGAAGAGATATCACTGTGAAAGTTCCAGTGATACCAGCTGCCCAGCATCATCACCTGACCAGCGCTCCAACACTGATCAAACCTTACATAGCTCAAAGCGGAAACGCAGGGTACTAGACCTGTAAATTAAGGGTATTCTTTAAATTTCAGTGATAAATGTGAACAGAATCAATTAACTAAATATAAATGTTTATCATACATATAAAAGGATGATTGATGACTGATTTTAATTATAACAAATGAGGAAAAAAAGGCAAATTTTCTAACTTTATGCCAAATCCAAATTAAAAAAGTAAAAGAGTGTGTAGTAAATAAAAAGTAAATGGTGGAACTTGATAACAGGTTATTGTTTAGGCCCAAGGTCTCATATTATTTGTGGACATGAAAATTTAATGGATTTTGAGAACAGTCTAGAACTCCTTCATCAAATAATTTTTTATATTGACTTGAATGATTTTGAGGGTTAGAGATTGGAAGGAGATGGTGTGGATGGGGAATTTTTGCTTTGTTGGACTTCATAATTTTCAACAATCTTACAAAGTTGCATATAGGTTATGAACTTCTCAGGTAGAAGAGCTGTTTAAGCACCACATCTACCCAATTTTTCATTTGGTTCCATAACATTATATACATGGTGCACAAGCTAAATCAGGACGAAAGATGTCTTAAAAAAGTTTTTGAATTAGCTTGAAATTTTGTATACATCTTCGATAAAAAATGGTTTAATGTATTGAATGTTCCTTTTGTCAAAAATATTTTGAGACTTATTATTCAGCAGAATTCTTGTTAAATTGATAAATGCCACATATCTCCTTTAAGTAACATTTCTTTAAGGTACCAAAGGAAAACATTGAATTTGTTTCTATGCCCCGAACATTTTAGGGGAGGCATACAGTGTTACCCATGTCTGTCTGTTGCATCCCATCCCATCCTATTCCATCCTATTGCATCAGTGTCTTGAGAACCTCTGAACATATCACGGCGATCATTAATGTTTGGGAATGTTAACAGGTTAAAAGGACACATTTGACAACTTCCACAAATTCATCAAACAAAGATGCTTTTTGCATGGGAATGGAGGCAATTATGGCTTAGACTTTTTTTAAAGAAAATATGGTTGTCTCCCCAATACACTCCAAATTTAATACCAAGATAAAATTTACAAATTTTTATTAATTCCTATTCATTGTCAAAGTCAGACATAACATTAGGTAAGAATTTATGATATTGTTCTGTAAATTTTTTTCTTTCTATATGAAAAATTCAATAAACTGTCAGTTATGTAGACCTACTGCATTTGTAAAATCAATGTGGATATGTGAGTGTTAAAAGATAGAATGTTTATTATAGGTTGTTTTGTTACTTTCTTTCTATTGCATTACCAAGGCAAACATTTAACATTTGTTTTGCCTTCATACCGATATCTTTGATATACATTTGACATTTTAGTAACTTTAAACAATAAAGCATGACTGTAACCTTTAACTGCTCTTCCTGGTGACATACCAGTATAAACTGTGCTATATCTTGTAATCCTCTTGTATAGGAGTTGGACTAAAAACAGTATATTCTGTGCTGCTTCTTGTAATCCACTTGTATAGGAGTTGGACTAAAAACAGTATAAACTGTGCTGCATCTTGTAATCCACTTGTATAGGAGTTGGACTAAAAACAATATAAACTGTGCTGCTTCTTGTAATCCACTTGTATAGGAGTTGGACTAAAAACAGTATAAACTGTGCTGCATCTTGTAATCCACTTGTATAGGAGTTGGACTAAAAACAGTATATACTGTGCTGCATCTTGTAATCCACTTGTATAGGAGTTGAACTAAAAACAGTATAAACTGTGCTGCATCTTGTAATCCACTTGTATAGGAGTTGGACTAAACCAGTATATACTGTGCTGCTTCTTGTAATCCACTTGTATAGGAGTTGGACTAAAAACAGTATAAACTGTGCTGCTTCTTGTAATCCACTTGTATAGGAGTTGGACTAAAACAGTATATACTGTGCTGCTTCTTGTAATCCACTTGTATAGGAGTTGGACTAAAAACAGTATAAACTGTGCTGCTTCTTGTAATCCACTTGTATAGGAGTTGGACTAAAAACAGTATATACTGTGCTGCTTCTTGTAATCCACTTGTATAAGAGTTTGACTAGTGTTGATGTATTTGTATCATAACATTTATACTCATGTACTGTCTCTCCTCTTTTGATGATTGATAGAAATACCAGAATTTAAAAATGAAATCTTTTAAATTAAATTGATACACTATATATTGTAATACGAAGCATTGATTGCAAACACTCCAGTTGAAGATGGAATTATTAATTGGTTGCACAGTTCATGCCCAATTGCTCGATGGGCATTAAATTCATTATATATATATATGGATCCTTATAAAATGGAAGGTATAAGATGAGTAGGTGCCAGTTTTGGCCATTCTGGTGCCACTTGGTGATAAACTTCATTTTTTGCAGGAAGATTTGTGACATCCGCTACATGTTGCATCAGAAGATTGGATACGTGGGTCAAAGCTGGGGAATTTGGAATAAAAATTTTATAATTTAATTTGTTACAAACATAATGTGCTGTTACTCTTAGGGTCTTCATGATAAACATGAACCTAACTTAGTCACACAGTCCTTAACATCACATGTTTTCTTGAATGTTATTAAGAAGTGGAAAATGGAAACAAAAGCAAAATTTGTTGTGTTTATGTATTGTGGACATATGTTTGGCTGAACAACACATGCTATGATTACAGTTTATTGTCAAGTAGTTATTCATAATATGCATTTTGGTGCTAGTTCAGATAGTGAAACTATATTGGTATGTTTTTCCTTGTTAATTAGTTGGTGGTATGATCAAATTATTTTTGTCTGTATTGAAAATGATCTAATCATTATTTTCAGTCACTCATTTTTCCATTCTTCAATTATCATAGCTGTTAAAAAATGTTAGATAGTATAAAAAGCAAACCAAACAAGTCCTGGAGTTTATTTCTTTCCCACAGGGAGTAATAAATGTTTTGCATCTCAATCATGATTTAATGTGGTATTCATAGTTCCCTTTATGATTTTTTTCTCAGAATTTCAGTTGAGTTGATACAGCCTGACAAAGCTGTTTTTATTTTCAGTTTGACTCCTTTACTTTCAGAAGAGAACTGAAGTTTTTCAGTGGTAGACACCAGGCTTTCTTCTTGACTTGTGTTTTAAGAATGATTTACATTATGCATAGTTTTGCACTGAACGTCCCTTTTGTAAATTTAGAGTTCTTTTGAAATTTGAATATTCAGTTTTTTGTACATTACTTTAAAATTGATCATGAAGGATTTGGTGAAGTCTTTCGAGATGGTATTCTCCTAACCAGTTCTTATTACTACTGAATCTATAGATTGTGTATGTGTATATTTTGTGCCATATTAAAATTGATAGGTTTTCCGATGTTTTTACAAATTTTAGATCTATTATATATTATATAAGTGTATTTACATTGGAGTAAGAATATATTGCTTGGTGTTTGACATGCAGAGAGTAAATGTGTAGTTACTTCAATGTAAATTCGCTTCCACGCAGGAACAGCAAATAAGTAACAATCCTTATATTTTCATTTGATTATTACAGATTCTCATAAAATTTGTAGAAACAAATTACCCGTTACAAATGCTTAGGACAGCTTCAACTGAGATGACACTTTGAATAAGTAGTGAATGGCACCTCATGGGTTGGTGACAAAATATAGTTCCAATAGTAAGTCATTAGATTGATGTTTTCATTTACTTTTTTTGTAAAGATATATATGTATATACATATATTATGTAACATTACATATATTTTTTTTTACATGTCATTCATTAGATTCATTGAGATGTAAGCAAACATGGCTCATTCACACACAATAAAAGTTGTGACAAGACCACATAACTTTATGAATGAAGTGTGTGCTGACATGATCAAGTGATTGAAATTATTGAAATTATCCATGTATCTAAAAAGTTCAGGTGTGTGTCAGTTTCCTATTAATTCTTTAAGCAACTTTTTCCTAATACCAAATGTGCCAGGATACTGATATTAGGCATGTAGTATGCTTATATGTGGTAAAGTTGTTCACATGAATGACCATTGACACACTTGCAAAGTCACAGGTGAAATTAAAAGCCAAAAAGTCCATGATTTTTTTAAAAATTGGAGGTTCCTGATTTGCCAACTTTTATTAAGAGAAAATAGGATGCTGCTTTATGAAGGCAATGGCAAGCCAGTTATGGTCATTTCTATAATAACCAAATATTTCACCCGAGATCCATTACCTGTGTTTTTACTTGTGTGATCTGTAACCTGAGATACAATACTATAAATGATTTTGAAAATCTTTTTTTTTTTAGAATTGCACAAAACAGAATCATGTAACAAATAGCCTGAAATGAAATAGATTCAATAATACATTTCTTGATACACATCTCGTATAATATTACACTAGCTGACTTGAAATGCATACAATATTATTACACTTCTTAACACATATTACAATTTTCCGTTTCTTAATGCACGCTACATGCAATAATGAAACATTTGTAGATATGAATTGTATACCATCGATTGGTTGATATACAATACAGGTACCAGCGCATGACATAGGTATGTGTTTTCAGGTCTTCTGACCCGATGGGTAAATGACCTATTGGTATTGTGCATTGTCTGTTATCATGTGCTGTCCACCATCCATAAACTTTTCCTCTAGAACACTACTCCTGCTAAATGCCTTGGCGAATTTCAACCAAATTCGGTCTGAAACATCGATGGGAGAGGGAAATTATTTCTTAAATTCAGAAAGTTGATTTGACCACCAGGGACTTGTGGGCGGGGCCACAAACTGGGAAGTTAGGCAATATGGCTCCAAATGGCGAAGTTGGTCAATAATTTTGCTTCAAAATTCTAGTCTTCCTTAATGCGTAAAATAAAATTTCATCTAAATTTTGTCAGGAATATCATTACAGATGGACAATTGATTCTTGAATTCAGAAAGTTGATTTGATCCATAGGGATGGGGCCCACTAATGGGAAAGTTAGTCAATATGTTGTTTCAAAATGCTACCCTCCTTAATGCTGGAATGGATTTCAACAAGTTTTGTCTGAAACATCATTGTTATAAATAATAAGTTCTTAAATTCAGAATGTTTTTGACTCTTAGGAACATGGGGCAGGGGACTAGTCCCTTAATGGGGAAGTCCGACAATATTTTGCTCCAAGACACTTCTCCTTAATGCCTGGAAAGATTTCAACCAAATTTGCCCTGAAATATTGTCAAAGAGTGGCAATGATATCAAATGTGCATGAAGTGATCTTGAGATTGTCCTGGCAAATATTATTTTTTTACGGTTTGGTCTAAAAACCAAGATAACTCCGGAGGAGCAAATAGTTTGAACTACTTCTCGAGTTTCATTCACGCCAAATAAAAATATTTGGAGTTTGATTTGTTAAGGGAAAGGAAGAGATGATACATTGCTATTTTTTCAGCCTGATGAAAAGTTCAACATGGTAAACACGGATGCCATTTTGTAACATGGTGGTGCATCTGTTTTTCATGAACAGAACATACCATTTATGAGTTTTTGACAATTTTAAGTGATATTAAACTTTGAATTCATCAGACATGTGAGACAACCATCAGCAAATCTGATGGTTTGTCAATCTATTTGTCAATTGTCAGATGACAGTTAAGGGCCATGTGCCTCTTGTTAACAGTCCAGAACATTGCACATTGGAAGACACTTTTGGAGTTATTCAAAAGAATGATGAAAAAGTGATTTTCGTACATCATGATTTCAATCCTTCAAAGTTGGAGAAAACACATTGATTTGAGTATTGGATTGTTTTGGGTAGTTGTCTGGAGGTAGGTTAAATGGTACAGGTAATAACAGGTAAAACCACAGGTAAAACTCATCTGATATAGAATATAATCCTTTGAACAACATTCCTCTGCCCATGTTATGAAGTGGACAAACCAGGATACAGCTAAAACGATGTGTCCTTGAACTACTTTTCAATAGAAAGATGCTTAATGAATTTAAACTTGATTCTCTTTACAGGCCACAATTTGAATTACGGGTGAGAGATGCATTATTGGCCTTGTGTCTATAACAAAATTTGTAATCTATTTGAATGTGCAACTATCAAGGTCTAATTAAAGTGGTAGATGGTAGCAGAGTCATTGGCCTTTCAATTTCTGTATGGCAGATTAAGATACTGTAGTTTGATTCATAAGGTGAGCAAATATGCCTCAAAACGAAAGAAATTTTTAGGATGTTATTGTCGGAACAATGACTTGAATGTTGATGCTTTACGTAGGAAGGACGTCTGTCTGCATACTGGTGCTTGTTTCACATATTTTGCTTAAGAAATTATCAAACAAAAAAGTACGAAAACTTTCTAAAAGGAACATAAATTTTAATACCACTAATTTTACATTTCTGGTTGTGATGGAAACTTTCGACATTTAACGACCTTCATGCGCCAACTGATTTACTGCAAACACTTCAAAGCAGCTAAATATCAAAAGAATATCACTGTAAATATTTTATTAACTTAGTGTAAACAGTTGTTAATGTTGCACGATGTTTGTTAATTTGAAATAAATTTTTTAAACCGATTAAAAATATTTTGTTATTTTTTAACAAATACTTGTTTGGTTCAGCATGCTTCTGATACCATGAAGACTTTCAGTAACATCTAAATTGCTGTCAGCTTAACAAAAAAACATCAATCTGATAACAAAAACGTAATTCCAATGAAAAATCAACAAAGGGAAATTATTAACAGAGGCGAGATTTAAGATGACACTTGAAAATGTACAAGGACGAAAAAATTTCAGCTTCGTACGACAACAAAAAAACAATATGACCCAAAGAGTTCATATATGAATGCCAATAGTCTGTTTTCAGACCTTGCCACCTAACCCCAATGACGATATATTCTCACGATTTCATCATCATTTATTTCACAATATACGATTCAGTGTAGTATTCAGCATTACAATGGCACTTCAATATGCTTTGGAAAGACAGCTCATATGAAAAAACATAATAAATTTCTTTCACCTAAAATTGGTAAGAATACATGTACAGAAAGGGACTTTTCCAGAGACGGAGTTCTAGTTCCAATTTTTATGAATCCCAATCGCTTGTTTTAAAAAATATTAGCCAAAGTGACTGTTTTAGGTGTATTTACGTATATAAGTTATAGTATGTGTAAATGATCCCCTTCTTATTCAAGGAAAGCCATGTGTAAGTCAAAATTCATAACACCATGGCAAACTTATACACAAAACTTTAACATGTCCATGGAAAGATCATTAAGAGTGTTTTATATATCATTTTTCGAGTACTACAGACAAGTGGGGGTTCATCATCAAAACATTTTCTTGTTTATAGAATGTATCAGGCAAAACCTTACACTTAAGCCGTCCTTGCTATTAACATTTGAAGTAAAACTTAGATGAATTTAAAAGAAAATATGAAAAGAGGTGCGGCGCATCGATATAGAAATGGTTTAAATCTCAATATTTTTTGCTAGATTTTGACCACTTCGGATTTTCCTTAGCTGCCTCCTAGATTTCAAAATAAAGGTTCTAATGGCTCGAATGTATATCTTTTCTCAGTTATGAAAAGGTGGTATTATTCACTTGTGTATTTTGTACAATCTTTCTTAATATGGCTTTTCATCAATTTAAAATTTGATTAGGTCTGCAGCTTTAAGAACTCGTTTGATTCTACACTGATGTATTGCTTAACGTCAAATTAAATCCTATGGTCATTTAAGTACGGTCACAGAATGTATACGAGTTGAGTGCATGGCTTGATTGCTTGTGTTTTCGGGAGCCTTCGGTAAATTGATGCCGACGTTATAGTGCCAACACATTGAAACATACTGCCGAAGGCATTTTGCAGGACATCACATACACCCAGTCACATTAAACTGACAATGGTCGAGCCAGTATTACACTACCACAGGGATGAGCGTGAAGCAAGTACATGTAGTAACTTCCATTTAAAAACAGTTAGAACTCGGCCAAAGCTCCTAGCCTGTCTCATACGAACAAACGCTCAGTTAAAGACCAAAATGAGTCGAGGATTCGTAGCAAAATTAGAAACAACATCAGATCCTAATTTTAGTCGGCTCTCCTGGATCGAACATTGGAGACAACATATACATAAAGTTATTGGAAAAAGCTCAAAAGATCCCTGAACAGTGGTTGGATGTCTTTAAAATCGCCTATCTTTAAAAAAATGATGCGTGTCTAAATATTGCTATTAAGATCCACAATATACCCCAAAAATAATACCTGTTGTATAAATTATTAAGGAATTGTATTATAATTGAAAATTATCGGCATTTCTTTTAATTTCTGATAAATATGGCACTTTAGCAGTATGTTCAATTGCACATTTAATGTACATGTTTGTATCCGTAGATACATTTTGAAAATGGGACATTTTTGCCTTTGCAAGAAAAAAGATAATCTTCCATCTATCTGCAAGTTTGTGCCAGTTTCTTTTTTGCTCAATGTGGACCAAACAACGGTCAGCCTCCTCCAAGTCTGTTTCGGTAACGTCCACTTCAGGAAGGTTTTTTCCTTTGTCATCAATCCCAACTCTAATTAGAGCCTCCACAATAATTGTAGCATTATCAAAATCTTGTGCTGCTCTGGTTTCATCATCGCTGTCAGCTGTGGGATTTGTTGAATTTAATTCCCGATTTGCAAGCCTGGATTCTTTCACCAAACCGATAAGTCGTTCTTTTTCAGTAGAATCTATCCAACCTTTGCGCGCACTTCTTTCCCATTCTGCGTTCGATTCGGTAGAAAGAATACTTACTTTCTCTCGACAGTTTGGTATAGCTACACCTACTTGTTTAGCAGTGTAAACATTCCGTAATGCTTCGTCTAGATCACCAACAGAACGCATCGCTAAAGCATACTGAGCACACAGTGACATATTGTACAGCGCGGGTACCGATGTTTTAGGGATAATGTCATGTAGGATTGCGCGAATCTCTTGCATGCGAGGAATGGTCGGCTTTGTTTTTCCTATTTCGTGTCTCCATTTCAATATCATCGATTTAAAATAAAGGTCTGCAATCTTCGTCAAACTGTAATGAAGTCCGTTTAAAAACTCTTTTGAGTGGAAATCATTACAAGTTTTGATATCATCTATTTGAGATTGGTAGATTTGACGCGTGGTGGAAATAAAATGTTCAAAAACGGCAATATCTCCATTCCAGTGTCTGCGCTTGATATCGTAGTACTGTTTGACGGCCACCAGTCGTGCTTTGGTGTTGATGTTGATGATCGTTGGTTTCTCGGGGCTTGTCTTTTTAGATGTCACATATTCTAGACGGCTCTGGTCTAAATCTTTCAATAGAAAGTCGTAATTCTGAGAAATAGCATCCCGAAATATTTCAAAAGTACATTTCTTTGGTAATTTCAGTAAAAACTGCTGAGTTTTTTGTTGACTTTCTTTCGAATCAAGAATTGCCAAATAGTCATCTTCTTCCAATGCATTGTTCGTGTACAAATGTGCACAAATATAACGTGGTTGTATATTTTCCGAGAGCTGAATAAAGCATTTTCTAATAACGTGTTTTAATAGTGAATTATCCATCCAGGAAATGAAATCAGCAGTGATCCCATAATGCCCTGCAAAACAATATTCAGAACTGTAAAACAAGGCATGTAAAAGAACGATGACTGTTTAGGATTAATTGAATGCACAACGATAATTGTATTGATATTTAATATTTCTGATCTTGCACGGGTTTCCATTCACATATATGTACAATGTGTAACTATTCTTAGATATTTTTTTATAAACATTCATAAATCTCACTAAATGGAAACACATGAAGGATACTATTTATTACATAACTTGAGTATCTTAGGTTTATTACCAAAAACATATCATCTCGCGACTTGTGATAATGGTTTGTATACCTACATGTACTTTCCTCACGGCTATGTACCTATTACACTTCCTATCCCATCTATTTCTATATGGTTATCATTTCTGTTTCGAAAGGTATTATATCTGTTAAATGTTAAGTGTTTCTACCGGACATAAGTCATGGTGTGTATTCTCGGGTAGACGCATTCTTGAAAATGACGGCAACAGTCTAGTAATCATTTAAAACAAATTCCCATGTAAAATTTATTCTTGACGTATAAATGCAGTTAAATTATGTCTTGTTCTCATTGTATACATTGACCAAGATTTAACTGGCGGTTGTTGTCGATGAAGCAGATAACGCTTACTCTTCCGAAACACCTGGTCTTCTTTTTCATGTCCATTTTCAGGAGTTTGCTTGTAAATCTTTCTTTTGATCGTGTTTATTTAATTTGAGTTTGGACTATAATTATGTTGACATATTGGTATTTTCTTTTTGTTTTCTAAGGATCGAATTTTTTAGTACTCTGATGGATATCACGGTGTTAGATTGCACAACGCAGTTTTAGGTGCATTTATACACATTCGTTCGATCTCGTTAGCTTCATGATTCCTGGTAAATTTATGTGATGAAAGGTCATGCCGTTATAGAACATGGATACATTACATCGATACTGTAATATCATATCGTTATCTACAGTGTCGTCGTAATAAGCTATGTAATACATGTGTAATGTTAAAAAATATAGCAGATGTATTCAATGAATATCAAGTCAATCATGTGATAAGATAAATACATATACTGATATTGTAAGGATACACACTGCCATTTCAAATGAGCAAAAACCATTTACCGAATGTAACCCCACACTTCAATATAATATAGAATTAGGCTGACTGCGGCTTGCGATTCGTATAGAGTGAGTTATACGTATTTATCATAAAACACCCAGTCTGTTGATAGCAACCAAGTGCTTCCGTGTGTAATGAGTCAAAGCTCAAAATAGCGCTGGATCCAAAGTGAAGGAATCTTCAGTGAATACGTACCTTAACTCTATTATGTAAGTTAGAATATCCTGGGTAAACTTGTTTTAAGTTCCACTGCCATGATGCTGAAACTTTGATCAATATTACGTCAACATAACAGCGTGCTATGGAACCGCCATTACTTTGAGATCAATGCATACCTACAACACTCTAAAGTATAGTTAGCGTCAGACAGTCCAATGCACAACATAATACACACATGCAAATTATAAATTGAACCGGATAAGGTTCATGAGCACTGATAACAATCCGGTTAAAACTGGTGGCTGACGTTTCAACATGATGTGATTTTTAAATGTCGTAAAAAGTTCTAACCATTTTGTTTAATTTCATTATTGATTGATTGTATTGATATTTAATATTTCTGATCTTGCACGGGTTTCCATTCACATATATGTACAATGTGTAACTATTCTTAAATATTTTTTATAAACATTCATAAATCTCACTAAATGGAAACACATGAAGGATACTATTTATTACATAACTTGAGTATCTTAGGTTTATTACCAAAAACATATCATCTCGCGACTTGTGATAATGGTTTGTATACCTACATGTACTTTCCTCACGGCTATGTACCTATTACACTTCCTACGGTCCCATCTATTTCTATATGGTTATCATTTCTGTTTCGAAAGGTATTATATCTGTTAAATGTTAAGTGTTTCTACCGGACATAAGTCATGGTGTGTATTCTCGGGTAGACGCATTCTTGAAAATGACGGCAACAGTCTAGTAATCATTTAAAACAAATTCCCATGTAAAATTTATTCTTGACGTATAAATGCAGTTAAATTATGTCTTGTTCTCATTGTATACATTGACCAAGATTTAACTGGCGGTTGTTGTCGATGAAGCAGATAACGCTTACTCTTCCGAAACACCTGGTCTTCTTTTTCATGTCCATTTTCAGGAGTTTGCTTGTAAATCTTTCTTTTGATCGTGTTTATTTAATTTGAGTTTGGACTATAGTTATGTTGACATATTGGTATTTTCTTTTTGTTTTCTAAGGATCGAATTTTTTAGTACTCTGATGGATATCACGGTGTTAGATTGCACAACGCAGTTTTAGGTGCATTTATACACATTCGTTCGATCTCGTTAGCTTCATGATGCCTGGTAAATTTATGTGATGAAAGGTCATGCCGTTATAGAACATGGATACATTACATCGATACTGTAATATCATATCGTTATCTACAGTGTCGTCGTAATAAGCTATGTATTACATGTGTAATGTTAAAAATATAGCAGATGTATTCAATGAATATCAAGTCAATCATGTGATAAGATAAATACATATACTGATATTGTAAGGATACACACTGCCATTTCAAATGAGCAAAAACCATTTACCAAATGTAACCCCACACTTCAATATAATATAGAATTAGGCTGACTGTGGCTTGCGATTCGTACAGAGTGAGTTATACGTATTTATCATAAAACACCCAGTCTGTTGATAGCAACCAAGTGATTCCGTGTGTAATCAATGCTCAAAATAGCGCTGGATCCAAAGTGAAGGAATCTTCAGTACCTTACCTCTATTATGTAAGTTATAATATCCTGGGTAAACTTGTTTTAAGTTCCACCGCAATGATGCTGAAACATTGATCGTTATTACTTGGCGCCAACAGACCAGCATGCTATGGAACCACCATTACTTTGAGATCAATGCATACCTACAACACTATGAACTATACCGTTGTCATAATGTTAGCGTCATGCAGATCAGTGTACAACATATTACACACAAGCAAAATATAAATTGAACCGGACAAGGTTCATGAGCATTGAAAACAATCCGGTTAAAACTGGTGGCTGACGTTTCAACATGATGTAATTTTTAAATGTCGTAAAAAGTTCTAACCATTTTGTTTAATTTCATTTCATAATATTTTATTGATGTAAACAATCAACAGTATTAGACAGCAGGCTATAGCCTATACACGTCTTCTCCCAAGAAAACCATTTCGTTGCTCATTATCATATGCATACGTTCACTGTTATAGTCATATGTATAGCAATGCATATCGCATGACATGATTACATTGACACGGTGGAGTAGTATAAATATACTGAAAAGGTCATTTTACCACCTGTATGTAGAAAGTCACGACAATTCCAATGTAAGAATAAATTAAGAAATCTACTGGAGTATAGTAATGCATGACACCAATTAAAGTTCTGTGCCAATTGTTCGCCTTTGTTTAACGTCGTTCATAAAACCAGGGACATACAATTTACATTCGGATTTTAAAATGTCCACACTTAATGTTTATACATTCGCCGTATTTACGTGATATCAGTTAGCACTGGAGTAAACTATGAACGAAGGAAATATTTACACGGAGAATCCTGAAACAGATTGAGGAGTAAGCGTCTTCTGCTTCATCGACGACACCCGCCATGTAAATCTTGGTCAATCCAAGTAAGTAACGTCACGTTCTCAAAGGGGGGGGGGGGGGGGGGGGGGGGGGGGGGGGGCAAGGTATACATCATAGGAACAACCGGCAATAAACCAGTATCAAACACGTCCAGCGTCATACCGCAAAAAGAAATATAATATTTCTCAATGAGATCATTATGACGACCGTAAAACTTCACCTTAATTTTAATTAGCCTCCAGTTTTGAAACACCTTGTTATGAGTTTTTCTGTTGACGACATCTTGCACGAACAAAGAAATATTTGTAATAGGTCCTTGAATATCGAATCGACTACGATATGTAAATATCATAATTTCGGATGCAGGAATGCTCCTATCTAGAAATGGAAAATTCACAAATAGGGAAATGGAAATCATCACACTTATCATATAGCTTGGTGGAAAGCTATCCATGTTGCTTTCGTTGTAGGAAAAAACTGAGATAAGAAGCTGGTGTAGAAAAGAGTGTCATATCCTTGATTTCAATTTCTGGTGGGCAGACGATGGGCGTGATCAATGAATCTATTTTCTTTAAGACAATACGTCATCAATATATCTTAGAGCGGAATTGAAGGTCTTTGTGACCTGTTATTATGATAAGCTCTAATATATTTTCATTCTCGTATCAAAACAAACGCAATGCAGCCAACAGAGGGACACAGTTATGCCAATAGTGTTTTGGAAGATCTTGAAAACTATATTTATGTTTATTACCTTCGTGGATTTCTCCAATATATAAATCCTTCTCTCCATCTCGTGTGTATATGATTGTAAAAGTCACACAAACTATATAATCATGATACGGCAAGCTTATATTCACCAGCAATCATAATTTCAAGAACGTTTGAAAATTCTTTATGAATATATGCTTGTTACAAATATCCTACAAAGTAAACCTGAGTTTCATTTTTACGTACTTTCAGTATGCGTTATTACAATGCTTGATCTGGAAATATCACAAGATTATTTCATCAAAATCAAGACGACTGAAGAGATCTACAGTATCAAATTATAGAAACAATAAATTCAGCCTCGTATGAAAACAAGAAGACGGCAGCCGACAGAGGGACACTGTTATATCCCATAGGTATGGTTAGATACTGTTGGAAGATCCTACCATCAAACTCGACGAAGATATTGTGTCAATAAAAAAATCAATCTTTTTCATGATTTCGTTCTCCATATATTTCTTCCTTGATTTCGACATATTTAACACAAATCACGCTCAGTAAAGTTCACAACCATATATTTGTACCGCAGTTCAGACTCATACAAGAGAATGAAGACCTTCACTCAGGTTAATAGGAATTTGTTGGTGTAAAGAGTGGAAAAATCAAATGTTCTTATAGAATAAAAACGATTTTAGAAGAGGGTGTTGTAGAGAAGTCAAAAGACTTCTGTAGTTCTTTAAATCCACATACTATCAATTCTATTTCTTGCGTAAACAGTATCACAATAAGACTATAACCCAGATAGCATTAGGAATGGTAGTAAGAGGTTTTGATAATGGTTTGGTTGAACAGCGAGACGAGCCAACAATGTGTATTAAAACGCAGGATCAAGAGAGATGCTGATTAATGATCAGTGTAACAAATTTATGTCATCATTATAAGCTCATTAGCAATAAATCGGACAACGAAGTGTGTTAAGTGAATTCGTTGTTACTACCATAATAATCATTTGAGGATGTGACATTGTTAAAATTCGAAAAGAGACTAACTAGCGGGCTTTGCTGGCTGTATGAGTCATATTCTATTCACTCTTTTCTATGAACATTTAAATCGCTGTTTCATTCTATTTGTCAGTATTATTGGCGAAAAAGTCTTGGTATCGAAAAAAAAATTGTTTACCGGTACTTTAATTATCACACATTAATTCATAAATTGAAATTGAACAACTACGTTGTAAAATATCGCTGGAAAGTGCAAGGCTTGTAGTTTGAATAACAGTTGTCTTTCTTTGACTTTATCATTTAGTATTAGAGTAGCCTATCAACTGTCCTTTACGAAAATTTCACTATGGTAGCAAGATCTTCTATACGATGAAACAATCCGTGTCTCTGTTTTGGATTGATCACGGAATTCGATATACCCGTGCTTCTATCTAGGAACTTCTCAAGAAAGGCATCAGTCCTCTTTGCCAAATCCTTCAATAATTTATTTGATTGGTAATTGTGAATAATATTTTATTGACCGTTTCAGAATAATATAGCAATCAAATGTTACATATTCAAATTTCCATTTATGAAATGGTTATTTTTAGACATACGACGTATTTTCTGTAGATATACGAATAATTTTCAGGTTTGAAATTTTGAAACAGACACATCCTCAAGTTATATAATTTATATTTACTCATATGCGTGCACCTACTGGATAACGTGGTGTATCCGCCTGTATTCTCACTTTGTAGGCTACTATAACAGATGTATTGATATCGTGAAGAAAAATGCAGCGTAGTTTTCCCTACGTTTAAATGGTCGTTTTTTTCTTTTCTAGTGCATAAGCTTTAAACTTCCGAAAACGACATTCACAAACGTTCCATATTACGTGCATACAATAAAACTGAGTTGACATACGCAAACCAAAATCTTATCTAATAAACAAAACGAAATATTTTCAAAAACTTTCATAATCAAACCCAGACATTCGTTTACTTGCATGAAAGATAATTTTGACAAATCCTCCCGTTTCAATAGAAATTATAACGTTATATTTTTTTACAATGTTCTAATAAAGTAGTTTAAACATGTACGATGATTAAAGCTTTGGTTTATGAGCAACTGGGTCTCATAAATACTAAGTAAGTGTATTGAAGTCAATATCAAATATGAAATTTTATCAGATTTATGACTTTTTGTTTGTGTGATCTTGCTAACTAACCGATATCAATTAAATGAATACTGATTCACGTTAAATACTGATTTTCACTAGTTTTCCTCTGAATGTTCACTTAAAGTTAGATAGACGTTTGCAATTCCTAAACATTACCTTTCATTCATGGTCACAAATCATATGAATCAACATAAATAATCTACGTTAATTCTAAGGAATCCAACAAAGAGAGTATATTTATGTAACCCTGGTAAATATTAGTCGCAATACAGAGAATTTCTCTTTAGCTCGAATTGTTGAGCGTGAGACTTGTAAACCAGGTTTCCCGGGCTCGAATCCTAGCGACATAGAAATGAAAAATGACCTCTGTTACATTAAGTCACTTTTAAAGATGTGTTTAAATGAACCTTACAACGAATGAATTGCTTAGAATTAATGACCTACGGAATCTTTGTATATACATGTTGTTTCATATCTTTATTTACGTTATCATATATCCATAGGACTTTTTCACACACACACATTCCTTTATGCCTACTGAAGAGGTCACTTGTACAAACACACTATCTTACACTCCAACAGAAGGTTCGAACATTGTCCACTGAACGGAAACGTAAACACAGTTACATCTCCTACATGTACTTGATGATTTACTTCAAATGTCAAAATAATGCTATACCCACTAACGGATTGAAGCGTTTTATATCTAATGCCACCTAGAAAATTTACACATTCATTTTTATGTCCACTGAAGTGTCCAAAACACATTGAATTCAGACGGAGAAATTGCTCTCCAAAAGTTTGTCGTGGAATGCATAAAACTATCGATACAAATTTTAAATTTCCATAAACTCGGTACCTGGTTAATTTTTCCATGATCATTAAAATTACTCTGCAATATGACAAGTTATTTACACATGTCTCTGACAGGGTATACGGTCCTTAAATCCTTACCCTGATCTTCAAATGTACCCTTCAGTTAAGAGTACATAAAACCCTGACAGGGAAATCGGGACAGTATATTATGTTAAGAACCCGTACAACTAATTTGTCGAATTCATTTTAATGACCGTGAGGAAATCAAACACATACCGAGTCTATGGAATTTGACAACTCTATACATTTTAAAAAGAAAAATTAGCAGGCACGTCCACCATATCAGCAACAGTAATGTCTGTTAATATATATCCGAGCATATGGCACCCAGTAAAAAGCATAAACCAAATTGGTCAGTCAAAATACTGCATTCATCGTTGCTATATCACACTTTAAGTAACACTTTAACTTCATAAACAGATGACCGACGTTTGTTTACATAAATATAATCAGTAGTTTACTTTATCTGTAGGATTCATTGTTGGGAGATTCTGGAATGGAATTACATGTATGAACGTCTTGTAGAATTACAGAATAACCGTTTAGATTTGAGTGAATACAGTTGCCATTTGGACGCCGGATATTCCCGGGCATGTCTTCCTCATCAACGACTACAGGTACGTCTTTAGATTGCTGAACACAGACCAGAACAATGCAGAACAGAGCTGTGAAGTAGGACATTAGTCCTCCAACTCCAATAATGGCGATCGAGTACGGTGTCCACACCTCAAAATGGAGTTCGTTATCTTCGTACAACTCCATCTGACCGTTGATTGCTGCCATTTTCAGTATGAGAACTGTCACCAGATTAGCTGAAAGTATACACCAAGTTATTTTATACTATTTGTTTTTATCTTTTTTCTAAGCTATTCCGTCTTACCTCAAATTCGCAGCAAAAAGAAAAAGGAAAAAATAATTGAGAATTTTATCAATTGTTTTTTTCCTAAAATGATGATATACGCGGTAAGATGGATGAATTAAACAAAGTTGAGGATTTACATCAGCTTCACATGAGAAGCAGATTTCCTTCAAATTAAACATCAGTGATCAGATCTTACCTGAGACCAGGTGACAGAAGAGCCCGGCGATACCCAGACCCTTCTTCGTCGCCTTGGTTCTGTTAAACGTAATGAGGAGAACTAGTCCGACTAGTTCGCAGAACAAGGTGATGATTGCCTCCACCTGTATCTCTACATTCCAGCTCATACCTCTCGCTGTCAGTAAAACAGGTAAAACAACAAAACGTTCATTATTATACAATACAAAATAGCAACGTGATTTCATGAAAAAAAGGCATGATCCTTTGCCTTCTTTGTGACTGAGAACAGCTGTTCATGTCATCTTTATATAGTAGTCCTTGGAGTGCATTTTGAATGGTGTATATTATTAACTAGACTCTTATGAGTTAATTGCCAAGAGTATGAAATATCAAGAAATAACGTTCAACTGGAAGTTCTAACGAGAGAGGAAAGGTTTCCCTATCAATATGAAATTCAAACACTTTACGCGTAGAAGTATCGGAATGTTGAACAAATATAGTTGTAGAGATTTCAAACTAAAATTCCTGTGACTGATGGTGGTGCTACCGACCAATGAAATATGAAAATCGCTAAAATATCTTTCTTGGTAGTTGAATCTATCATATATTTGTATATCTATTTTGCTGATGTCAAACTCTTGAGACTGTTTCTGATGAAAGTCTCCATCGTGTAATACATTCAATCGTAAAAACGTAAACCGTGCAAATTTCGTCAGTTATCACTTTTATTAATACATATACATGAGGTCAGTGTTTTCAATCATATATTCCGTTTACGAAGGCTATGATACATTTGTATCTACTAAGATGTAAGACATGCATCAAATTCACTCCGGGATTACACTGTCAATCCAGAGGAAATTAGTTCACTTTTTAAAGTTATTAATGTTCCTTCTATTAATGTATATTGAATATGTTTGAGATTCAGGATAGAATATAAAGGTCGTTTCATAAACAAGTAATTATACCAACATACAATAATCAACGATATTTACTATTAAGGCATATGGTAATGTATGTTTGACTGCATGTATTATACAACTGTATGTTATCTGGATATGTCATTATATCTTTTCAAAAGGTAATCTTGTACACTAAAGGGAGACAATCTAGTACAAAAATTAATAAAGCATATCAAGTGTTTCGTAGACCATGGTATGTGTTTATGAGCCATGCTTTATACTTCCGGTTGTATACTTAAACTTGTTTGTAGACCATCTTCTGTACTTCCGATTGTAAACCTACAAATGTACCTAGGTGTTTATGGACCGTGTTTACTACTCCCGGTTGTAAACCTACACAGGTGTTGGGGAACAATGATCTATACTCTCGGTTGTACACCTACATATGTACCTAGGTGTTTGTGGATCATGTTTTATACTTAACTTTGTATATTCACTCAGGTGTTTGTGGATCATATCCCGTACTTTCGTTTGTGAACCATGTTCTATACACCTAGTTGTGTGCTTCTATATAGGTAGTTCACGTTCTGTACTAACACTGCGTTTGTGGACCATGCTCGTACTTCCGGTTGTACACTTACAGAGGTGTTTGTGAACCATGTTCTGTTCCGACTTGGCCATACCCTCTTGTATACTAGTCATTACACACAGGTGACTGGTACAGGTCCTCGCGAAAAACACACTGACATATACCGTCACTTCTCGGTCCTAAAAGTATTAAATATAGAAAAAGGGTAAAGATATTATCATGCATCGAAAAAATCGAAATGAAAATGTTTCCATCATCATCATCATTTTTTTTTTTTTTTTTTTTTTTTACAAATCCCGGTGTTTAACCGAAATATATTTGAAAATTGATCTTTAAATTTTCCTCTTCCTGAATTCTTACTAAAATTCTTACTTCAAACTCGCGTAAATTTATTTGGTAAGTTTATCGTAAGAGGCTGAATTTATTGAATATGTATAGCATTTCAGAACAGAGGTTATCAATGATCTTATCTAGATGAAGTTCACCATTACACATATTAATGATGCTTTTGAGTAGTAAAACACTTCTCGACCATGTCAATACCGATCAGAATCTGAAATTAAGGACACGACAGACTCCTCAACATCAGACGCTTCCACAGTACCTCGATCTTACTTGTAATGTAACTAACGGAACTAAAACAAAAACAAGGTTCTTTCAATATCCTTCATGTAAACTTTCCAGATCAATTGTTTGGTAGAAACATTCCACTTCCAAAACCTTTGGTGTTTATCTATCTCATTGCATTCGATATTTGATGGGTTGTTCCCAATATCAGGACTCCAGATATGCAAATTGATATAACTAAAGCTGACGATCTCATTGGGAAACATATCTCGTAAGTATATCTGGTAGTTTCGTTCCTATTAACCCTGTTTTCACTTTGAAAACGTTACATTACTCTGTATCTGTATTGTTATGTATCCCATGAGGTAGAGGACACTAAGACTTTCTACTGTCAGTTTTTTCTTGTATCTTTCAGTAGTTTTGATATATTGCTCACATTAAGTATAATACAATTATAACGAAATCGTCTTTGCTATGTTATCAGGAGATGACGGATTTAAGTACACTTACCTTGTGGCTGAAGTTCCATATGGAAGTATCTTTGGGCGTTACCCTGACAACAAGCCAGCCAGGGGTGGCGAACCCAATCGTCAGCATTGACAGCGACAGAGCAGCACAGCCACAGGCAATAAGAGTGATCAGCCGCATGTTATAGACCATTGCGTCTTCAGAGTCGCTCACCTTTAAAAACAATTTACTCGAAATTACTTTTCAGTAAATCTCATCATTCGTTACGTAATACTTTTTGTTCTTTCAATTTTTGTGGCTGGGAATTACAAAGTTAAGAAGTGGGGTTTTTTGTTTCTGTTTTTTTTAAGTCTATACAGAAAACCGAACAATGTCAATACTTAACAAAATCATGTATAGTCATTACGGTCATAAACGACTTAACGAAAGTTGGGTCGTAAAAGGATGGAAACGAATGTCACAAGCATCCAGAAACCTTTGTACAAATGTAGCTAATTCTTTTGTCTACAAAATACCTTATATCGTATCTTGTTCTCGGTAATATACTATAACTACAGTATATATGTTATCATTTCAATGTACAGTGTACACGAATGTCAAAATTATGGTTAAACCGGAATCAGAAGGACGACAAATGCCTTTCCAATATTCATTAATTTCTCCATGTACCAATGCAATATGCATAGTATGCCATTGTGCAGCATTGACATGCAGTGACAACGATCAAGCAGAGACTACGGTAGTTAATCAACACAGTTACAGATGTCACGACCATTATTTCATTTAATTAGGTCTCAAAGTCGACAATTAGGTACAGCATACTAGGTAGTATGTACGTGTAGTTAAGTTACAAACACTTGCGTTAACTCTGTATTAACGCTTTCAGTTGTAATTCTGTACATAATACAGCTTGTATGGGTACATTGTACACATGAAGTAAAGAGTGCTGAAGTATATTTAAGCAAATGTCAAGGGACACAATAGGTGATTTTCCCCCAAAATTCTTTGAAAATGTTCTTATATGCTGAAGGAACGATGGAATTTTGTCCAAATTTAGTTTGAGGAGGGGCAACTGAATTTTGTATAAATGGGAGAAATAAATATTTTTTTTAAAAAGTTCATTTAGTTAAGATGAAGCGATTTCCGAAGCTGAAACAAGTGAACGATACAGGCACGGTGGACATCTTGTTCTATTTAAATCTACAAGATGTATTTTATTAAGATATTTGAATTGTTTTCTCTCTGCTTTTAACACTGGGGAATTATAATTTGTTATAATTTGCATCAAAGTCTTACTAATGAAATGTCGCATTTCTTTGAGTCTGATTGGCTTAATCCAATAGTTACATAATGATACAAACAAACACATACGTGTATTATATTTGTGTATAGTTAAAGCATAGCTCGGCGGATGTCTTCCTCCAGTGGCAGATTACAACCGTTCAAATAAAAAAATCCATACATGTAAAATGTTCTAGATGGGAAGATACAGGTCACTTAATACAGTGTGATGTAATCAAAAGTTTAAACAAGTTCACACAATCTCAGAAATCTGGATGATAAAATACTGTAAAAATATTCACTTCAAGGCAAACTTCAAGTAACATCAATCATGAATATGAGTTCACGAAGGAGTAGCAGTATTGAAGAATTTTCTGTTAAATAACTTTGATTTATTGAACTGTTTAACCATTTGATGGTTTGTAGTTTTACAGACAAGACTCGGAGAAAATGTCGGTCCTTATATCAAAGTTTTATTCTCATCCGACTATCCTTTTTTCTACCGACCGTATTTTCCCAGCATTTTGACAAGATGTTAACCCAAAAATCTCCATGTTTATTTTTCTTATGTGCTTTTCGCTGTCAATCCCCAACTTTGTCTCAGACACTTCACGTTTTCATTTTTAGATCATGTCGTCATCAATTTTGACTATGAAATTTATCAAATGCACGTCTGAAAACATCATGAACGATATTAAAAATAAAATATGCATCTGTTCGGAATGTGATATGTGATAGCTCTGCACTGCCTCTACTCGATTCAGTTTACAACAATTGGGTTCCAGTAATGGTTCGCAGATTTGTCTGTGGCTGTCCAAATTAACGTTTGAGTGATGCATGACCTATCGGTGATGTGAGGTTTGTTCTCTCATTGCTGACGTGACGTCATTCTTTGTCAAATCGAAGTAATGCTAGTTTATAAACTGATACAGTACAGCAACATACCATGGTCACAGTGCAGTATATCTATTGCAATAAAATATGTATATATTCTATATTTCCCAATCGAATAATGATGACAACTATTAAAATCTCCTGTGTGAAGTTGGTTTTCAATAATTAACTTGTGTCAGATGCTGCTTGCGTGGAACAGGTGTTTTGAGCGATTAATAAAGAAGGGGGAAACAGCACGTAACGTGCGGTACTGGTTCTGTGTGAATATGCAAATATGTAGGACCTACGATGTATATCTTGTTTATCTGAATGATATGTCAAACGTTTTAGTCGAGTTGTATATATACAATGTACATATTTCACTTGTCAATATATGAAGTCTCCTGTTGTGTAGCTCTGTGACCCGAGATTGTTGGTCAGTGATGTGGAGGTTATGTGTAGTATAGTCGTTAATGCCATCTCTACAAATAACATGTTGTTTGACACTTTAACATAAATACGGTAATTGGCTCAAACGATTGCGACTACATTGTCCAGGATCAAAATAAATCTGTATCAAGCACACGCTTTTAAACTCGCATCTGAACTCACACATGACGCTTAAAGTCGTATAAAAGATATCTGTGATATTCAGCTATGCATTCCAAACTTGACACGAGTACAGGTAGTATGAGGACATCACTGCTGAAAAATGTCTTCTCCTACGACAATCTGGTCCATGCAGTTTCAGGCGCTGCGGTAAGCTGCATGAGTGTAAATAAACGTAAAACTAGGTTTCACTTTAATTTTATGGTACTTTATATTATGGTGTCGTCAACAGGGTCAAGTTAGAGGGTACCCTGTAAGCTGACCACATAAATGTAGCTTGTATGCAATCTATATTGTATATATAAACAGGTACATATTAGCCATGTATTAACAGACTCGAAGTATGAAAAGTATGATTAGTGTTACACTTCCTGGTCAAAGTTCACATTGGCACATATATACAATAGATATGCTTCTGCTATTTTTTATGGTCTACATATTGCATTAATAGTCTTCCTAAATGACAGATCTTTTGCAAACATCATCATTGTTGGCCAGGCAAACTCCACATTTTTCTGTAATGCAGACTATAGTGACTGCATGTCTGAGTATATTTTAATGATACACAATATTAAATAATTTATTTATACAGGTTTGTAGCCTTCATTATGTTCTTGTTTGTATTGAGAATAGTAATGTTTGAGGTGTGAAAGGAGCGGGTTGGTGTGAACATTATGTCAGATATGTATGAACGCTTTCACTCAGTCGAGGGGGCATGCTTCATTGGCTCAGCTGTGATTGGCCATGTCAGAGACATGAATTATTAGAGACTCAGGTTCATCTCATGTCATGCATCAGCAGGAATGTATTTTTCCTGTTCTATTACATTGTCACCCAATGAAATCCATTAGTTGTAGTTTGTTGAGTCTTGGGTTGCGATTTAGGAAATCTCAAGGAAATTGGGGGCAGTGTAAAAGGAGCAGGATGATGTGGCTTGTGCATAGATATATTGTGTTCAATACGTATACGGTCCCTGTCACTTGGCTTATAGTGCATAACTCTTTGGTTTTTAGGTAGAGTCATGAATTATCCTGCTGAAGACTTGTAGATTCTTGTTAAGGCCCTGTGGAGGATTATGTATCTTTCAATGTTTTCTTCACATTGTTAATGCTGCTTGCCTTGTCTATACATGTAAACTGCTGTGTACATGTAATAGTAAAATTATTGCATAGTAAACAGCATATGTATGTTACATGTTGTGTGTCCATCTTCTGTTTGTAGTATCAAGATCATCTATTAACTTTAGGTGAAGGGGATTTGACTTTGTATCAGTAGGGGATGTGCCACCTTCCAGGGGTGAGATATTCATTGATATTTTCAATCCTCAGTTTGAATAGAAGTTTGTCAGGAACATCCTATCAGGACTACCCAGGTTAAATTTTGTACAGATTTAGCTTCTGATCCCAAATGGAGCAGAAGGGTGAATTCTTGAGGATTTTTTATCTAATCAAATAATGGATTTGAAGAAATGTGTTCTGCAGCATTTGGTAATCAAATTATTTAAGTTTTCAGATGAGGTTACATTTAGGAAATAGTCTTGTCTCAAAAGTTATCCTTGTCTAAAAATTCAAACACGTTTATGTCACATGGTTCTGAAGTACTACAAGTGTGCACATGGCGCTCTATGACTGTAACTTCATAATCCCCTATAAAGGGACTTTCATTCACAGAATGATTTGGATATTACTTCAATAATCTAGATGCATAATTTTGTAAATGCATGTGTAGTTGGAACACTTATTGCAATGATTATTACAATAAAGTTAACTTTATTATAATAAATTTCAGGTTTATTACAATAAACATAACTTACTCTAATAAATTCCATGTTTATTACAATAATTATCATTTACTGTAATAATTTCGGGGTCTATTACAATAAGTTGTTTATTACAATAAGGTTTGCAAAATGGGTACTACCAAAACTCAATTTTGCTTTAACGGGATATATTGGTCAAAGACCATTATTAAAGAAAAATTGATATATCTTGTAATCTTTGAGATCCTTTTTATATTGTTTAACTCATTACATGTGTACATAATTATATGACAGATAATTCACATCTGATACTTTCTGATCTGTTACTATGTCAGAATATCAATAAATTAACACATTACATCATATACAGTGATGTATGTAGATCAGATTTTAATTGCTTGTCGTAAATGTACCTGGATTTTTTTTTGACAATTCTTATCCATGTATAAATGTATACTGACACGCAAAAGAAATGCAACATGTGATTTTATGCAAGAATTTTCTTACTTCATTGAAATTTCTCGTTTAATTTAACACCTGATACAAGATTTAAATGTATTCTTTGGAATAACACTGTCGATTTCTCATTTTGCCTTCATCCATTCTGTAAAAAACGTCAAGGCTCAAGATGGGGTAGCCACTGAAATTTTCCAAATTCAATAATGAGTATGCCCGCCGATTGCATTTTATGCAGCTCGAATCCTGCGATGCATATAATTTACTAAGTGGTTTATTTGTGCCACAGGGATGTTCTGCCACTCTTCTATAAGTGCTTGACGCAAAGCGGGTATAGTCTCTGGTGGATTTGGGTGCGTTCGAATGCGTTGATCTAGCAAGTCCCAGACATGCTCTATTGGTGACAGATCGAGACTGTAAGGGGGCCAAGGTAGTGTTTGCACATTGTTTTGGCGTAGAAAATCCATTGCAAGTCGCGCTACGTGACATCTGGCATTGTCTTGTTGAAAAATGAAGATATGCTGGCAAACAAAAGGGACCGCGACAGGTTGGAGGCCAGTGTCTATGTACCGCTGAGCGGTCAAATTGCCTTCAATGACTACTAAAGGGGTTTTGCGACCACCGCAAATACCGCCCCATACCATTACGCGACCACCACCAAATCTGTTACGTTCCAACATGCAGTTGTCTGTGTATCGTTCACCACAACGTCTGAAAACACGTTGACGTCCATCAGAAAGATAAAACATAAATCTGGACTCGTCAGAGAAGAGTACATGGCGCCATCTTTGCATAGGAAACACATTTGGACGGTGTCGCAACCACTGAAGTCTGACGTTACATCGTCGACGGTTAAGTGGCATTCCTACTGCAACGCGTTGAGGTTTTATACCGTATGATCGCATCGTATATCACGGCTTATTCTCCGATGATAGTGTCCCAGGTGTCTCGGTTGCGGTTTTCTGTGCAGTTCAGAAGAGGTTGCGCAGATGCTGCAACCTCATGAAACGGTCCTGGCGTGGTGTCGTAACCTTCGGTCGGCCAGTTCTAGGGAGGTCAGCAGTTGTACCAGTAGTTCTAAGGCGGGCGTATAGTTGACTAATAGTGCTTTTATGGACATTCAATACCCTTGCCACAGCATTTTGGGTGTTTCCACCCAATAGTAACTGCACTGCTCTGTTACGTTCATCATTGGTTAGCCGAGGCATCTTGTTTGCGCAACAAAAATGTTAATCAATAGTAGATAATTCTTACCAAATACCTGAAGGATAACAAACAGGTCTGATACTCATGAAGTACTGCCACGTGTACGCGTGCACGTGCAAATCGGGGTAAATGGCAGTGTCTCGCACATACGACAACAGGTAGTGTGACCGAGTTCAGTCAACCGTGAATCGATCGGAAATGTGCGTGGTATCATTTTAAACAAAACAGCTAGCAACAGTTTGTTCATATTTTTAAAATGTTGACATTTCATATAGGTTGTGTTTCTTTTGCATGTCAGTATGTATACATTACAATCCACATGTTCTTATAATTGATTGACAATTTGCCATTCATGTTGAGAATTTCTGCCTGTTTATCACAACAACTTCCAAACTTCCTCTTTTGAGATGTTTGTGATGGTGTAATGGTTAGGCAGTTGTAGAATTTCCTAGCTAAGCTATTTGGTGTGGTACTAATTATCTTGAAAATGAGACAACATTTCTTTTGAATTGACAGGGCAGTGTGGTTGCTATGGTGGTTTTCTACCCATTAGATACAGCAAGAACAAGGCTACAGAGTAAGTGCCTTAACTAGAAACACCAGATTGGTGAAGGTCATGTATTTAATATGTAATCATGTGAGGCACCTCAAATTATTGCCTATAAAGATTCATATGATAATAGACCACATTTATTTCCCATTTATCCCTTCTCTACTAACAAATTAACACGCAATAACTATTTGATACAATCCTTAGTCCTTCATCATGTATGTCTGCTAATTTTTTAAGTACATGCTATTACCATTTTACTGTCCCTCAAATTTCTCCCACTTATATAAGGGAGGGAGCCTGTAGTAGTCACTTTGTTTGTGCTTTACATTCCTCTGTCTTGTGTACAAGACATTGATGAACCAGTGAACATCATAGCATCACCACGACAGGGTCTACATCTTATTAGATTATGGTGGTCATTGGGATAAATGTAAAGGTCAAAAGTCATAATTGACCACTTTTGAAAATTTTTATTCCTTAATAGAATTTATGCCTGAGTAGATTTAGATGAGATGAAAAGGGTAAGGAGGCTGGGGTATACCTTCATGTGCCTCTGCTCACTTTCTTCTGGTGACACCATCTCAAGGTCCACAGGACAATTTTGACCATTTAAGTGATATCACTACAGATTTACAAAATGGAGATAACTAACCCTATAGACTTTTTGCCCCACCCAACACTCAAAACCAGGGTGAAAAATATGGGATATTAATATTTTGTATGACAAACCAGACAGCAGTGTGATTGTCACAGCCAGTGGTCACATGGTATTTGATCAAGATCATTGTATGTAATGAGTTGTACAGAATCTAAGATGAATTTTTTTCAAAATTATTGTTAAGTCGATTTTAAATTTAAGATCGTGTTTATTCAGTTTTTGCTGCAATAGATGCATGTTACATGTAATTGTCAAGGGGTTGACAGAAATTATTACAAGTGTTAAATATAAAGGTGGGAAGTCATCTCAACGGGGAAAAATGTCTGACACACTGTTCTGTTTTACACTCCAGGACACACTACCTGACAGTGTGAATGTATACATGTATCCATCACTTTAATATAAAGCAAGTCATGATTCATTCATGCATGAATATCAATTGTTTATCAAATAACAATCAACAGCAGGACACATTTTGTAAATAAAATGGAAGTAATGGTTTATAGCTTCTAATTTTAGCAGTTCCATTTACTGGTATACATCAGATATGAATAATTTGTATATATTCACCCTTCAGTGGTTTCACTAGGTAAACCATGGCATAGTACCATATTTATCATAGTAAGCACAAGTTAAAACTTGAATTAAATTTTAAATTACAAACAAGGACTAAGAGTTGTGTTTAAATAATTTGATTACTTTTCCATTTCTCCCTTGTCATTTTTAAAGGTAAATGGTACTATAGTTTAATTGTGATAAAAATCATTTTAAGGTGTATTTTTGTAAAAACATTTTTAGATTTATAGTATTTATCATCTCACTTGAAAGTCACTCAATTTTTATGTTATCTTCTATATTTCATAATCAGTATTTTTCAAACTATGTTAAGTACATATTGACTTTTTGGAACTTCGGTAAGTGAGATTGCAGACGCACATAACAAGTTTATATTCTCAGAGAAATATTTCCAGACCAACTTTTCACAAACTAATACCTTTGATTAGCAACATCTTGTCAGTTGCTCTTTCTGATTGACAAATTACATATTTTGAATTCAATCTTTGAAATGATGAACAGTACAGAAGGATTTGATCTATTGATAATATAGATCTAAAATTGAAGCCAAAAATTTTGAGTCTTCCTCGTAAACCAGAAGAGTAAGAATTACACACTCCCCAGTATGATTTTGTTATGATTAGGACAACAGCTTCCATATTTGAATTGCATTGATTATATATCATTGTTCTATGTGATGATTATTATGTCAGCTCTCAACAATTAAAATTACTACATAAGTGTACAGTATACTTCATTTCAGATCACTGTTTTAAATGTTACCATGTACTTCTTGTTTATTTTGTCTGACTTTTATTAATTTTGAAATCTGATTGTATGATACATTTTTCATCATTAAATGAAGTTGATGATCACCGGAAAGCCAAGCATACCCCTGTTGTAATGGCAGAGATAGCGAAGGAGGAAGGGGTGTAAGTATAACACTGACCACCATGACTGTTGATAGATGAATTAGTCCCAACACTGGACATAAAAACTTGGCAAAACCATTGTGTGGTTCCCGAAAAAGTACAATGTATTTCCAGTTGGTTAGTCATCAGAGGCAGTAATTACTAACTCCAAAAACTATTAAACGAATCAGAAATCTGTTAAAAGATTTCTTTAATGAATTGCTTTACTGATGCTGAATGATTGTTACTGAAGTAGATATGTGTGTGTGTCTTAATCACACATGTCAAGTTCCTCTCCATATGATTATGAGCAAATGAGAGGAAAGAATAGAATAAAAAGGAATATGTTTTAAGAACAAATAAAGGTCATGCAATGGTGGGCACAAGATATCCCAGAAATTTCTGACCTTAAATAGTTGTGTTTGGAATCTGTTTGTTCATTTTCTCTTTAGTATAGTACCTTATAATTAGCCAAGGCTCTGATTCACATGGAGACAAAACCAGGACATCATATCTGTACTTGATCGTGATGGGTGATTGAGTTACAAAGATTTTAGACCTGCTTAATACTTCTAGGATTTCTGATAAAATATCATGCTAAACTGGTGATAACATCTGAGGTAGGGATAAAAGTACACCAGGAATTATATTATTTGATAGGTTGTCCCTATACAGAGGCTTGCTCATTGATTGGTTGTTGCTATACAGAGGCTTGCTCATTGATTGGTTGTCCCTATACAGAGGCTTGCTCATTGACTGGTTGTCCCTATACAGAGGCTTGCTCATTGACTGGTTGTCCCTATACAGAGGCTTGCTCATTGACTGGTTGTCGCTATACAGAGGCTTGCTCATTGACTGGTTATCGCTATACAGAGGCTTGCTCATTGATTGGTTGTCGCTATACAGAGGCTTGCTCATTGATTGGTTGTTGCTATACAGAGGCTTGCTCATTGACTGGTTATCGCTATGCAGAGGCTTGCTCATTGATATGTTGTCCCTATACAGAGGCTTGCTCATTGATTGGTTATCACTATACAGAGGCTTGCTCATTGATTGGTTGTCGCTATACGGAGGCTTGCTCATTGATTGGTTGTCCCTATACAGAGGCTTGCTCATTGATTGGTTGTCGCTATACAGAGGCTTGCTCATTGATTGGTTGTTGCTATACAGAGGCTTGCTCATTGACTGGTTATCGCTATGCAGAGGCTTGCTCATTGATATGTTGTCCCTATACAGAGGCTTGCTCATTGATTGGTTGTTGCTATACAGAGGCTTGCTCATTGATTGGTTGTCGCTATACAGAGGCTTGCTCATTGACTGGTTGTCGCTATACAGAGGCATGCTCATTGATTGGTTGTAGCTATACAGAGGCTTGCTCATTGATTGGTTGTAGCTATACAGAGGCTTGCTCATTGATTGGTTGTAGCTATACAGAGGCTTGCTCATTGATTGGTTATCGCTATACGGAGTCTTGCTCATTGATTGGTTATCGCTATACGGAGGCTTGCTCATTGATTGGTTATCGCTATACAGAGGCTTGCTCATTGATTGGTTATCGCTATACGGAGTCTTGCTCATTGATTGGTTGTGGCTATACGGAGGCTTGCTCATTGATTGGTTGTGGCTATACAGAGGTTTGCTCATTGATTGGTTGTCGCTATACAGAGGCTTGCTCATTGATTGGTTATCGCTATACAGCGGCTTGCTCATTGACTGGCTGTTGCTATACAGAGGCTTGCTCATTGACTGGTTATCGCTATGCAGAGGTTTGATCTTTGATATGTTCTTGCTACATAGGCATTTGATTATTGACAGGTTGTCGCTGTACAGAGGTTTGATACCAGTGCTGACGTCGCTATGCTGTTCCAATTTTGTCTACTTCTACACATATAATGGACTAAAGGCCATATTTTTAGGTCACACAGGAAAGCCTGATGCTCTTAAAGACCTTACATTTGCATTTATGGCAGGTTTGTATCCGGCACACCTGAAAGAGCACTGTTTACAATGTAACACACATGCTAACACTAGACTGATTTCCCTGAGGAGGCATGATGACACTGCCTTTCTTTGCAGCATCATTTTGTGGGATATATGACACTTTTAGTACATAGTCAACAAAAACTGATCATGAATTATTCAGAGAGCTGTCTATATTTAGATTTCTTACAATAGCGTTCTCCTTTCTGTTTTATCACTGAAATAAATTCACACTGGTCCTGTAATGGTAGAACAGCTACTCATCACAAACTTTTTATCAATATGGAACTGCTTTTGAAAGCAGCATAACATACTTAACTTCAGAGATGCTAAGTAAGACTGCCCTATAGTAATCAGGTAACGTTATACGACTGTCCGTTTTTTGGTTTTGGCACAAAATTTCAAGTGCTGTCCAGCTAATTGCATTCAAACTTAATCCAATACAGTGCTTGTATGAAAATCATTTTCTGGTCCTGAGGCCAAAAGTAGGATCACTATTTAATTTTTACATAGTTCACACTAATGAAGTCAAGTTGTTAAATAGCTATCAAATTTGCCCTGAAAGGTCTTTATAACGTATCAAATGTATTGTGTATTTGGCACATTTGTTTCTCTTAAGGTCAGGTTTAGAGTTTGCAGACACATTGTAGGACCCTTTCTGACCTGATAGCATTCTAATTTCTTGCAAGTGATGTTTGAAATGCTTGTACCAATGAAAACATCAGAATACATGTCTTTTTTCCAAATTCTTAGTTTGAGTAAAACATATGCAAGATATAAAGTATGAAATATAATATGCCTTTAACAGAGAGGTAACAGAGTTACATGCTTTTACTTTTCACAGGTGTGATCAATGTTTTAGTGACAACACCATTATGGGTGGTCAACACCAGACTAAAGTTACAGGGAATCAAGTTTCAAACAGAAAAGTATCGAGAGAAAAAGATGCCAAAATACAAAGGAATCTTAGGTAGGTATGATCTACATAATTATCTGGAAAGAAAACATAGATCAACATACATTTACCTAAAATGAAAGTTCACATGTTCTCTGCTTATGAATTTATCAAATGGACTTGTGTTATACATAGAACATTTGCTAAATAATCATTCTCTAGGAAAAAGATTTACGTGGTTTCTCTATCAACACTTGAATATGTATTTTATGGTATCTCTTTCAATTCTGTAACTTTGTTTTGTTTTGTTAATCTGTCTGTTTTTTGTAAGATTATTCTGTGTCTGTCTGCTTGTCTGTCACATTTTACCCACATCGTAATGCAGCAAGGGCCTATAAAGAGTGTGACCCATGTATGTCCTGTCCCTTCACTTTTGTCACATCCTGTCCTGTTACGTGCCAAGGTCATCACTTTTAGTGGTGCCTTCATTTCTTTTAATCAAACTTTATGTAAAGGTCAACAAGGACAATACCCTACATGAGTTTGTATTTCAGGATCAAGGTCACTGTTACTATTTACAGAACTTTGTTGATCATTGATACTAACCTGTATATGTATGGATGCAGAGGCATTTCATGTCTTAAGGATATTTTCATTTGAAAAAAGAAGTTTGACATCACTTTCATTGGTAGTATATGCCAGCCTATTTCAACGATACTTTATGATCATATTTGCATAGGATGGTTTGGTTAATGCACTCACCATTCACATAGACATCCAGGGTTTGATTCCAGCAAAAGATGTGAAAATGTAAAGTATGGGTTTTTCCCTGGTACTCCGACCTCCTCCCACCATAATACCTCTTAAGTAATTTCATTCGCCCAACAACAGTGAATAATATTATTTTCAAATCACTGAAGATGAAAATGACTGTTATTTATTCGTGTTAAGCTAGTCAAAGCAGACCTTTCTATGCATAATGTTGGATGACATATTTATAGACTCAGTCTGGAAATATGGTTTTTATAAGCTTTGTCTCTATCTGTTTTGTGTCTAACTGTAACTTTGTACTGTATCAGATGTTAGCTGTTTTTCACATGTTTTCTATATGAAGTTGACAGAGTGCTCTTGACTGAAAAAATGTATATCAACACAAATACATGAAAAAAGATAATTCAATCCAATTAAGTTTGTTATATTACTGAAGTATTAATTTACGTTTATGATCATTTAATTACTAAAGTCTTTATCTATGTTTATGATCATTTAATTACTAAAGTCTTTATCTATGTGTATGATCATTTAATTACTAAAGTCTTTATCTATGTTTATGATCATTTAATTACTAAAGTCTTTATCTATGTTTATGATCATTTAATTACTAAAGTCTTTATCTACGTTTATGATCATTTAATTACTAAAGTCTTTATCTATGTTTATGATCAATGTGATCGTATTGTATGGATTTACAAACCAGTGGCCAATGATCCACAACACACAAAAGAGTGGTCAGTGATTCACAACACACAAACAAGTGGTCAGTGATTCACAACACACAAACAAGTGTTAGTGATTCACAACACATAAACAAGTGGTCAGTGATTCACAACACACAATCAAGTGGTCAGTGATCCACAACACACAAACAAGTGGTCAGTGATCCACAACATATAAACGAGTGGCCAATGATCCACAACACACAAACGAGTGTTCAGTGATTCACAACACACAAACAAGTGGTCAGTGATTCACAACACATAAACAAGTGGTCAGTGATTCACAACACACAAACAAGTGTTAGTGATTCACAACACATAAACGAGTGGCCAATGATCCACAACACACAAACGAGTGGTCAGTGATTCACAACACACAAACAAGTGGTCAGTGATTCACAACACATAAACGAGTGGTCGGTGATTCACAACACACAAACGAATGGACAGTGATTCACAACACACAAACGAGTGGTCAGTGATCCACAACACACAAACAAGTGGTCAGTGATCCACAGCACACAAACAAGTGGTCAGTGATCCACAACACACAAACAAGTGGTCAGTGATTCACAACACACAAACAAGTGGTCAGTGATTCACAACACACAAACAAGTGGTCAGTGATTCACAACACACAAACAAGTGGTCAGTGATCCACAACACACAAACAAGTGGTCAGTGATCCACAACATACAAACAAGTGGTCAGTGATTCACAAATTAGTGGTCATTGATTCACAACAGTGATTAATGATCCACAATACACAAACAAGAGGTCAGTGGTCCACAAACCAGTGGTCATTGATCCACAACACACAAATAAGTGGTCAGTGATCCACAAGTCAGTGTTCAGTGATTCACAACACAGAAACAAGTGGTCAGTGATACACAAATATGTGGTTATTGATTCACAAAGGTGTGGACAATGATCCATATCACACAAACCAGTGGTCAGTGATTCACAACCCAGTGGTCAGTGATTCACAAACCAGTGGTCAATGATTCACAAACCAGTGATCAATGATTTACAAACCAGTGGTCAGTGATTCACAAGCCAGTGGTCAGTGATTCACAAGCCAGTGGTCAATGATTCACAAACTAGTGGTCAATGATAAAAGGAACGAGAATAATTTACAGACACACTTATATGTACATTATGCAAGCAAGTCAGTAGATTTTCAGTTATCCATTCATCGTGAACTAGGGATATTTTTGCACTAACACACTAATTGATCACTTTCATTTAAATTCTATGCAATATTTTCTGAAACATTAATTAGAATACTTTAACAAACATATGAAAAGTATTGTTGTGGTGATAAATAAAATACTATTTAATAATTACTACAAAAGTAATGTACATGTTCGTATATTCCAAGTAGGCATTATACTCACCATTCGGTCACCGGAATCATTTGTAGAATCACTACCTAGGAACTTCACAATAGCTATGGTCTCTTCTCGTCTTTTGACAGCTGGTATTTAAAATCAATAAGACTTTGTATGATATAATTAGCAATCTATTCTATCAGCATCAGTACCACTAATGATACCTGCCAGGTCTTTCATCTCTCCATGTCACCAGGTAATATTCTCACTCCACAATGTTTCTATATTTGGTCTGTTGCATTGTTCTTAATTATCCGTTAGCTTTGAGACCAAAAACTTTGTCAGGGTAATTCGTGGTATTTATTCCGTACTCCATGTGAAGAAAATTTCAACAATATTAGCTTGTCTTTAAGAGAGAGTTTGTAAAAATGTGTAAAAGTGGCTTCTTTATCTGATGTCAAGGAATATACTACTGGTGGAACTGGTACACAACGTGACTTGTGTGTTCTGAGGGTGTTTAAATATTGAACAGATGATTGTATCATAGTATTGTTTATTGATTTTAGTTCAGGTGCATGCTAGAATAGATACAGAGAATTGAAATATTTTATTATCAGTGGCAAGACCCAAAGCGACCTTCAAGGTATAATGTTAAAAATGAATTGAACTCTTGTTCACAATTGAATGTTCAGCAAAACAATAAATTTCCTAGTTGTGCAAAAAATTATTTTTCTACCAACATAAAACACAGCACTCACTTGCCACACAGTCACATAATTGTAATTAATGTGAAATCTTCATGTGTTAATTGGTTATAAAGTGTTGGATCTCATTTTCTCTCGATAATCTATTGTTCCCTTTAGTGATCAGATGGCCTTTTTCAATCAACTAGATTATGATAATTAATTACCTTGTCTCTGCTCTAGTCAGCATGCTTAGATGTCCTGTCCAATTTACGTGTTAGTAGTGAGCTGTGTCGTACAATGAGCTTTGTAATTATAGTCAACTGTACGAAAAGAATTAACAGTTGAGTGTTATCCTCTGACTAGTTTCATTAATATCTAATACTCGGTATGTCTGTTATGTATGTGTTTGGGAATTGACTTTCATAATGTTACAGGGATCAGCAAAATTTGACAAGATTATTGAGTGGATTGTAATAAAATTGGAGTTGAAATGAACATTTTGTGAAAATCGAGTTACAGAATGGTATTATAATAGTATTTATCTCACAATCTCCCTGTAAACTGATGAATATCTGGCTTATGTAAGCTGTATTACATACCCTCACCAACAGAAAAAAGATAGGAAAATGAATGTATTTGGCAAAACAGTGAGTGTAAGTAGATAGTTTGGAGAGGGGGGACAGAACAGAAATGGAGTTGACTGTTTCGTTGTTGTAGATATTAGGGATAAGAGATGGAGTCCACTGTTCTGATGTTGTAGATATTGGGAGAAGAGGGACAGGATAGAGATGAAGTAGGCTGTTCCAGCGTTCCTTATACATAACACTATATCTAAAGTTGTCTTTGGCCTAATATTGTCCTAACTGGACACTGGCCAAAGGAAACAGTCACAACAGGACAACATGCTCTCAGGAAGGTAGGATCCGGTCTTGATTGTACAAGTACATACATGTGTCATCATACAGTACAAAAGATACCGGTATTGTATCAACTGTATTTGGTAATGAAACCTACATATACAGATGTACGTGAAAGTGGTGCCAAATTCTCTATCCTTAATATGTATGTCTACCTGAAAGAGGTGTTTCAACCAAATTTACTGACTATTTCTAATTTAACAGTAGATATGACAAGACAACATCTGTCGGCATGTTCGGCAATCCAGTACTTTGAATTGTTTCCACTGTTCTTATGACGATGTACCTAGCATGTTGAAACATGTAAACCAATAAATCCTGCTGAACCTTCCAACAGAGGTTATCTGGTCATATCTACCATTAACTTTGATCACTGTTTTGGAACTGGACTCTGTATTCCATCAGGAATCCTCTCCAGAAGACTGCCAACACTTTAAGAAGATTTTTCACTGGACATGTGGTCTCATTTTCTTTGTATTTCCAATTTAGGAATATTTATGGCTACAAGTAATGAAAGAGAATTTGTCACAGTTCATAAATTTCCCATTCATATCACGAAGTAAATGTATTTAAAACATCAGCCTGGCATCAATGATGGATATCCTGGTCGCCAGAAATATTGAAATGTATCTTTCACCAATACAGCTCCGATATTGATACACTAATTAAAGATATAATAGTCAGTGTCTTTCCCAGCTCACACCTAATCAACCATCAGACAAACAAGTACATACATGTATAATGTATAGGTGGAATAGTGTTATTCTCTCCGCCGAAGTGTCTGGTAATCAGGAAAACAGTGTACTCATACAAGCTTTTATTAGAAAGATCCAAGACCAGCCTTAAATCAATTATTTTCATCTGTTGTAAAAAAGCATTCTTCAAACTTTGTCTTTACTGTTGCCGTACATATATAAGTTTTTTCTAAGGTCATTCAGTGGAACGATGAAATCTTGATTTTCTGTGCTTTTGTATGATTCGTAAGATTACTTGTTGAAATAAAATATTAATTACATTGACTACAGCTTTTTTCTCTTGTCCTACTTTGAGCGAAGTCTCTTTCCTACAATAGTGAACAAGAGATCTCTTTAGAACAAGAAGGTACTATGTGTTTCCATTCATGGTGCACCTTGGTTTTATCAAATAATGGTATATAGGGTATACAGCATAAGTGGTTATTTTCATGGGTCAAATTTTTGACAATTTTCTGTAAAAATGATCAAATCATATTTCAACAAATTAACATTTAGCAATCTGTATGTTAAAGGACATCTTATACATATGGTTGGTTTATTTCATGGATTACATTTTCATGATCATATTGGTGTATCAGGAAATAGGGAAAATACTATCCCCATGAAGATGACCAGCCAGCCACACAGTGCTTTGATGATATCTGACTTGATTTTGTTAAAATCAATATAAAATTCAGTGCAACTATATGACAACCATATGATAAATTCTGTACAAGATGCAAAAAGTTACTATTTTGTGTCCTGGATTGAAAAGACTTATTCTTATTTTATCAGAACTTTTTCTCACTACAGCAATTTGACGCCATGATAGTGGACAAATAAAATAGCTACTAGCCTACTTTCATGCAATGAATATGACATTCTGTACAAAAGGTTAAAATCATGGTGTTAGGAGTGTCATGGGGAAAAGCTGTTCATGGCTAGCATATTTCTATTTTAAAATGTTTATGTTAAGTGTAAAAAAAATTTCCTTATAATATTTGGACAAGGTGGAATGTGGTATATAGGTATCGTATACTGTGTTGTGTCCTTCATTAGGCCATGAACCTTCCTTGTTTAATTATTTGATATTTATTAATCTTAACAACCCAAAGCATGTCTTAGTTTAGAGACCTCCATATATAATTAACTGTAGGTTGTCATGTGACTCTCAATTTTCCAGATGCTCTGCTTAAGATCGCTAAGATGGAAGGAATTGGTACATTATGGAATGGCACTCTTCCAGCATTTGCCTTGGCTTCCAATCCATCGATACAGTTTATGGTCTACGAGATGGTGAAACGTTACTTCCAGAAACTACTGGTCACCAAGGTATGTTGCTGTAACAAGCAGTACCAACAATACATAAATGGATATGATAGGGTTTCACATCTGGACATTATACACAAGATTTTTATGTATGTTGTGTCTAACAGTGTTTGATCTGTCACAAGCTGTTTTGCACTTACTTTTGTGTATATCAGTGAAAGGTTTTACAAACAAGAGGAACTAACATCTTAACACTTCATGCAATTCAGCGATATAAATTGAATAAAAGTATTGCACTTGGTGTTGGTCCCTTTCTGGTCTTGTTGCCAAGCCCCTGCAGGATGATACATATACACAAAAAGCAACTTTTCAAGTATAAATTTCAATGTTCACCCTTTAAGAAACAAATTCATCCATTTTTGGTCAAAATGAAATGGCCAATTTAAGAGATGTTGATTTAAGCTTATGTGTTCTATGGCCCATTTAGGGCCTGCCCTAATCATGCTGTGGTCAGCCTCCTGTCAGGTATAGTGTTGAATCCAAATATTTTGAGGATAATTTTGGCCAAATTCTTGTAAAATCTGGTGGTTAATTTCAGAGAAGTCATTTTAAGGTTATGCACTCTGTGACTCTCTTTTAGGGCCTGCATTCCATCCCTTGGCTCTGTCACTTGTCAAGTATCAATTCTAATCCTTACTTTCTAAACATTATTGCCAAATATGGATGAAATCCATACAGCCATTTTGAAGAATTGAAATTGAAAATGTTAAATGTTTATCCTTGACACGTAATGCCAGATGTAAATGGGCAACATGAAATTGAATTCAAGAGCTTTATTATTTTTGCTTTTATTTGTCTTTTTTCCATTTTTGTAGGACCTCAGCGGGCTTCTGTACTTTGTCATTGGTGCCATCGCAAAGGCAACTGCTACCATCATAACGTACCCTCTTCAAGTTGTACAATCACGTCTCCGGGTAAATAGTTACAATATATATTCTAGTTATATCATGAAAATGTATATTTTGTATTCTGTAATATGTGTGAGTGTGGATAAATAGATAGATAGATGAATAGATCTGCCAATATGTCAATATTAATGAAACAACCAGCAATAAATGTAGAGTTGGAAAGATTTTAATTAATCTGTTGCCAACTTCATTATTTACTGTATCAAACTGGGACAAGAATTATATCAGAAGTGAAGACATTACAAATTTTCCTAACCTGTTGTCCAGAAAAAGAATAAAGTTTTATTTTCTGTCTGTTTAAAATGTTAACTTTTTCTTGCACCAGGCTGGGTACAACAAAGAAGAAAGGTCTGGAAGTATACTGAGCTGTTTGAAAGAGCTGTTAAGGTAAGGAAATGGTGATGTTTATGGGCATCGGTTGTTTTTGATGTTCTTCAAATCTGAGTATTATGTACATTTAAATGTTACATGAATTGATGAAGGTTGGGAAATATTGAGGATGAACAAACTTTTTTTCCAAAAATTAAAAGGAATAGACCGTACCATTCATTTTATACAAAGAAACATGACATATTGTACACAACTGATGTACACGCACTGAGATGTCCTGTTGTGTACACGGCAATGTATACAAGTAATAAAATTAGCGTATGTCAGTCCAATAATTGAACCTTCTCGAATGTTTAAACAATCAAACACCAGGGTTCCATTTCTTGATTGATTGTTTTATCAAGTTCTTGACACCAAGGATTGCACAATTTGGTAAGATAAAATTAGATCCGCCTTTGATAGTGGATCCTCTCCTGAAGCTTTTAATCAGCAATTCAGTGATTGAAAAATATATCTTCTGTTGTCTGTGATGGTTTACACAAGTTAATTTAGAAATAGAATTCTGATAAATTTCATAAAATTAATTCACACAAGATTGAGTGCCTGGTTATAAGCTGATATTGGTAAATGAACAAGCGTTACTTGAGAATCTCTTGTAAATGGAGACGACAAACTCTGATTTTTTTTATACCACTAATGAAACAATGCAAGAAAGTCGAGCCATAGTAAGAATACTTAGTATAGTTATTTTCTTTCAAGATTACTCATTTTATTGTAAAATTCTAGTATCGCCTCAGGTAATGACAACTGATGGCCAGGCAAAAATCTGCAAACATGTATGTGTAGAGTGCATCAACTTCATCTGTTAAAGTTTTCAAATTTTCAAAGGAAATGCTTAACTGTTAAAAACAGACATATCTTCATTCCATATTTTTGTCCATTTCTTCACCAATGTTATCAAGGAAATAGATATCAGTTTTCTTTTCATATGCAGCCATTTGGATCTCTGAGTCCATTGGTACTGCTGCTGTTGTCATTGACATTAATGCTTTCAAGACATGTTGATTTATTGAAATATTGTAAACTTTTCGTGGATGTTGATTAACACTGAAATGCTATGTTGCTCTATTTGAAATCTGAGAGCTTCTGTTGTAATTAGGACTGAGTATATGCATATATTGTGCAGCAAATGATAACATTGACTTTTAAACATCCAAATGACTGTGACATTTTGTGTAGCTGGTGTAAAATTATCTCCCATATCAGGTTCCTAGATGTTTTTATTATCCTAGTTATCCAAGAAAAGCCAAGCATCCACTGTTATGCCTGGTTACAACCATGCAATGACTAAGCTGCATTCTAGGACTTTTGGTACACAATGTTGTAATCAACTACATATCTGACAACTTTTGTCCATGTTGCTTCAACCTCTTGAAGGATTCAGGTGATATCACAGATGTAAACAAACTAAACCTGTTATGTATATTATACAATCATATTTGCCTATAATAAAAAGATATTCTTGAGTTTTCATTCATACCAGCCCACCATCACCAGATGCTGGGCTGTTCAAATGGCCCTATGTATGTGGTCCATCTGTAAAAAAAATTTCTTGTCGCCATTTCTTGAGTAGCACTTCATATTTCATATGTCGGTTCTCCTTGATCCCTAGTTGTGCCAGTTTGATTTTGGGTGTGATCAGAATCACAAAATGGCTGATTGATGGCCTTCTTGGATTTTTACAATGAAGTTTGTTATCTCTCTGTCTTCAGAAGTACTAGATGGATCTCTCAAATTTCATGTGTATGTTCCCCTTGGTCCTTAGTTGTGCTCATTTATTTTGGGACCAATTAGAAAAAACAATATGGCTGACAAGCAGCCGTCTTTGAAATTGACTTTGAAAGTTTGTTATAGCTATTACTTCAGAGATATTGATCGATCTTTCTCAAATTTCATATGTAGGTTCCTCTTGGTCCCAAATTGTGCTGTTTTGATTTTAGGATTAATCAGATAAAAAGAATTGGCTGACAGGCAGCAACCATCATGGATTTGGCAGTTAAATGATGACTTTGTTCAAATTTCATATTATTAAGAAGAAGAAAAAAGGAAGGAAGAGAGAAAAAAAGGGAAAAGATTTAACATCTATTGAACAACTGAAGATCAAACAATGATGGGAAGCAAGATTCCTCTGGGAACTCTTGTCAATTATTTAGCAATTGAATAAAGTCCTGTCTGAGCAACCAGTTTAGCCAGTAATGAAATGCCCCCTACAAGGACTCTTTTGGAAGTTTTGGAATTTTTTTGTGAATGAAGCAGATTCACACCCTTGTCATTACTTCATACACTAATTTATTGTAACACTTGATCACTATTAGAACTTTTTTTTTAACATTGAAGGTGTTTTTTGTAATCAAGCTAGCAGAGTCAATGCCGTCTTTTTGTAGGCAAGAAAATGATGAATTGCAAATTGCAGAGTGTAGGTTTGTCACTGGATTCAAGAAATACAAAATTATGTAAGCGACTTTCACTTAAGATATTACTGCTGTCAAAATCTCTTGTCAAAATGAGTTTGTTGATCAACACGAAATGAATGCTTCAAATCTTTAATAGCATGCTATGTATGTTTTAACTATATACTTTAGTGATAGATTTTAAAACTACAAAACAATGAAGGAAATGAAGTTTCTTTTGATGTACTGGTTTCTCATCGACTCTATTTTCAAATCTATAAGGAGGTTAATCATCAACCAGACTGATAGCTGATCCAGTATTGTTTAGAAATATCAGTCTAATGATAAATCAAAGGTAAACATTCAAATTCCAACGAAATGAAGTTGATTCTAACAAATGTTTTTTTCTGGTAAACAATTTTTATTGGACTGCAGTGACCTTCTGTCTACTCGAGAATGTTTTATCGTAACATTACTTGTTTAAAATCCCTTTTTGAAACTGTTGAGAATTGTAAAATTCTACATTACCTGAAAGATGTTGGTCTATATAATAGACTATGACGTACCATTTTAATCTTTTGTGTTAACATACCCATTTAAGATTTTTAACATTTGTCTTTTACCTATTGGTTTGTTTAATGTTATTTCTTTTGTTGGATCGCTGTGTATTTTACCGTTAGATGGCTCTAATGACCTTTTATGTGTTGACGGTCTGTTAAGAATGTAATAGTGATAGTTTTTTCTGTTTACATTTTAAATGTTAGCATTGTGTCAGCTAGTTTTTTTCTCTCAACAGGCAACAAGGTGCAAAGGGTCTTTACAAAGGGATGGAGGCCAAGCTTTTACAAACTGTTCTCACAGCAGCCCTCATGTTCATGGTCTATGAAAAAATAGCAGCGACTATATTCAGGATTATGGGCTACAATCAGCAACAGCCTTCTATATGACTGCAATGATATGAAATTAGAATTAAATTATGTAGTTAGAATACATTTTTTACAGAATGAAGTGGAGTACAAAAGTCGATATGAACTGAGATAAATGTCAGTAGAATTCTTCAGTTGTTGTTACAAGTGTGACTGAATCTGGACCTCTAGCTCAGTATAGAGTGATATTTTCCACACAGGTGCTAAATATGGTTTCTGAAGAGAAAAAAGGGAATTTTTTTTTTTTTTTTTGCGTGACATCAATGTGATTGCCAAAATTTGATTCGTTAAGTGATAAAAGGCATGTAAGTATCAATTCTTGACATATTGATATCATCACTACATATGTATTGTACTTGGCCGTAGCCACAATTACAATTGTTTTTAACTTGATTTAATGCAATACAGACCTTATATAATTTACTCACTCCTAAATGATGAGTGCTGTTGTCATAAAAAAACCAATAACATATATATGTGTAACTAATTTACTGTCGAATATACTCAAATAGAGTACCAGGTATTATTTATAACTTAGCTTAAAATATGTGAATCATTATTAGATTAAGCAGATTATACTATGAACAATGTTATGTGATCAGTTTGTGTTCAGGAAGTGCTTTTGTTATACATTTATATATAAATGGAAACCAGCGAAATGTTTCTACTTTTACAAATTTTTTTTTTTTCTTTTAATTCTTTTTTTTTTTTTAAGTTTTTGCAAATAATAGATGACCAAGGGTATGTTTTTGTGCAATATTCTTTTGCAGATTATAGAAATAATGTTTGATTTAAACATATTTTTATTTGTTCAATATAACAAATGGGATTAGGCACAAGTTATCACAACTTAGAAACATCTTTACCCAAAGTAATGTTTCAGAAACTTTTGAAATACATCACATTACTTCATTACACTGAAGGTTATAAGGATGAGAAAATGTAACACTATTCTGATAAAGGACCCACCTAATCCTAGTGAATAACAGAAATCAAAATGTTGGAGTAATTATGATGCCAGCTAGTTAAATATTGTCATGGGGTTCATTGTCAGTTCATTTGTTTTGCTATAATTCATTGTAAAAGTTCCTGTTGAAATGTGTTAATGTATACTACAAGGCAGTATACAACCCTTTTTTATGTCGCCTGCTATAGTACTCACTTGCTATACAGCACTATAATAAGTGAGCTATAGGGATACTGCAGTGTCAGTTGTCTGTCAAATTTTCCTAGAAATTGCAACTCGTAACGACAGAGTTTAATCAAATTAACTGAAGCATGCGTGGATGAAGAGAAATAAGTAGGGAAAATCTATCAATTTCTTTAAAATCCATCTTTCTTTAGGAATAGCAGGATATTGTTCAAATTTGGTCTGAAGCATGCTTTTGTGAAGGGAAATAAGGTTTTTTAATAGTGGGGTGGGGATGGGGGGGGGGGGGGTCCGATAGGAACAAACTATCAGTTTCTTTAAGATCTTTCTTGTTCTTCATGAATTGCAGTATATTGTCCAAATGTTTTATTTTTACAAGTCGGTTTTGCATAAACTGTGGGTCTTGGCCACCTGGGGCCAGAGGGATGGGGCCCAATAGGGAAATCTATCAATATCTTTAGAATCTATCTTGTTCTTCAAGAATTGCAGAATATTGTCCAAAATTGGTCTGAAGCATGCTTCTTTCTTCTTTAGGCATACCTGGATGTTGTTCCAATTTGATCTAATGCATGCTTGGGTGAAGCAGTATCAATTTTGTAGGAACGATGGATCTTAGCCCTTTGTATATTGTATATAGTATATTGGGAGTGATGGGGCCCAGTATGGAAAGTAGGCAAATTCTGGCCCATTGGGATCAATGAGGTGGGGTCAAATAGTGGACAGAGCAAATTCTTTACAATTTGAATTGTGTTTAAAACTTCAAACAGCTACATCTTATAACCCCCTTTTGATGGAGGGTTGAGTCTGTGATGGGGAAATAGATACAAGTGTCTTCAATACTTTTCTTTAAGTTAAAATAAATCAATTATAGCAAAATAAACCAGGTGAGTGATACAGGCCTTATGGGCCTCTTGTTTCTGTAACATTATACAATTTTTCATATGACATTTTATATTGCTTGGTACCTTTTGCATTTAGTTCTATACAAGAACACGTAGATGTATATGGTGGAATAAAAAGCATTTTAAACATGCATCCTGTGAGCTGAGGAATGAGGAAGCATAGTTAATTATTGATGTTTTATTTTGATTTTTGAGATTGTGAAGTGTGTGTGTGTGCTTGTGGTTTTTTAACTTTCATTTTATATTTCAATGGAGTTTAGCTCATTTTTTATCATTTACATATATAGGACACTCCAATACCTAGCACATGGTACCTACAGTTGATAATGAATTCAGATGTTGTGATAAAAAGTCATTTCATGGTATTCAGTTAAGTCCCAAACAAAATGTAAATTCAGGCTACATGTAGTAAGTTTATGAAATTACATGAGCAGTGTTATCATGTTTGAAATATTAGTATTTTGAGAAATCATTAATAATAATGGTTTATGGGATATAGTTATGTCCGTCTACAGTTACAATGGTTGATCATAAAGACGACATGTTATCCTGCTGTGATGTTAGAACTTTAAAGTTTTGGATATTATACAATTGTTGAATATTTGTGGTGAATTGTTCAAGGGACCAGGTAGTACATGTCATTTACATGTTTATTACGGTTGTGCCATCAAAATACAGAAATTACCTTCTTGACAGTGAAATAAATGTATAGAATTGATCAGTCTGATAAAACCTTATATCATGATGATGTAACTTTTCCAGTGATAACATAACCTAGGTTCTTTTCAAGGCAGTGTTTTCTAGTTACTGTATTGAAATTTACCAATTTTCTTGTTTGGACTTTAAAAATGCGAAAGTTGAATATGTTGGTATTCTATCAAATCCTGTCCATGTATATTTCATGGTTTCTCTAATGTGGTATTTAAAAACAGTTTTCTAAGCGATTCTTACCAGATAACATAAAAAAATGTTGATGTAAAGTGGCCAATGTGAAATGACATTGTCTTGGTTGTCAAGCGTAAAGTCAAACTATCTGATGTTAAACAATGTGATGATATTTCCAGAACATATTTGGATAGGATTTGTTTTTCTGTTGAAATGTAATAGAAAAGGAAATTTAATGGTTTCCCATGAAATATCATCTACATGTGCAAGTCACGAGTATAACAGAATGTCCTATTTTTCACAATTGGGAATATTTAATAAGTCAAGTTTGAGGAATGGAAAGACAACCCTTCGGGGGATACATGGTTATCCTGATCCAATAACATATATAATGCACATGTATAGCTACTTTACTGATGACTACTTGGTATAAATGTAATGCAGTAAAGGCAAGCAAATCAACAGTACAACACCAATGGATGGAATATTGGATGTGTGAAAAAAGCCAAGTACCTGTGTGTACCTATTGAAATGGTATCCCTATTATCACAAATACAAACATATTATTATTGTAATGTTCTTGTATTTCACTGCCATGATGTTAAAAATGCTACTTGACTGACCACCTCTGCAAGTATTTAAGAATTGTATTACTCAGAACGATATGTTTAAATCATAGCTTTTAAAGTGAACTCATTTACCATGGATATTAAAAAGATGTGTGATGTTTGATAATGAAAAAAGTATATTAGATAAATGAAAACTGATGTTTTCTTGTTTATTTATATTAGTTCACATAACAGCATCAATGGATAATATAATGTTTATACTACTTTTCCTGAATCGAGAGGTCAAACCATAGAGATTTGTATGGAAATTCAAAAGCAGAGGGACATAGAACAAGGTATATGACAGTGGAATATTATCATAGGCATTGTCCATTCCATCTCCACCATCACTTGTTGTACCCTCAGTTCTGTTTTTGCTATATCTTCATGCTGTATATCTTCTTATAGGTTGTGGTTCGACCATGAACCTCATGTCATTCGAGATGGAGCTGCAGGAGGGTGACTCTTCCGGATGTGATAACATCCAGTAGTTTTGTTCAGTTTATCAAAAAGAATGATTAATCCCAAAAGCAATCCAAATTTGTTTTACAGACAGATACATTGTAATACATGTACTTTATTAAGATAATTAAAATATTGACAAATATGTAGATGTGGATTCCTTTGGTAAACTCTTAGAATATAATCATTTTGAACTTTGATTGATTTTGAGACCAGGGCCCGTATTCATGAAACCATTCTCATGCTCAAGCCTTATGTCTTGTTTTAGTTAAAAAATAATAAATAAAGCTGATTTTGCCAAAGATTTAAAAAAAAAAAATATGAAAGGACTTCAAGTCAAAGTTAAAATGAATATTTATATTTGACATTTGTATTATTTGATATGATTTAGGAGAATTATTAAAAAGTTTGCTTGAGCACAAAATGTATGCTTGAGCATGAGAATGGTTTCATGAATACAGCCCTGGTGATAAGTCCTTCAGTAATGATGAAAAGTGACTCCAAGTATTTTGTACATATTTATGATGTATAACTAGTAAAAGGAATATTCATGTTTTTGAACTAGTTCCAAGGAAGATTTTATTGGGTAATGTGTTATTTGATATCTTTTTAATTGTTTTCATATGACTTAATCTTTTTTCAAAGTTTGACGCAGTATAGCACAAATTCTAAGCCTTTAACAAGTGTGAATTGGTAATTAATTATTTTCTTGTTAAACTAATATGTTCCCAATAGAGGTAAATATCAAACGTGAACAGTGTACATATGATCTGTAAGGCTGCAGTTGTACAAAGTTCAAGGCCATTGCACCTCCCCATCTAGATTTTGACATAGGATAACTTAAGATTTTTAGTCGCCAACATCACTGACTAGCCCTAGCGAATTTATGAAACAAACTGCATCATACAGGTGTTTCACCTTAGTAATGCTAATGGCCTAATTTTTAAACCCAGGATATTCGACCTAGGAAAACCAAATTGATAAATACTTCCACAAAATTCAATAAATTTAATAAGTTTTGTTTGTCAGAAGAATGTCAGTTACATGGACATATTCTGAACTAAGCCCCTATTAGATTATAAATTAAAACATGACATACAGGTTACGGCAAACGGCGGGGACAAAAAGTTCACAAGCAGTGTCTACCACAAGAGTCTACTATCAAGGCAACACGTATACATATTCAATGTGACTCTATAAATGTGAATTGGTTCCACGAAAGCTATCATCTTTGGGGTCATTATATTACGAGTTTTTTTTATTTTATTTATTTAACTTATACATTGTATAAGAGAGAGCGCCTCGCTCAGAATATCAAGAATGTTAATCATAAAACGGAATTAGTGTTCATATCAAAGTTACATGTTTTCATAAGCTATGTAACAACACACACGGTGTTATAAAGCTATCAAAACAGATTTCAGAGGTTCAATATAATTCTAAACACCAAGTCAGGTAGTTTGTAAGATTTCTATCACTTTAGTGTTTTGATACATAGATGCTCTAGTATGACCCACTTGTACTCTCTCTTAGGATGTCCTCAAATTATCGATTTCAAACAGGTGAAGTATTTCATCAGTATTTCAAATTGTATGTGCTCTATTCAGACACTATTTCGAAGAAGAAAATAACTGTATCTCACCA